ACTCACTCACTCACTCACTCACTCACTCACTCACTCACTCACTCATTCACACCCACCCATTCACTCTCCGCAATTGATCCATCATCTAGCGCACGATCGCAAAGGGCGGGCAGATGAAGGAATTGTCGCTGGATGGATTGTCGTTGCAACAAGATGCGTCGTCCATCTTGCAATCCTTCTCACCCTTGGCGACGCGGGAGCAGATTGGCCATGGCACGCTAAGCTTGATTCGACTGGCTGGCGTGTCGGTGGGTGTGGCAGAGAGCCAGAAGAGCGACAGCATTCCTTCTTCTTCGAAGATTTTGTCAGAGTATGAGAAGCTGGAAAGGGAGATCGAGAAGAGATTGATGAGGAGGTCAGGTGAAGATGAGAAGGAGGAAGAGGAGGGGCCAAAGCTCAGGTTGTCGGCCTTGAGAGCGCTCGATGTGCTCGTTGCTGCTGTGCCGGACAAATGCGCGGCGTCCATATCTCGGCTCTTGCCAGATCTGCTCAGCAACGTAGAGGCAGCACTGGATCACGATACATCAACCGCAGCCTCAGACTCGCCCGAGGCTTCCACATCCCTCGGAGCAGAGACCATCTGGTCGAGCGCAGAGCTGCAATCAGTCGCGCAACTATTCAGCTCACTCTGCTCTCACGCCAATTTCAGAAAGCTGCTCTCGCAATCTTCACACTTTGTGCAATGGGCCTGCGATGTGGTGGATGCTGCCGAACTGCAACATTCTCCGCCATCGAGCGTACTAGCTCGAGCAGCTCTAGCCGTCGGTCTGTCTCTCCTGAAACTGAGCGGTGCAACACCAATGGAGAACAGTCGGGGCGATTTTCCTCCGTCGAAGGTCAAACGAAGAGCGACAGGCGTGGAGGAGGAGGAGGAGATCAGGACAGAGGGTGTTCAAGCGAAGGGAGAGAGCGAAGCGGAAAAGGAGCTGAAGAGGAAAGAAGAAGCGGAATTGAGAACGTCTGTCAGAGCTTTGGCAAAGGCACAGCTGATCGACAGCCTTTCGCATGGCCCTACGTCTCTGCCCATTCAGCATATATCAGAAGCGCAGCGGGAATCCCTCAAAGCGTTCATCGAGGAGCTAAGAGACTCGGCACATATGCTCGCTCTGGAAGCTCTGGCGCATCTCGCTAGTGATCCGCAAGAGAAGGTGGCAATTATAGCGGATGATGAGCTTCTACAAGCACTTTGTAGTAGCGAACTGGGTCCCATCAAGTCGTTGGGCGCACGAAGAGCAGTCTTTCCCAGTCGAGGCAGTGACGTGTCGGGATCTTCTACCCAGGCAAGGACTCGAGACGCTTCCAGCTATGCTGTGGACCCCTACAGTGCGCAGACAAGAGCGGACGGAGCTGCAATCTACGCGCTTGCGAGCCTTTTCGGCTCTTTGGCTGCCTATCCACCCGTGCTGTCCGCTCAAGAAAAGCAAATGCTAGCACTTCGCTGCAAAGCTTCTGGCGCATCCCCACCCGCTGAAGAGTCGCCTGCCGTTCTAGAAACGAGAATGCTCAAGCTCGTCGCTACTGGCGCAGGACAACAATTGACGAGGCTGAGCATCGCTGCGGTGTCGGCGGGAACAGAGAAGGGCACGAGCGCGACAAGGATCGCTGTAGGCTTGAGTCTATTGGGATTGACGACGCCGCAAGATCGCAAAGTCAGAGCCAAGCTGGTGCAGGACGGCTGTGCCAGAGCGCTGCTCTCTTTGAGCTCTTCGGCGCTTCCTATCGTCACGAATCTGCAAGAGCCTGCTTCTGCAGGTTCAATGTCGACGCAAGATAAAGATGCTCTGCTCCTTGCGCCTCTCCAAGCTCTAGCTCGATTATGCATTAGTCTGCCCCCTCAACTCATGTTTCCTCTGGCCGTCGCCCCTCTTCAGAGCATCGCTGCGCTCTTTTTGAGCCCCGCAAGCAACGCACTGCAGCGCTTCGAGGCTTGTCTAGCACTGACGAACTTGGCAAGCTTGCCTGAGCTAGCCGCGACAGTCGCAAAGTCCCGCTTGGACCGTTCTGCTTCGACGAACGCGAGCGCATCGAAGCTCCAGGAGCCTCACAGTGTGACGGTCAGCGAGGCTTTGTACGATCGCATCGCCAGTCCTAACCTGTTGGAGCGCCGAGCGGCCGTAGAGTTGGTCTGCAACCTTTGCCAAGATGAGAGCGTTGCTGCGCAATGGAATGGGGAGGTGGAGGATGAAAGAGCATCCACTTCCAACCGGCCCATTTCGGATCTCAAAGTAGACATTGGCAAATCAGCAGCTACGGCTCGCATACACATCCTCTTGGCTCTATGCGCCGTGTGCGAAGCAGCGCAGGAAGAGGGCACAGATGCGATCGATGCTGCGCAAGAACGTAAGAGCGCATTGCCACTCAGATTGGCAGCTTCGGCTGCGCTAGCTGCGCTCCTCTCTTCGCCGTCGGGATGCAAAAGACTGCTGCATCTTCGTCCACGAAGCCTCAACATCCTAGCGCGTCTTTTGCAGCCGGGCACATCAGTGCGAGCGGCCAAAATCTCGGCTTTGGAGGAGGAGGAGGAGCAGGAAGAGGGAGAGGATAGCGAGACGCGTACGAGTCTGAGCGCGGAAGAGGAGATCAAGATGGAAGAGGAGGATGCGAAAGTCATGCCTCATCCGCTCGGGCCTGTTGGAGCAAGAAGAGACCTGCGCACGAGAGCTTTGGCTTGTATAGGCTGTCTGGGCCAATATGCGACCTGGCTAGCCGACACGCATGAGACGGCGCAGCTTCATCAGGTCGGGCAGACACTGGCTCAGAGCGGAATCGTGGACGCTGTGCTTGGCGCAGGAAAACGTCTGCGAGAAATGTCAGAGGAAGAAAGAAGTATGTGGAGAGAGATCATAGAGCACTTCAGAAGAGGTAGGATCTCGCTCGACCAAGCACGAGAGTAGCCGCTTGGTGCAGGGCAATACATAGCATTCCGATCGTGTGTGATATTTCCTGCTGTACCTATCACGGGCAAGTAATCGCCCAGGCTACGTTTGGGCGCCGCGCAAGGTGCGAAATTTGCGCGACAAGATGCTGTTGATGTGGTAAGCGGCTGTCGACCAAGGAAGAGCAGGTGTAGAAGTTGTAGCTGGCTCGGATGCAATGCTTCCATCAAGTTTCGCCGGAGGAGAGGGTTCATCTGACCATTCGAGACGCATCCTGGTGCTCGAGTGTGTATCCCCATCTCTTTTTACGTTTTCAAAGACGATTCGAGGTCGATAAGGCACGCTAGCGAGCTCCTTGAGCATTTTCCTATCGCTCTCTCGCTGCGTAGCGTCCGCATCCTGCTGCGACATTTCCTCCAGCACGTCCATCACGCTCTTCCACGCTTGTTGCGCATCGTCTTCGACGCTCACTTGAGATTGTGCAGGGTTGTCAGCAGGCTCGCCGAAAGGATCGTACGATGCGCGTGGCTCCGACGTGCCCACATAGTAGAATTGTAGGCAGTCGATATGTTCTGCGCTCTCGAGTTTCAGACGATCACCCCCTACTACGAGCTGCGACGGAGCGAGCGGCATTCCTTTGCCTGAGAGCGGCACTGGCACTGCATCTACTGCAGCCTGACGCTTGCCAGATTGAGATTTTTCGTGCGCGGCCGCCTCCTTCGCAAGCTGGGTCCAGCTTTGCAGAAAGCCTTCGAGAGCACTGCGAACGCTTGCGACATCGTCTTGCGAAAGCGAGTGCCGTTGCAAGGCCTGTATGCGCATATCAACGGGGTGCTGTGGCGCAATGACGTCCGCTTCTGATGCATTCGCCCAGGAAGCAGATATGGCCGTGTCGGCAGGTGCGACCGGGGTTGCGTCCGGCTCGGGAGCGATGGTAGCATCGTCGTGACTCGAATTCTTGAGGGCTTCATCAACATTGCTGTCCAGACTTGGAGCTGTAGACGCTGGCGCCTCATGGTTTGGCTCCCATTCAGAGTCTTCAGACTCCAGATCAAATGGCTCTGAGCGTTCAGTGTCAAACTGACTCTTCGCACGACGTGCCTCGAGCGCGCGGGCCTCGACCGCAGGATTGTGTGTAGCAGGCGTCGGGTGTGCGATCTTGACCACAAGCCTTCGACCATCAGCGGCGCGATATGTTAGTCTAGCATGATGATCTTCCTTCTGGTCCACGAGCATTCCTATGCCAGACAAGCCCCTCGTAACATTCCTGCCGCTCTTGTAATCGGCCAATAAGAGCGTGCCCCAAGGTGCGACCGAGGGGCGGAAGGAAGGTGGATCCATTGAGCTGAGCTGATCCTGCAGCGCATTGAGCGGCCAAGTCGAGAGCATGGGTGCACTGAGCAGAGAGTCACCCGGCGAATCGAAAGTGATGATGCCAAATTCTACGCTGTACACGCGCTCTTTAGATCCCGAAATGGGCTGCCCGCTTTGACCAGATGTCGATAATTTCCGTTCAAGGAAAGACCAGGGCGACAACGTATACTCCGCACCGCTTTCGTTCGATGCATGAAAGATGTTTGAAATCTGCATGTGACCAGCGTCCGTCTCCCAAGATCGAAGATGCCTGCCGACACGCCAACTCAGACCTTCTGCCGTCGCACGAGCAGTCCAATTCGGTTGAGATTGAGCGAAGCTCGGGACCATGCCGTACAGAGCGCCCTTGTGCTCTCGGTGGTCGGGAGGAATACCACCAACGTTGTCCGGCGACACGGCGTAGGACATGAGGGAACGCGATGAAGCTTGTGATGCTTCGGACACGTACTGCCGCAGCAGAGCCTGCGCTAGAGCGGCGGAATGCTCGTCTAGAGTGTACATTCGCAACTGCAAGAGGTCCTTGGCGTCCAGCTGGACGGAAGTCGAGTCAGTCGCTGGATTCGTCGCTTGTCTCAAGGCTTGCGAAGGGGCGTAGTCGATGAAGACTTTTGCCACATCTCGCACTGCGAACAGAATGTCGGGCGAAGGTGGCGGGACATCGATGGGCTCGTCGGACAAAAGCGTGGCTAGATCTACGTCGATGGGCTGCAGACTTGCCTACAAGGTTGGGCAGGAGACAAAGTCATTTAGCTTTCCAAACTAACATTGACGACTCCCTCTCTCCGCAAGCTAGGCTCAACACTCACCATGCCGTCGACCCAGCCTTGCAGGCACTCTTTGAGCAGATGCACATGCTCTTCATTGCGCCCTCTGATGGGGATGACAAAATTCGGCTCCGTATTTTCGTCGCCATGAACATTGTGCTGCAAGTCGGCGAAACCAGCCTCAACTCGCACCTTGCGTCTGGACTCTCCTGGGCCCAAAAAGTCGTCGCTCTCTTCGCTCGGAGACTCCAATTCTTGCTGCTCCACATACCTTTGCTGTAGGCGCGCAGCAGCGTTGGACAAGACGGTTGCGCGAGCATCGCCAAGCTGCCAAAGCCACGCATCGCGTAGGGCAACGTCGACCTCGGCCTTGTGAACAATGACCGGAGCGGATACCCGAGAATCTTTTTCAGCGTTTGTTTCGGGCTCCTCGACGAGTGGTGTGATGCCATATCTTCCCACAATGAGCAGCTCCACCAACCTTCGCTTGTTGAGAGTCTTTGACTCTGACCCAGCCAGTTGGTCCAATATCTCCTGCTTGGTGGCGGAAATGGGACTGCCACTGAAGGCGGCTGTTCTCTGTGCTCTCAGCTGAGAGACATTGAAAGCGGAGTAGACGGAAGCCACACATGCGTCCCAGAGCTTCATCTGATATTCCGCTTTGGATTTGGCCTTCCCAACCCGAGTAGCCGCTCGCATCTTCTGAGCATGCAGAGTCTTGACGCGCGTGATCACCTCGTCAAGCTCGCTGAGATCGGGCGCATCATTCTTCAGGGAGCCCGCGTCGGTCTCTTGCGGCCAAGCATTTGGCGTGGACGCGGGGTCGGTCACGTCCTCGCCATAAGCAGCCTTTTGAAAGACGGTTGGGTCGGATTTCGCACCTTGACGTGGTCGGCCTACCTTGCTCGAGGAAGCTCTTTGAGACTCTTGAGCGAAGAAGCTCGCCACGTCGATTTGCGATTTCTCTTCGAGCCCATGAAGTCCATAGACGTTATCATCATGTTCATCATAAGTCTGTTCGTCTAGCTCTTCATCCGCTCGTGAGCTGGCGTGCCGCCGAGTGATCCTGTCAATGCTAGACCTCGAGTCGAGGGAATAAGTAGATCTCCACGCTCCTCGGGATGTATGCGCAGCCAGAAGGACGCTTCTGAGACGCGGACGAAGCGCCATCTAGCCAGATTAGGGGGCTGATAGGATAGAACGTTGCCGGAGTGTGTGATGTGTGTGACTTGGTGTGAGCTTGGGGGTGTCTGACGGCCTAGAGCAAGGAGGGTCGAGCATCGCAGTCAAAGTCATCAGGCGAAGAAAGCTGCTTGCGGCATCAAATTTGAAAAGCTCCCGGCGTTGCTCGTGATTATTCCTGACCCGCGTAAACTTTTTCGCTGCGTGGTCACGTGTCGCGCGAAACCCATCGCGATGCACATGCACATCCAGCCAGCGGCAGGCCCCACGGGCAGCTTCCGCTTCTGATAAAGGATCTTCAGAGACGGTCAGGCCAGACAGCGAGAAGCATCTCAACATCACACAGATGACTTGCGAGTCTCCACTTACGTGTACCGCAAGCAACAACTTGGTCTGGAGCTCTGCAAGAAGAAGAAACGCTCGTGATTCAACAAGAAGATCTCGATGTTGTCTCGCGGAGTCAGAATTTGTTCCGGGCCTTGGAGCGCAGCATACGCGTCCGCGCGCGCCTTTTGCGGTCTCAAATTCAAGATTCACGATTCTTCTGTGCGAGCGCGCAGAATTTGATCCCGTGCGTCTGCTGCTTGACAGCCAAGACATGCAGATAATTCTCTGAATAAGAGGAAACACCACACACGGAAGCTTTGTATATGCCGCCTACCGTAATGGTCATGATGGCCATGACCACAATTAACAGGTTCATTATCACCAGAAGACCTCTGAGACATTCCGAGATCTGCAGAGGTCAGGATGCAGATGGCTGGCTTTCCCAAGACGGCGGAAACACTCGAAGCGGTTTGGCATCGTAGGGTGAATGAATCTGACAGCTTCGTTACTCACGGTCCTTGTTGACAGATATAAAGATGAGCCTTGTGGACGTCTTTGCGCCTCTCACTTCTTCTCCATCTCCTTAATCTCTTGACACCTTGCGCTCGCTACTTCCAGTGCTCGAACACGGGAACGGATTTCGACTCTTTCCACTCTAGCAACTCGCACTACGCAGGCAGACACGCTTCGTCGCAATTCGCTGCGTTTGTATTCGGGCCACTCACTCTCCTACCAGGGTCGACGCAGCTGCTTGCAAGTTCGGCAACTCACCTCGATATCACTCTACATCCTGCGTATTAGGCAGTCATGTCTTCCCACCTCGATAGTCCTGAACTCAGCATCAGGCAAAGTCACCCAAGCTCCAAGCAGGCTGGGGCAACTTGCACAATCCACCAATTCATGGACGAGCAATGCTTCCGCTTCATGCAGCGAGAGCTATCCAGCGCATCCAGACGCACGTCTGACAGCACACTTGCGAGCGGTGGTGCATCAAGGAGGGTATCCTCAGAGACAAAGGCAAGACCTTGTCTGACCGGCACATCTGACGTCGTGGAAGCGAGCCCTTCCTCACTCGTCTTGGGTACGCGGTTCGGGCTTTGCGAAAGCACGGTAGCTTCAAATTTGCGATCAAGCTTTCGAGAGAAGGCAGATGCCGCTCGCAGAAGGCAACGCAGAGCCAGCAGGGCACCTCTCAGACTCTCCTGGATGTCCCTAGTTATCTTCACCATCCTGCTTGTTCTGTGCGCGCTGCCACACAAAGCAGCAGCCATTCGGCCTCACACGAGAGCATACGTCGTACGAAGAAGGAGCGAGCAACCTAGTCCGAGGATTTTATCCTTTCCTTCCGATGCACGTCACGAATCGGCGCAGCCTCGACGCGCTCCTCCCCTCATTCACACGCGTTTTGCAGCATCCAGGCAGACGCAACAGACCCCCGTCATCGCTCTTGATCGGCTGACCCAGATTTCATACTCTGGACACGAGGGCTACCCAGGGCCTCTTCTTCAATCGGCGAGCATGCCAACGAAAGCATCAAGATTCCTGAGCTCCTTGCTCGTGCTTGCCAGAAGATTCAGCTAGCAACTTCGCAGTGATCGTACTGCGGGCTTGGCCTGCATCACCTGTATCATTACGGCACTTCTAGCAGAGCTCACCCTGGCAACTACCACCATTCGCGATCCCCGTTCAAATGCCTACATGGCAGCAATACCTCCAGCATTCGTTTCAGTCATTCACAAGGTCTTCTTTCTTCTCGTAGAGGCGGTGCAATGGAGAGAAATATTGCGGTGCCAGGGGCTCGAGAGCCAAATGCTTTGTGACTCAGACTTCATAGCAATCAGACTCACAGTTCATGATCAGGTTCGCATGTCTAAGATTGGCGCTCTGTGGTCGCGAAAGACAACGCGCAAGTCGTACAGAACAATGGCTGATCAAATTCTGAAAGTTAGCAAGGCCATCGTGACGCGCACGAGGCAATATTGACCGAGTCTTGAGTGCTTGGCCGAAATCTTGGCGCGCTGAGTGACTGAGTGACCTTCCGAGGATCGTGCTGACGTATCATTCCAGCACGTCTTGGCGTCGAGTCGATCGTAAGCATCCGCTCGCGCAGGGCTTCGTTCGCTTGTCGTAAGATGACCAATCACCGGGTGAGCCTACAAGCGGGATTCTTACTCGAAGTCATGAGTAGTGAGCGAAAAGAGTCGATCGAAGCTAGCTTTGGGCGTTGGGTTGGCACGAGCTCCACGTGGTTCAACGAATCGTCTATGCGGGCTAGCTTGCCTTGATCCCTGGCAAGGTATCTGGACAAAGATGTGGCAGCCCGAATCATGTCCCATCTGCACGGGACGTCTGCTTGGCGCGGTGAGCGTGAGGAGAGTGAAGCGAATAGCAGACACTCATCAATTTCGTTTTACAACGGCGGTTTGATGACTAGTCAGTCGTGAGTCGAGCGCGTATTTTGGGAAACATTCTTGAGCGGGTCACGATATCTGCCACCTTGTTGGCTTCAGTCCCCAAGCGCAAGCTCGGGCCTCTTCGATGTTCACCGACTTTGCCCTCCATCGTAGCTACAGCGATCATTGATCCGCTCGCTACCAAGGGGTCTGGGTGCAATGATCACGAGTGCAAATGGTCAGATCAGCACTAATTCAAACTTCTACCCTGACCGCTGCAGGCCCGAAATACCGGTGCAAAGAGCATGAACTCTTGACTCGAAGCTTTTCTTTTGAATGGTGCTGTGCGTCCCAGAAATTTGAAGTACGCTTGAGGGTCAATCAAGAAATCTCAATTTCAATTGATTCTACCGGCTTCAGGAACACTGATGATATTTGTGACTGTGACTCGTGACACACCTTCGTGAGATCAAGACTCAAGACTGCTTGACTCTTGACTTGTCGTGTGCACATGCACTGCCAAGCAGTTCGGTCCTTGGCTGGCATCATGCTTGATGCTGGGCTGGACGAGTCGTGAGTGCGGAAAAGCAGGTGCATGACGTGTCATGCAGCTGCGAGGCCTCGGAGATCAGCGGCATGCACTTCCATGACTTGCCCTGCGCCCCGATGCAAGCGAGCGACGCTAAGCAACTTCGAGGGTCCACAAAAGGGGCTCTGATGCTCGATGCTCGATGCGCGATGCGCGATGCCGGTGCTGAGCTTGACGCTGCATGCTGAAGCAGCAGCATGCGAGTAAGACACAACGGACGATGTTTGTAACGGCATCTGCCATCTGCGGCGTTCTCCACTCTTGACTCACAACAATCGTGAATCAGTGAATAGCGTGTCGAAGTCCAGGTTCTTGATTCTTGATTGAGAGCCATGCTGCCTGATGCGCGATCCTCTTGTCAGCAATCGTGAATCGTCAATACGAGTCTGCTGTCCGATGCCGATGACGAAGCTATACAAACAGCAGCACGCCTCTTGTCAATTTTCACGATTGTGCCCACGGTGACTTCTTTTTGTCGATTGGTGCAGCACCAGCACCGTCCATGCAGCCTGGGGGATGCGAGCTGGAAAGTGATATGTCCCCGCTCAATTGACCAAACCGCGACGACCGCTGAGCGCTGTTACTCTGCTTTCTCGCAGAGGGCGGCGCAACGATCATCGTTGCACACGGGGCATGATGGATGCTCGCGTCCCGACCTCTTTTTAGCACCGTTTGCGACCGCCGTCGAGGCGCTCGGGCAGATCAAAGCTCGCAACACGAAGTCACTCTCATGATCATGCTGATGATCCGATGCGGGAGAAAGCAAAGAGAGGCGACTCACGCTGTGAGGAGGAGCTGGTCAAAGTCACCACCAAGTCCTGCGGAGTGTCCGTTACCAGTACACACAAGTCGGGCACATCACCGGTGTGAGCCTGCTAAGCTTGACGAAGCGCACCGTGGTCGGAGTGACAAGCTTCGGCACGAGTGCGGCTTGCTTGCCATAGCAGCTATACATCAAAATTCTTACATTCTTGATTCAAATTCAGATTCTCGAGTCAAGACTCAGACTCAACTGTAATAAAAAGTAGGGAGGTGCCGTTGAGGGGTGTAATTCTGATTGTTGCGAGACTCACAACTGCTCTGAGGCTGTGATGCCTCTTTGGGCGGAAAAGACCATGCATGCAGCATGCACCTTCAACGTTGAGATTACCCTAGCTAGCTCCCTTGCCGTTACGATCTTCTTTAATGCTCCATTTCTTTTGAATTCCACTCAACGCTCGCGCTTTGTGCGCGGCCGCGATGAGCGGCGCGCGTAATGAAAAGTGCACCAATTCAAGATTTGATTGTAAATACCTGTTCCATTTGTAACACCCGCCCTGCGTACCACAGCGCTGTGTGGCATGCAAGCGCTCTTGCGCGCGACCTGCCTGCAGCAAGTGCATGAGCTCAATTCATTCAGGACTGCGCTCACGCGCGCGCGAAGGGCATTGTCGAGCTGTTACCGGGAGCAGCGGTATACACAGCAGCATCGTGACTCCTGAGCTGCCGCGCTATCAGCTAGAATTCCTGCAAGAGCGGCGTAGCGCCTTCCTGCAGCATGGTGCGCGCGCTGGCTTCGTTTGGATCGCAGTTGTGAGCATGAGTGCGTGATCCGCCCACAACAGCAGCAGCAGCAGCAGCGCATCGATTCGTGCCGTGCAGCGAGGCATGCCGAGCGCAAGCCAAACCGTTTTTGGTTGTTCGTTTGTTCGCCATCGAACTTGTGCCCTCTACAACGCTGCCATCACCACGGCCTCGCAGCTGACCCCGCCATCATCCTTCGCACATCAACCCCGTCTCGAGGTGCGAACACACTACCTGCGTTCGTTGCCAGCCTCTCTTCGATATTCCTCGCGCTTGGCACGGCAGATCTCGCTCACTACCCTTCCAGGACGATCACAGACGACCAAACACGCTTGGCCCCCCTCGCTTTCGACCCCACTCCAGGCCGAGCTGGCAATCTCTGCCACAGACAATCGTGCCTTTGGAACCTCGCGAGTTGCGACGGTATCTTCAAAGAGCCTCAGTCATCGCCCCACGGCCCCTGCAGCCAGCGAAACATCACCCCGACTGTTTCGCGAGTATCTAACGCAAACCAACGCCAGAGCCTAGGGAGAGCTGCTCGCAGGCTTCTTCGAGCTCCATCAACACTCAGCACAGCTGCCACTACAGAGTGTCTCGCAGAGCCGTCTTTTTTGTCTTGTAGCACTCTTACAGCTGTGCTGTCGATCTGGCAATCAGCAGCGCTGTCTCCTGCCCTGATACCCCCGTGGCCCCCGCTCCTCTCGCGACTTTGACCCCCACAACTCCACGACGACCTCAAGATGTCCGACTTTCCTCTTTCTTTTTTGTACAACCTCCCTCCTCCGGACCGAGGCGTGTCCCTTGGTGACCATCTGGCCCGGCATGTGACGGATTCGGGTCGCGTTCGGACCCTCATCGACGCGCTGCCCTCAACGAGCGGTCCTGCGCTGTTGAGTCCTGACCTCAACCGGCCTCCGATCACCCATGCGGAAGCCAAACGCTTCATTCAACGCTTTTCGATGCCCTTTACTCGCAAGCAACTCGGTCCCAACGATCGCGTCATGATGGGTAAGTGCATGCGCGAAGGGCTTTGGGTGACCGAGTGCTGTTGCTAAAGCTGTGACACGCCTTGATATCATCCTACCAGCACTACCTACGGGTCCAGAGAACGCATTGGCTCTGATGTCAGTCGCCGCCTATCACACTTGTGCGCCTGTGAATGCCAGCTGCACCGCCGGCGAGCTTCGTGACGATGCTGTCAGGTTGCGTGCCAAAGCTGTGGTAACCACGCGAGATGCAGCAGAACGCTTGGAGGTGCAAGCCTTGTACGAGGAGGAAGGCATGGAGATCATCTTTGTCGAGGGGCGTGGAAGTGGACCGTGCGGCGTCTTCGACATGGCATGTCTTGGCCAAGAAGCTGCTGCTAGTCGAGGTGGCCGATCGCCGTCCATGCCCCATGGACTGGAGCACCAGTCGCTTGTGCTGCACACCTCGGGTACCAGCGGTAAGAAGAAGGTGGTGCCCTACTCTCTGCGCCACCTGATCGTCGGTACATGCTGCGTCGTTTCGAGTTGGGATCTTAGACCACACTCCGTCAACAGTAAGTGTGACTTTGCCATAACCTTGCACCTTTGCATCTGACACATAGCTCTGTCTACTTCAGTGAACATGATGCCTCTCTTCCACGTCGGCGGTATTGTCAGGAATCTTTGGTCTCCAATGTTCTCTGCTGGTAGTGCTATCATCTGCGCTGGCTTTGACGCCAACATGTGGTGGACTGTAGCGAAGCAACTTGGTGCCACTTGGTACTATGCGGCTCCAACCATGCATCACTCTATTCTGGCCTCAAAGCCGGAGGGCGTGAACGTCGCTAGGGAAGTGAAGATCAAGATGATTGCGAATGCTGCTGGTGGTCTGCTGCCATCCCTTGCCGTCCAGTTGAAGGAGACCTTCGGTGGCTGCGCCGTGCTGCCCTCCTACGGCATGACAGAATGGTGCGTTGCGCTTTTCTAGCTTGCAGCGCCCTACGCAGGATAGCTGATGTTCCCCCTCCTCCACATGCAGCATGCCTATTGCTTCGCCACCCACAAATTATCAGCTCGACCGTCCTGGATGCTCAGGCGTTGCATGCGGCCCAGAGCTTTCGATCAGAGATCCTTTCGATAGGGAACGAGAACTGCCAGTCGGACAGACTGGAGCGGTATCAGTGCGCGGACTTCCGACGTTCTCTGGATACGAGACGTCGACCGATCCCTTCGAGCCTTTGGACACCTCTGCATTCTCAAGCGAAGGCTGGTTCGACTCGGGTGACATGGGTCACATGGACAAGGATGGCTATCTCTTCATCACCGGTCGCTCAAAGGAGATCATCAACAAGGGTGGTGAAGTCGTCTCGCCCTTTGAGGTCGAAGAAGCCATCACGCAAGCATGCAAAGATCGTGTCAAGCAAACGCTCGCGTTCAGCATCGAGCACACCGTCCTGCAAGAGACTATCGGGGTGGTCATCGTGCCTGTTCCAAATCAGCCCCGCATCGGTCTTGCAGAGTTGCAGAACTTGTTGCGATCACACTTACATCCATCCAAGTGGCCGTTCGCTATCGTCTACATGGACGACTTGCCGAAGAATCAGGCCGGCAAACCTCTGCGTATCAAGCTTGGCCAGCGACTTAGCATTGGGCCCCTCTCCGACGATGTGCCTCCTTTGAGGCGTCACTTTGAGGCTCGAGCACCGGGCAAGGAAGTTCCGCTGTCTACCCCGATTCCTTGCAATCTCGTCAGCGTGGATGTTCGAGCTGTTGAGCGCGCCTGCTACCGCATTCCGGGCATCGTAGAAGCTGCGGTCCGGCAACGAAAGGACGGTGCTCCCGAAGCGTTCATTCAAGTCGAAGAGAATGCCGAATACGACGCGGCGGATATCGACCGAGCTCTTGCGCAGGTCCTTCACGGATACGTCGTACCCAACCCGCTGCACGTCTTCCGCCAGCCGCTCGCAAAGGTCAACGGCAGGATCGACTTTGAGACTATGGAGGAAGAGGTGCGCGCCCAGAACGCGTCAGCTATGACGAGGACTGCGCTTGTGGTCCGCGACATCATCGCCAAGCTGCTCGACACCGAATCTGGCACGATCACGGCCGAATCCGATTTCTTCTTGCTCGGTGGAAACAGTCTTCTCCTGGGCCGACTAGTCCACCTCATTCGCAAGGAGACAGGCGTCAGTTTGGAAGTGTCTACCTTGTTCAACAATTCCACAGTCGAGGGTATTGCTGCGCTCATCGAGGACGAGACGGGCGGCGATGAGGACGATGACTACGGAGACATGGACTACGCGGATGAAAAGACCGGAGCTCAGGGCGCCTTCGCTTCCGCGCATCGGTACGACGATGATGCTGCTGGCGACCTCGATCCAGCAGTCACTGCTCACGGATACAAGCCACGCAGCCAGACACATCCTTGGGTCATGTTGATACAGCTCATGCCCATTCTTTTCTTCTACCCATTCAAAGCAGCCTGGACTTGGACAGTCATTCTGCATGGCCTCGCCTTCTCCGCCTACTATATCCGCGACGACTTTTGGGAACGTGTCGGAGTGCTGCTCGCTTCCATCGTTGTCGCCCGTTTCACGAGTCGTATCATCTGCCCAGTCACTGCCATTGCCTTCAAGTGGCTCGTCATTGGCAGGTACCGTCCCGGCAAGTATCCGATGTGGTGCAACTACCACCTTCGCTGGTGGCTCGTCAACCAATCTTTGCGCACTGCCGGTAAAGGTCTCTTCGCATTGACACCGGGCCTCACCAGGACTTACTTCAGGCTTCTGGGCATGTCCATCGGCTCTGACGTTCAGATCGACAAGTTTGCGAAGATTGCAGAGCACGACCTGATCACCATCCACGACGGAGCTCGAATCGACAAGTCGCTTGTCCGAGCCTTTTGCGTGGAGCGCGATGGCTACTTCCGTCTCGAACCAATCATCATCGGACGCGACTGCGTGGTCAACACGTTCACTCAGATCTCGCCCGGTGCTCGACTCGCAGACGGTACGGTATGGGGTCCGCAAGCCTCTTCGCACGAAGAACCCTCTTCCGACGCTTATGCGGCTTACAATCGGAACGCTGCGCCAATGCCCCACTGGGCGCTAGTGTGGTTCATCGGAACGCCGATCCTGCTGATCATCAAGGTGATCTGCTATGTACCATGGTTTGCAGCTCTCTTCATGCTGTTGTCCCAACCTTTCGAGTTCAGCCACAACGACAGCGTCAAGGGTGTCATCGCGTGGTTTGCATACAATCCGCGTATCGGATGGCACTACGTCGCGCGCATCATGCGAAACGTCATGCCACCACTTATCAACCTCGTGCTTGGTGTGCTGGTCAAGCGAGTGCTCGGTCTCAACCGCGAGGGCTCCACGCGCAACGCTACCCAACTCACGCTCTTCCGTCGCTGGATCAACGGACAACTTCTGTCGCAGCCTAACATTCGACGCGCCATGGCGATTCTTGGTACTCACTACGAGATGACTTCGGTTGTGTACCGTGCCATGGGTGCCAAGGTCGGCAAGCGAGTGTACTGGCCAGGAAGCGGAATCTACTGTCCCGACCCCGAGCTATTGGAGATTGGTGACGACGTCGTTTTCGGTTCACGATCTGAAGTCTTCACCTCCGACTCCATTGGCTGGGCTCGCGTTCGCGTTGGCCGAGGTGCGATGATTGCAGATCGCGTTGTGCTGCTGCCAGGAACGACCATTGGCAAGCAGTGTGTCATGGGCTCTGGTGCGCTTGCCGTTCGCAACGGCCTGTACGAGGAGAACACCGTCTGGATGGGCTCTAAGAACGGCGCGGCAGTCAGCTTCGGAAAGGCGGCCAAGGAGAACAAGGAGGGCATGTCAGCCGGAGATGACGACGAGACCATCACTCCATTCGGTCGAGCATTCTACAAGCGCAAGGCCAACTTCTTCGTCTTCCCATATCTCATGCTCGTTGCCATCAACATCGTCATGGCTGTCTTCTCTTCAGCATACTGGGCAAGCGCAGCCGTCGCTACCGTCGTTACCCTCAACTTTGCTCGTCAACACTTGGAAGTCGCCGCTGCCAAGATTTTCGACGATCACTGGTACCGCCCTGGATTGGTGTACGTGTTTATCGCCATCTGTTTCGTCGTGGTTCTCAACATCCAAATGCTTCTCGCCTTTGCCTGGGTGGTCGGCACGAAGTGGGCCGTCATCGGCAGAAGACGAGAGGGTCGCTACGACTGGGACAAGAGCAGCTACTGTCAACGCTGGCAGCTGCACCTCACGATGCAGCGCCTACTTGGAAAAGGTTTCGGCGGCCACATTCTCGGCAATCTTTCGGGCACTGTCTTTGTCGTCTGGTACTTGCGCTCTCTCGGCGCAACGGTGGGCCGCGATTGTGCTATCTGGGCAGGTGGCAAGCCAAGCTTGCAATTGACCGAGCCCGAGCTGGTGACCATGGGCGACCGCGTATCGCTAGACGATTGCTCAGTAGTTGCGCACATCAACTCTCGAGGGCGCTTCAGCCTGAACAAGCTGAGGATTGGCGACGGATGTGCTATGCGCACTGGATCGCGCCTCCTCTCTGGTGCATCGATGGAACCACGATCGATGCTGCTCGAGCACACTCTGGTCGCCAGTGGTGAAATTGCGGAAGCCGGCGCGGTCTACGCAGGATGGCCTGCCAGGCAACTGAGGACAAGACGACCCAAGGCCACGGCTCTGGGAAATACGTCTGCAAACAGCAGTAGCTTCAACGTGTCAGGATCGGGCTTCAAATAATTCGTTGCTGCCGGCCGGTCCAACACACTCCTGCAAGAAATGGCCTCCGCCCTCACCGTCACCTTCTTTTGGCGACAGCAGCAGCCCATCCAACGACCTTCCCTCCGCATGGATGCGGTTTGCAGCCGGTCTCGCTCTTTCTCGTCGCCAACCCAAACCGCTACAAAAGAACATTGATTTTCTGGCACTCCCATCTAATACAGGGTCATCTTTGAGCACATTCGACACTCTTCTTGCAGCTCGCAACAGGACGAGGCCTTTTCCTTGCCTGTGGCTGGATTCAGCGTCTCTGCATGGTACACGGTTTCTCTTCGCATCTCCTTCCCACCCCCAACCCCTGTTCCTTGTCTCAGCTCTTTGATGCCTTCTCGATCCATGTCCGAACTTTGAACGTTGCATTTCCTCACTGGCACACTTTCTGACTGCGAGGTCGTTACCCTTAGCGCGGGTTGACCTCCAATCGCCCGCCGAAGCCCACATGTTCCACACTCCTTTCTGCATCAGGCCCAAGTGAATACGAACAATTCGAAACGCGTGGCTGATGTGATGATGGTGTGCAATCACAATGCAATCGATGAATCGTCGCGACTGGCTATGCAAGAAGTCGCGTGCGTGTGCGCTCGCCGTGCGGTGATTAGTCATCTCTCGTACGGGAAAGCGTGCAGGCTTGGGTCAGCCGGTCAAGGCCGCGCTGACGGAGGAAGAAATCAAAATCCGTAGCGGCCATGAAGAGACGGACAATTTGAATCTTACCAAACAAGGGTTCCCGGATTTGCACGATTCGACTTGCGGCTCGTTTCCGCACTTCGACCACTTCCACTTACGTACAGCAAGCGCCCACCACGTTCGTCTCGCACCATCGAGTGCCTCTCATCGGCTGACTTGCTCTTCCGAAGGCGAAGGCCGCGCAGTCAGGTGTTGAACTTTTGCTTGCACTCGAGCAGCTCGAACTTGCACAATCACAACCACTGGCACGCTCTCCGCCTCTGCATATTGCCCACTCTCTGGCGAGCGCAGCGCTCAGGTCGTCGCTCAAAGGAAGCAGAGCTCCCAGGTGTCATTTTTCGAAGCATGCGCCACTGGTCGAGGTAACCCATCGGTCAGCGATACTTTTACCCACCCAAGCCTACACGGCTCAGAGTTGAATGTGGCCACTCTCACTCGCTTGCATCGGTCTCGATTATACAGGGTGGTCTTTGCAAGCCACCCATCAGGGTGATAGGAGGGCGCATACAATCAGCGCCCTCTCGAGCAGATATCCGTCCATTCGCGGCGCGTGATGCGCTTCCATGTCACTGGCGTGGGATCCATCGGCTCTCTCATCGCCTTTCACTTGCGAAGAACACTTAGAGCATCGCAAGTCCACTTTTCTCAATACCGCGACCCTCAGACAACGCCATCCAATCCTTCAATCGAAGCCTTGCAACAAAATGCCGGAATCGATCCGAGCGCACGTCTCGACGTGTCGTCCGCCAGCGGTGACGGGGCCATCGAAGACTTCGCACAACCTTCGGTCAATGAAAGGAAAAGCTCGGATGGCGTGCAGAGAAGGGGAGCCTCGGGAGGTCCACCGCACTTTTTCAATCCTGCTCCACACGCAGCGCCCTACATGCCGCTCCAAGAACAAAGCGAGGTTACGCTACACTTGCGAGGGATACGAAATCGAAGAGGACACATCGGCACGCAAAGCATGGAGGACTCTATCTTGTACGAGAGGGAGAATGTCAAGTGGAAGGAGCAAGGCTTCACACTTGAGGAGCATCATGCCAAAGGCCTCGTCTTCGACAGCCTGCTGGGGGGAAACAGCTCAGGTCCGGGAGTGGGAGCGAAAGGGGGCTCTACTCGATCGCAAGGAGCGCAGGCTCCCGGAATCTGCGCAGCTGCCGGTCTTGGGAGAGATGCGATCGATAGCCTCATCGTATCGAGCAAGGCGGATACAACACTCGATGCCATCAAATCTCTCTCGAAACGACTCACGCCAGCCAGCACGGTCGTGCTGCTTCAGAACGGGCAAGGAGTCCTCGACCTTCTCAACACGCGGTTGTTCCCAGACCCCGAGACGAGACCAAATTTCATCATCGCCAGCACCACACATGGCGCCTACAGACGGAATCGACTGCACGTCGTTCACGCGGCCTTTGGCACCCTCAATTTTGCCATTGTACCTAATCCCGCCCGCGCGCCGCGAGGATATGAGCACTTGCTGGTGCAGAGTCCGAAGGATGCCGGGGCAGCGGAGCAGCAGCGCGAGGCGGCGAATCGCTCCGCCGGCAATCTCGGCACTCATGACGATCGCAGGTCACCCCGCAGACCAAGGGGCTGGGAGATCTTTCGGCCAGCTGCCGCAGCGGAAACGAGCCAGAGCGCAACCAGTTCCGCCCTTGTGTATCGAGATCACAAATTGTTGGACGTCGGCGCAATTCCGAGCGACCCTCACTCCACACTCACGTTGCAGAGGACAGTCGCGACTTTACTGAGCTTGCCACTCAATGTGACGTGGCAGCCGATTCGAGAGATGCAGCTGACTGTGCTCAAGAAGCTGGTCGTCAACGCCTGCATCAATCCCTTGACGGCTCTAGCTGAATGCAGGAATGGGGACCTGTTTGGGAACGGCCCCGCAACTGACACGATGCGTAGCATATGTGCCGAGGCTAGCACTGTGCTTATCGCCCAGGCGAGAGCTGCAGCTGCACGGGACAGATTGGATGATCCCGAGGGTGCGGAGGAGCGTCTGGCGCAAGCAGAGGAGGTGTTCAAGCCGGGCGGACTGTTGTCGGAAGCGTTGGACGTAGCGCGCTTGACTTCTCAAAACATCAGCAGCATGCTGCAGGATATTCAATCCAATAGAGGATCTACGGAGGTGGAATTCATCAATGGCTATATCGCGGCATTGGGCGAATCGATGAGGATACCAACCCCAGTCAATCTCAACTTGGCTCGCTTGGTCACCCTGAAGGCGACGAGAGCCGGAAGAGGACCCATTAGAAGAGGCGTTTTCTGAACCGTTTCGCCAAACTCTGCAGCAACGCGACTCGCGTAAAGCAGCTAGCTAGCACCATCAACGCTGCGCATTGCTTGATCCCGTCAAGGCAGTGAATCGAAACGCCTTGCCGATCGCACGCAATTTGGGCCACGCCATGCGCATTCGCAGCACCACGGACCTAGAATCAGCACTGGCGAATGTGCTCGCAGTGCTCGACACGATTCGCTACGGCCTTGCCATTGCGAGCGCCCAAGCTGAGATCCGCCGACGCTAACCTTGACGTTCGTCTGGAGGGCCGCGCGCGTGCAAGATGCACTTCGGAGGGCACTCAGTGCCAAGTCCACCGGCCCATGCTGCACGCGATTCGCAGCTCATTAGGGATCGCCTGCCCTCTGTCTGAGAAGGCTGCCGCCTCTCCATTTGAGGAGCAACACGTAGCATTCCCGCTCGAAGCAACGTCACCACTCCACTTTTTGAGGAAAGAAACAAAGAAGCCTGTTTTGCGGGCTCGCAGGAAGACCCATCCGCGCTACGCGCGTGGAGCCAGCGCATTGGAAGCATTGCGAGCGTTGCAAGACAACGAATGAATGGGGCAAAGGTCATGTTGGAAATGCAATAGATTGATATAGCTAGCAACAGTGTGGCGAGAGCGATTCGAGCCGTGAGACATTTTGCTGATGCAAAGCTCCAAAACACCGAAAGCGATGCGTCGAAGCTCATGCCGGCGTTCAGTCATCTTCGTCCTTCTGTCGCTTCGCACGGGAAGAGCTGGCGCTGTGTGGCGCATCGAGTCGAATGAGGAGTGACCGGTCAGCAAAGGGCGACGCGCTTCGGCCGTCGAGGTGCAGCTTTGACTCACGTCTCGATTCCTGATCGCTTCGTACCTCGTTTCGCATCGTCCAAGAATGCATCGATCGCAAAGGGGTCCGAGGTATCCTTTTCGAATTGGACTGGACCCGAACGTTCCTGAAGAGAAAAGGGAGGAGAAAGATGATCAGTGGCTTGAGATTTCGCACCGCTTGGCAAGGTCGAAAAGTGTCGCGCTCACCTCTTGCAGATCTGCGCCCTCAAAAGCCTTTCCTTTACCAAGACCGAACCGATCATTTCTCATGGCCTCATTCGCAGCTTCCTCCGTCGCAGCGTACACGTCCACCGCCGAATTTCCAGCCGGTCGTCTATAGAGCGTCTGAGCAGCGCTGCTTCCCTGGAAAAGCGGCTTGTCAAACGTATTGTAGCTCTCATCATCTCCAAATCCAGCAGAGTAGGATTCCTGATTGAACAATCTGGAGTCCACCTGATCCGAAGTGTTGGTAGGCTTTGCCAAACCCAACGCAACCTTTTCCGAAATGTCGCGATTCTGCTCTCGTGCGAGCATGCGAGCCCGTTGCTCGCTGCCCATGCTCGCCATGCGCATCTCGCGCTCTCGGTCCCTTTTACGCTCTGCTCGGACACGATCGCGCTCCCTTGCAGCTTCATCATCCTCCTCGCTCGAGCTGTCGCTGTCGCTATCGCTGCCGTATGCCGCCAGCGCAGAAGGCATCGATCCTCCCCCTGCTGCAGTCATGCGATCCGTCGGGTCGCTCCTATCTCCCACATTGCTCATGGGTGTAGCGCTAGGTGCGATGCCTGCCCTCTCGTCCCTAGCTCTCTGAGCAAGCGCACGCAGATGCTCCTCCTTTGCAGCTTTCTCCTTCTGCGCCAATTTCTGTTGCATGATGCTGCGCTGATGCACTTCTTCTCTGGAATGTCTCTCTGCCAAGTGCAGAGCCTCGCTAAAATGCGCAAAGCCATCGTTGATGTGCACATCTTGCAGGCCTCGACCATCCGCTGCCAGACGTTTGTCGAGCGGGATGGTGTAACCCTTGTTGTTCTTCCAATTCGAAATGCAAGGTGGGATCATCCACTCTTTTTGCTCAGCCGCCGTGACTTTGCGAGGAGGGCTTCTGAGCACAGGAGGAGGAGGGCTCGGATCGCCGCGCGGGTTCTTCTTGAAGCGGAACTTGGCCGGTTCGAGCGGATCCTCTACCTGTTCAGTCATCTTGATGATTCTTTGAGATCCTCCAGCCGCAGCACCCTGAGCTCCGGGTGTGTACCTGACAAAAGTGCTGTTGCCAGCAGTGTTGGATACATGCTTGGGTTGAGCAGCTTTGATCTTGCCCTGGGTGATCTTTTCCAGAGCCAAACGCGTTCGCTCAGCGGTCGACATGACGGATGCCTCGTCTGGTCTCTCTAGCGACACGTCCTTCATATCATCTCGCTCATGCATCGGTAGCGTATCTTTCAGGCGAGATTGCACCATCTGCCCATCCTTGCGACCTTGTTGCACTATAGCATCGTAGCGAACATTGCCCTCAGCGTCTACCTGCAGGGAGAGCTGGCTTCCCGGCTTAGCCTGAGGAAGTGGCAAGGCGAGGATAAGGCGTCAGTCAGCATTCTCGCACCATCTTCCCACCATTGCTCGAGCCCCATCGATTCGAGGAATGAGGGCACTCACCGACTTCTTGCGGCCCATATCTCTAGGGTACTGGGCCAAGTGACACTCCGGATAAGCTCCTCCATCAGCAAAATCCTCCTCTAGACGAGGTTTCCAGTTGCTCCTTTGACCATACGGAGGGATGCTAGCTTTTGGAGCGATCGACAGACTCTGCTGCGACGCGCCACTGCCGAGCACGTTGTCATCATCCAGTTCATCGGCCACTGAGACCGAAGGAGCAGGCAAGAGCGAGGATAAGGTGGCCGTGGACATGGTTGCTAGAGGCAGGCGTCACGGCAAATGTAGCTGTGGCGTGCGCGTCAGTATGATTGTGGGTCCGCTGGGATGGATTGTTTGCGCAACAAGATGGCGGAGGCAACGAGCGATGGGAGCAGAGAAGCTTCGTGGTGCTGGGCTCGCTATGGAGATTCATCAAAAGGAAACCTCAGCGAGCGGTGGATGATGACCCAGAGGTGAAGGGTGCGATCACGATCGCAGAGGTGGGCTGCTTGGGATTGGTCCTGCCAAATGGCGACTGGCGGGGCGCGGAGCGGGCGCGCATCACGTGCATTGGTTCCCAGTATAGCTGGACCACGTGCCAGTCGTAGGGCAAAGCCAACCAACCGCTCACTTCACCCGCTCACTCACACGCGACACGCATACCACTACTACTCGCTTCAAGACATTCCGTCGCGCGATATATTTTCGATTGTGACCCACTGACCGAACGATTGATCAGGCCGAAGGTCCGGAGGTAGAGGTCACAAAAATTCCGACAGTAATGTGAGCGCATGTCAGGTCAGCGCGCGAGCGGATCACGCCGCACGTCGCCTCGAAGGCCATGGAGAGTGCGCCACTGTGACTGCACGCACCCCAGGCGTTACTTCTAGGAGTCAAGGTGCCCTTCAGCATCCTGAACCTCCTTCGCGATTCTTGATAGACACAGGTACATGCACCGAGTCTCTTGAGGTAGCTTGAACAGGATCTGGAGCGGTGTGTGTGCGGGGTATGTGTGCGCTCAAGCAAGGGTGACATTCTAAAGGGAGCTGACTCGCTAGCCGTCGTAGCTCCTGCATCCATTCTGGTGCTCACTTCTCCTTCTTATATTCTAATGATGCGTCTTGTGTATTTGATCCCGATTTTGCTTCCGCTATCGCATCCGAAGGCATCTGCTGCACTTCCCTCGCTGACGGTGGCAGCTTGGCAAGCTCCGACAAGAACCTGGTCAAGGCACGAAGGACGCCTGAAGGCTTCAGCTGGACGAGTCGGTGTGGATGCGACAAGATTCGAAGCACACAAGCAGAACTGACCAATTGATACTGCAGAATAGCGCAATAGCGATACCTAGCAAAGCCAGCACGTGTACATTACCGCCCGTTAGAAGTGATAGACCTCCAAGGACGATGAACAAGCCGTAAAAGCTTAGATCCATCGCTTTCTTCATGGGTGTATTTAGACCTGGCTGGAACAGCGAGTCCATCACGGACGTTGCTAGATCCGACATTGCGCTGATGCTGCAGTGAGCAAGGCGGTTGAACTTGATGAACTGAGGGTCAAAGTGTCCACGATCGATGCACCAGGAAGGAGACGTCCGTGGGGAGTTGGAAAGACGTCCCTTGCCGCCGCCGCGGTCCGACAAGCTGAGAGATGCCAGAGTCGGCGCGGCGCTAAAAAACGTCGATTCTGGGCCAAAGACCTTCGTGAGATGAGTTTGACGAGCTGAGAGTCCAGGCGTGCCTCAAGTCTAGCCTTTCAGGCCTTCAATGGGGAAGCGTTTGCGCCGGATTGCACTCGACGAACGAGTATTCGCAAAGTATGAGCGCGAATAGCGTGTATGGAGAGAGAGTATGTCAATAATGCTGCATTGTTGACCAAAAGGCCCACGGATGGACGTCAGTCGATGTCATCGTGTACGCATCATCAATCGTGAATCAATGTTGATATGAAAAGCCTGTCTGTCAAACCTACTCACGGAGAATGAGGAATGTTCTAGATTGCTTGATGCTTTCGAATTTCCGGCTCTGACCGTCTCTCCCGATTCTTGGAATTACGAATTATCCTGTAGAAGCTGGTCCCTCTGTTCAGGGGTGTACCGATTCACGTGATTGTTTGCGAGAGCCTATTGTGCTTCTTGAAGTGGAGTAGTGTGCGGTGTGTGTTTTGTCGAGCTGAGCTGCATGGTTGTGGAAAGCTATTGAGGCGCGTGCGTCGAAGTCCCAGCAGCGATACTCGTCACGACTCAAAACTGAATTGCCGTCCGTATCCGGCGCGGCGTGGCGCGTCCGCGCGCTCCAAGAGCGTGGTGCGCATGCAATCGCCTCGTTCATCTTAATTGCATTCGCTCCCTCGGCACCAGACACGGATTAACTTTTGGTTCTTGCTGGTAGTGAACAACTAACAGAAGAGTCACGAGTCTCGAGTCTTTGATCGGGATGCTTCTTGAACTCCATAGCGGACATCGTGCTGCTGATGATGGCGAGATCTTCCATGCAGCCGCGATGGGTTCGGTGAGCATGCAGGTCCGAGACCATCAGCAAAGTTCGTCAAGGCTGTGTGAATATACAGTCACGAGTAGTCACAGTGTGAGTATGACAACGGCTGCAGCAGGGCGCGGTAAAAGGCACGCGCTGCAGCAGCAGCAACGGCGATTTCATCGAGTATAATCAAGGAACAGGGTGAGAATGAGAGAGAGAGAATTGCATGTCTAAACAGCCACGAGTCGCGTAAAGTCACTATAAATTCTGGTTCTGATTCTCCAGTCACGGCCATTTCTCCGCTTCGGGTCTGCGGTCTGGACTTTTGGATGGATGCATGCGTGTCAGGGCAAGGCAGAGGTCGAGCGTCCGGAGGTTCGTGCCAAGCTTTGCGTCAAAAGCGACAGCCGTCATCCGCCATGCAGCATGCAGCATGCTCCGCGCTGCATTGGATGAGAGGCCGAATTTTTGAGGGGCAGAGACCAATCGAAGTCAACAGTCACGAGTGTCAAGGCGTGAGTGCATGGCCATGATGAGAGCAAGCTAGCTGCAGGGACCTTTGCCGGACGGAGCTTGGCCCGTTGTTGCATAATCCCTCTATTTTGGCCACACTCGATCCAGTAAGCGCTCGAGTCGTGCAATCGCGTGCTGATTTGCCGTTCTCGATTCTGATTACTTGATGCAGATTCGCTGAATAGTCACGCAACACATCACTTACTGCTGCTGAGTAGAGTAGTGTGATGTAGATACAGGTTTTGTGGACCTACATCCGGGCTCAACCTTCCCCATACTCGTTATTCGACACCCTCCGACGCCAGCTGGGGTTGGCCGCGCGCGCGAGTCAAGATGATCGAGTGAACATGCCCAAGCAGGCAAGCAAGCCACAACTCCGCAAGCGCGCCCGCGCCTTGATCCTTGTTGCCATGCATATATGCAGCATGCAGGGCCGCGCCGCATCCGGACGCCGCGATGTTTCCTGCTTCAGCCAGATCGAGCTAGAAGCGCCGCAGGCGGAAGGCGAGCCGGGCCAGCATGCAGCGATGACCTCCGCTTCCATGGCATGTTGCATCGCTCATGAGGCAAGTCAGAAAGCTGCACCCACGATTCGACAAGAACGATCGAGGGATGAAATGTCAGCCGTCGTTGCTGTCCAAGTTCCAATCGAGCGCTCTGCAAGTTGAACAGAAACGCACTGGGTAAGGAGGCTGGCTGATCCGTGCGCACGGTTGATACTGTGGGCCCTCATCTGGACATGCTGGTCTTGCACCCAGCATGAGCGATCGATCGATCGAGCTGCGCAGAGGAGAGCAATTGGTGGATGCTGTGGCTGTCTCACTTCAAGCAGAGTGAAGACTCACGACAGTGGCCGGTCTCAAATGCGGTCAAACGTCTTACAGCAGCAGCAGCACCGCAATCGTGAATGGACATGAAGAGCAAGGTTCAGCTGTAGCGGCAATTAGGTCGCACGGCTAAATGATAGCAGCCAGCCAAGCCAGTGCTTTGACTGCTTGCTTGCTTGCTTGCTTGCTTGCTTGCTTGCTTGCTTGCTTGCTTGCTTGCTTGCTCATCTCCTCATGGCAGCTGCGCCATGGAGCAGTCTCCTAGCTGCTGGAGCTTCGAGAAAGTCATCAGCCCGCTGAATCGCACCTGGTACTTAGTGACTGCTACCAGCAGCTGCCACAACGTCTTCCTTTTTCCTTTTATCGAATCAAACATCACCAACGAACACATTTTCAGTGCAACATATACACATTGCAGACAATCCATCGCGCTGGTTCGCGAATTTTGCTGCTCTGTCTCCAAAGGCTAGCAGTGGGCTACAAGTACAGCTCTGCTAATCAAGGCAGCTTCCTCGATCCAGCTCCGAGCGTCCGCCACTTAAGCACACCACAGGCACAAAACACGCAATCCGCTGACCGCGGTGATCCGGATATAGGCTGCACCGACGTCCATATATTTATACGCGCAGACTCGCGAGAGTAGATGGATCTATCTGCCTGTTCGATCCGAGGTAGATATAACCAACGAAAGTGTCTTCATCCCGCCAAACTGCGGATCTTCGGCTTTCCATCGAGCATTACGGCTCACTAGCGCAAGTAGCAATCAGCCAGCGAGGCAACAACAAGGTGCGTGCGGCTCGATCGCCTTTCTCAGATCGTCGATGGCAAACAACTCGAGAAGTGCCTGCGAAGCGTCCACTCGGCCGCGGATCGGGAGGATCCCGCGTGAGCCCCGGTTGTGTCTATTGAGGGTGCACACTTCTCTCCGCAGATGACCGTCTTTGCTGACCAAGCTCTACGTTAGGACTGCTTAGCTGACTTTACGGATTTCCTCTTACACTTCCTCGCGACCGCTAGATCAACATCTTCGCGGGTTTTGCATCTCAGGGTGGCGCAAGATCCGTGCTGGCTACACTTGAACTGCGACGTTCGTTGACGTGCCTGACTCCCCTCCTGCAAGGTCGCTTCTCACTAAGAGCGAGCTCTACATATACTTTTCAGTCTCGAAGGTCATTTGAAGCCGCTGCTCGACCTGGGAAAGGCCAGCGTGACTAGTGAATGAAGATCTGGACGAGGTGGGCAACTCGCATACAGGTACCCCGGCCTCAATCGAACCGCCGAAAAGATCAATTTCTGAGGGCACTTTGTCATCCATCCCAATTGCACCGAAACGGCCACCCGAACTCGTGGTTTACGGCGCTCGTAATTCGCGCACACATGTCATTTGTCTAGCGGCGAAGCAGATCCGCCTGTCCAATCGCCTGTAGCCTCTGGCAACCGGCCGATACTACCTCCAGTCGGGTTGAATCGCGGACGCCACGTTCTGATCATCAAGTGCCCCTCTGCATCAGACGGAGCTGTTACGAGCGGACAAACCCACGTTTGGTCCGCCTTTTCCAAGCATAGAATCAGGGCCTCCGAGACCTCGGCACGACGCCCTAACGTCAGGTCACTCACCTCCCGCTCCGTTCCACCTCGGTCCCAAACAACCCGAGGAGCAGCACGATTGCCGTGCTGACCTTCACAAGAGGTGCTGCAGTCTGAGCTACATCGACACTTCCGAGCGAGATCGAGCGCAAGCGCCTTGCACACATTTCTCTCGGTACGTCTTCACAACCACAACACCTTTGAGTGATTCCTGCATCAACATTGCTCGAGCGTGTGGGTGCAGAAGAACGAAACCAGCGTCCGATTTGCTCGGCCTCGCCAGGCGGAACACAATCAACGCGACCCTTGTCGTCGCCTCAAGGTGACAAGTATGGATCCTCGTGTTGAGGTGCTACCGCTTTTTGCTGGTACCCCTAAACGCTCGGCCTCGACGCGGAATGTCAAAGGCGTTGGCGCTGTCGGCAGTCCCTTGCAGCGATCAGAGACGATGAACGACAGCCCAACGGGAGCGCAGGCTCGCGTCGATCTCAGCAGCCCTCCCGCTCGACCACCTCGTGCTCACTCTCGGTCGCGACCCGCTTCTCCGACGCCTAGCAGCTCAGCATCGGCAGCTGCTGTCCCCTCCCCAACTCCAAAGATGCAGCGAACTCAAAGAAGATCTTTGAGCGAGCTGCGGCATCGCAAACAAGATTCTCAAGATTATGTGGACGCGTTGGAAGGCCCGCTCGACCATTCTTCTTGGAGCGGGCGAACTTCCCTTGAACGGCCCAGCAGCGAGCTTGAAGGGCCTCTAGCAACCGTGCCGCTCGGCAGCATGGTTCAACACGACCCCGCACAAAATAACACAATGCTGCTATCTCACAGATTCGGCCAGGTGTTCAACGACACACTCGGTCAATGTACTCCTGCCACGTCGTCCCAGTCTCCTGATGTGGCGGTACAAGCGACCACACCATGCCAGCTTGTCCGGCAGCAGATCTCGCCAGAGGCTCTGCGGGCTCATCGAGGTCGAACGCGTCGCAGAGATGCGAGCAAGAGTCTGCAGATATCCACCAATGCTCTCTCGACGACTGCATCCGAGTCGTCCCTCGCCATGCCTTTCTCGCCAGACTCGCCACGGTCAGTCTTGCACGCCTCCCAGTGGTTTTCTAGCGACTCTGATGCGGGATCCAACCGATTCTCCCGAAGTTCCAATTGGACCGATAAGAGCAGCATGAGCATAACGCCGCCCAGCGATACCATTTCCACTAGTCGTACCACGTCTGCATGCACCGACCTGACATGCGCACAGAGCGACTTGGTGGCCTCTACAGCGCAGCCTTCGCCAACCTGCGAAGTCAGCCTGGCGAACCACGGTGAATTCGAAAAGACCACTTTGGATGCCCTGACTGCTGGGCTCGGTCTTCAAATCACACCACACCGCTCACCGCCAAATCTGCTTGGTCAGCCCGATGGCGTGTTGATACCTTCGCCAGGGAGAGGAGACGCCTTGAGAGAACTAAGCCCGCAGACACGCCTCCATCACCAGACAAGCCCGTCACTGCGGCACGCGTGTGCTCTTCCGCCTCCGCAAGGTCCGTTGCCGCCTCTCCCGGTTCCTGCTCGTCTGACACGGCCAAACTTGTTGCGCATGCAGTCCGACACAGGCCCGACCACCACGAGTATGAAGCTTTCCCAAGTCACCGGTCTGCATTCGATCGGCCTCTCACGACCCGACAGAGTCACAGCGCCGTACGCTAGAGTCTTTTCAGCAGGAGCCCAGCCTCTAGAAGCTGTCCCAGCTTCCCCTACATTGTCTAACTCGTCTTCTCGAAAGATTCGCACCTCCAAAGCTCTCAATGGGCCGGAGCTCAACAGGCACCTGGGCGAGCTAGAGACTCTCAAACGCTCAGATTCGTACACATCTCAAACCCGTCACAAGCACACTGCATCTACTTCGACTTGCGGTGGATCTTATGAAGCTTCTGACGACGGCTTTGCGGTCGACCGTCAACCGCGACGCCGCGGCAAAAGCTCAACCAGAGCGCCACTTTCTGCGGGACCTTTTCCGAGGGAGCGAACGAGCTCTCTGCAGCAGCGCGTTCCCTCTCGCCTGCAGACCAGCAGCTCTGCGGCTGAGTTGAGGACTCCCGCTCAACCGAGAGTCGCGACGACTCTGAACAGACAGCGTTCACCCAGACCCAATACGAGCAGTGGCGTCACCATTGAGAAGCCCCTTGAGAAAGTGCACGGCTGGCTTCAAGAACCTCTCGAGGATGTGCCCAGTGCAAATACTACACGCGCAAAAGACGAGGGTCATGCGGACTCACTTAGACCTAGCACAAGCATGGGAATCGCTTCGCCCCGAAGCTTTCAGCAATCCACGTCTCCTACATTTGCCAACGATGACACCTCCACTATTCGCTCCAGCCGCGGCTTGAGCTCACCGCAGCCTGCTCACAGGCCGAGTACCAGTAGCAGCTTGCAAACGCGGCTGGTATCTCCCTCCGAGATGCTGGCAAGAGAACCGAGTGATTACGGAAGAAAATCGCCAGACAGCTCTTCACGCTTGACCCCGTCCATATCGTCCACGTTGCGACGATGGCGCTCGAATTCTGCAGCGTCTTCTGCTTCCACAAAGCGCGCAGCTGACGCTAAAGCCCAGCATGCAGAGACATTCGACCAGTCGCAGGAAGCGCACAACATCGTCGTGGACAATGATCGGATGAGGACAGCTGGACTCAGCCTCGCGGCTCGTCCTGCCACATCACCGCACGAGCGCTCGCCTCCTAGCTTCTACCAAGCACCTGTATCAGTGTTTAATGCTCCCATGGTGGAAACACCTCTTCCGCCAGTCGAGCAGCTCATCGCCCAGGATGTCTCTTCGGTGGATTTGAGAGGTTGTCAAAACATGGCACTGCCTGACTGGCTCAAACTTTCTCTGCCCTACATATCTAGCACGTTGATGTGAGTACACGTGGCCGCCAAGCGCAAGGCAGGCCGCTGAGCCAATGTCCGCTGCCTCCTCCTTGCACTCCACCAGCGATCTCGACATCTCGTCAGCCGGTCTGTGGGAGCTTCCCGCTGCCATGTCAATGTGCAGCTCCCTTCAAACTCTCAACATCTCGAGGAACAATTTTGGTAGGATCCCCACGGTCGTCGGGGACTTGCAAGCTCTCACCACTCTGATCGCCGACGGAGTTGGTGCGAATCATTTGCCAGAATTTCTGGGAGGACTGAAAGAGCTGAAGAGCTTGAGCGTCGCAGACAACGAATTGTCACATTTGCCCTCTTGGATGCATACCTTGAAGCTGGAGCGTCTCTGTATCGATGGCAATCCAATGCAGCCAAATTGGGTGCGCATCGTAACGCCATTGTTATCGCATGGTGCTTCGCTTCGTACACAACGACCACCCTCGCTGCATACGAGCTCGACATCAACGTTCAAGGAGGGGCTCTTCAAGAATAGAGTGACAGGACTCGTCTCGTCGGAGGATTTCAGTGGACCGCACTCAGCTCCCATCTCTCGTGCTGATCCGATATTGCCAATCGTGGCCGCCCCGCTTGGTCCGCCTTCTCCTGCATCAGCAAACGCGGCATCTTTCAATAGCCAATCTTGGCGCGGAAGGACGTCGACCAAGGTTGGAAGTTTGAGCGAAAAAGCTCCGCTCCTCACGCCCTCATCTGCTCCAGCGCGGAGTATGAGCTCGACGAATGACTCGCACACGGAGCTCGCTCCGCCCCTCACATCGGCGCGCAGACCGAGCGTGGGCAACGGTCTTAGCACGCTCCTTCGACGCGTCGGCCGCAAGCAATCCAATGCTGGTTTGCAGGGATCGCCGATGCTCGATGAGCCACCGCCAATGCCAATACAGATCCCGCAGCTTCCTCCCTCTATACAAGGAGTTCTACCCAGCCCAACCCTGCTATCGCCAGAGATGGAGCATAGCCTCTCTAACATCGCCACCGACGCTCATGAGAGCGAGACCGCAATCCTCGAAAAGCGAGAGCAATGGCGCCAGATATCACCTGATCATTCGAGGCGCATTCGTGCTCTGATGCACTACCTCAAAGATCTGCACGACCTTTCGGGAGTTTCCAGTCGCATGCTTGATGCCGGCGTATCGAGTCCGCTTGAAGATCCGCAAGTAGGAGATTTGCCCCGCCAGACTTTTACTCGGGTACATTCGCGCGGCGACAACAGTCCAAAGAGCGCCGCATCTGATGAAGCGGCTTCTACGCTGCTAGCCAAAGATGACTCTGTAAGGCGTGCGCGCATCTTGCAGGAGATCTTGTCCACCGAAGAGACTTATGCGCGTCAGTTGCAAGAGCTCGTAGATCTCTACGTTGCACCCATGAGAGCTTTCGATCAAAACGGAGTGCCTCTGGTCCCACCTTTGGAGCACGGGCTAATTTTCATGAACGTGGAGAGCATTTCTCAGCTGCACCGCTCCCTTGTGCCATCACTTCGCGCTGCTGTCGAACCGTTGCTCGGCACGAACGCTCAACCGAATGCGTCACATGACGCTGACCTTACAGCAGCTGCGGCTCAAAGCGTAGCGCAGACTTTCCTCTCGCATGCTGCATTCATGAAGATGTACAGGCAGTGAGTGCAGGCAGGGCCTCTATTTTCTTTGACGAACGTCACGCTGATTCGTGAGCGTCCCTTTTTCCTTGCTTGCTGCAGGTACGTCAACGGTCTAGATGGCGCCCAGGTCAGGGTTGCGGCCTGGCTACAGTCCATGCCGACAGTGGCAACATCAGGGCGGGGATCGACGCCGAGGCCCTCTACAGCATCGGAAGCGACGCCGAGCGCACTTGCGCGCAAGCAGGTCAAGCGCGTACGAAGTTTCTTGCAGCATGCCAAGGCAGACCAGCGCCACAGTCAGATCAATCTCGAGTCTTACCTCTTGTTGCCGGTGCAGCGATTGCCGCGCTATCGCTTGCTGCTGGAGGATTTGGTCCGGTACACGCCTGCTCATCGCGTGCAGTACGGTGAGAACGGCTTCAATCCCATGGTCGCTGCTCTCGAAGCTATCACGGAGCTCGCGCGTGGCGTCAATGAAGCCAAGCGACAGAACGAGCAAGATCAACGCTTGTTGGCTTGGCAGGCGCGTGCTGTAGGTCGATGGCCTAACCCACTGGTGCTCCCTCACCGCCGTCTGCTTCGAGATGGTCCCGTCACTCTGACGCGCGTGGTGAAGCGCAAAGCGTCAGTCGCCGTACCTGCACAAATGTTCGCCAATGTGGACGAGACGGATTTCTTTTCGGACGGTGCGATCGGCCGGACAAGGACACCATCAGGCGCAGACTTGATCGAGATTTTTGCGCTCCAACAGCAGCTCTTTGCCAAGGCTCTCCAGCTCATTCTTTGCAACGATTTGCTGGTTGCAGTTGCGGAGACTTGCACAAGCAAAGAGTCGCCTGCGCCCATTGAGCTGTACAGCGAGATCCAACCGCTCGTGCCAGTCAAAGTGACGGGCCAAACGACCATCAGAGTGGTGGGAAAGCTTTGCATACTTTATTTGGATTGCGGCAAGGCAGCAGACGCCCGTGCGTGGTGCAGCATCATCAACAACGCCTTTTCCCTGAGCGAGTAAAGCTTTCCATCAGGTGTTTGTCCAACTTTACAAAATCACACGCTTCCTTTGATTCATTCGCCACTCCTGCTATCCATCGATCTGTACATTGTCGAGCGCACTCCCCAATGCAACAAACATGTCATGTAGATTATATACTGTCCCGCCATCGCACGCAGCTTGGTCCCACGCTCTTTGTCAACTGATCTTTCTTTCATCTTCGATGCAAAAGAAATACATCAGCGCCGCTGTTCTGCCCCACATCGCTCGCACACTGCGGACCTGCGTGTGCGTGATACAAGGAGATGATGATTGCTTGCAAGTATGCCAAGTGATGAGTGAGGAATGTTTTCGACAGCTTTGCACTCTCAGCATCCTCGATCTAGTCGCCCGACAGCCAACCATAGCGGGTGAAACCGTTGACGAGGGTAGGGTCGGCAAGCGCGGTGCTGCACAGGACGTGGAGCGGAGAGGATGGAATGGAGCGAGCATGCGTGCGTCAGCGCCACTCTGACCTCTTCGAAGCGCCGTCTGCGTGCGCTCGCTACTCACATCCATGATCGCGCCTCCATCCAAAGCCAGATCTGATTGCGAAGAAAAAGGGAGGACGTTGCACGTTAGCGATTTCTTCTATTTTGAGCAAAGCAAGAGCACGGATGGAGATGTGTAGCGCTCTTCTCACCTTGAGCATAGGTCCTAAGTGCTTCATGTCAGGACGATGCGTCATCATGGTCTTTGCATCTGCTGTGCGCAAGCCACCGCGCAAGATGGGCAACGCGGCTTGGAAAAGCTGCAGCACGCAACGAAGCAAGAGTTTTAGAGAAGATGAGATGGAGCGAAGCTTATTGGGAGCACAATTTGTACTCACGTCCATATTGGGATCCAACGACCTGCCGATACCCTCCAACAGCAAAATGCTAATGACGGTGTTGACGAAGTCCGGCTCCATCTTGACATGGTGATTCCTCACACTCTGCAATACGTTGCTGAGCACATCTCCGATCCTGATTTTGCCCAGACTAAACGTCTTGCTCTTGACGCTCAAGACCAGATCCTGCATCTTGAGCGCGAACGTCTCTTCATCAATCACCAGATCCGGACTTCTGCATCTTTCCACCATCAACCTTCCAGCCAACGCTCCATCAAATTCCGCCACCGCTCCAAACAAGTCCAAGAAATTTCGCCTGTTCAGAGGAGTCAGCTCCACCGTCAAGCCGGCGTCTATGAGTACCAACTCGGGCTGATAACCAAGCGCATCCAGCCTTTCCAATTCATCCAGCCACGCCTCTGCATCGTTTTTAAGCGGTCTCAATCGCTCAACGACGCTCTGATCCACCTGATCATCCGCCGAAGGTGCTCCCTTCTTCGCTCCTCTGGCATAGTCCGAGTCAAATCGAGACAGGATGCGCAAAAAGAGGTCGTGCAGCATGGAAGAGGTTGTCGGCTTGTAGAACTTGATCATGATGTTTCCAGGGTGCAGATCCGCGTGCGTGAAATTGTCGATCAGGAGCATGTTCTGCAGGCAGTGTTTGGCAAGAGTCAGCAGTGGTATTGCCACACACAGAGGTCATCGACCATTCACCAAGAAAGCATCCAGACCAAGCGTAGCGATACGATGGTCGAACGCAGCTCCACCCAAGTTCAAAAAGTGCTTCAGTGGAAGCGCATCTTCGTACTCCTCGAAAAGGATTTCGCGCGTGCTGAACTCGAAGAGAGGTCTGGGGAACGAGACTGCAGCTCTCCTCTTTTTGAAGTTATCTTCAAACCTCCTCAAATGTTTCGCCTCGTTTCGCAGGTCCAGCTGGCTGAACATCATCGAAGCGAAGACATCGACTTCTTCGGGAAAAGAGAGCCACTCGGCGCCGGGGATGAGATTGATGAGGTTGGCAAAGAAGGACATGATCTTGATGTCCCGATTGATCGTCCTGTGAACCTTGGGATGAAGAACCTTGATCGCTACCGATGCGGTAGGCACTGCGGGCGGCGCCGAGTCATCCTCGTAAGTCAGCGCGAGCTGTCGAGACACTTCTGTAGATCGCGCCCTTTCTCGCTTTTCCGTCAGGTAAGCGGGGGGCAAGAGCTCCGGATTGAGCTTCGCCTTGTACACCTGTGATTCAACGCCGCTACATGTGTTAGACCAGAGGAGGAGGGCGAATGCTACCCTTGTGACGCACCTGTGCCACAGCTCCGATGCCCAAAGGCTCGTGCGGGAACTCCTCAAAGATCTCATCGAAAGGCTTGCCAAAGACGCGCTCGATGACCTTCTTGGTGTATGCGAATGAGTGCGCCTTGCCGTTGCTGTGCAGCTTGCCGAGCAGCATGCACAGCTCTTCGGGGAACAAGTCTCGCCTCGAGCCGGCCCATTGAGCGAGCTGGCGAAGGGGAGTGAGAAGCGAAGCAAAGAGTGGTCAGCGACTTGATATTGGTCGGCAGCACTCGTGGTGACAGGGTGGGAGGTCTGCGCGGAGCATTCATGCAGTTGATGCTCACCTTGATGAATGTGGGACCTGCTCTCTCCATCTGCTTGACCAGGAAGCCGTACCACCAAATAGCGCCCCATCTCTGACCCTCTTCGTCCTTTCTGACTCTTCTCCTCCTTCCCAAAGGTCCCTTTTTCTTCCTGCTTCCCACCCAAATCATGGGTATGGTCAAAAGGACTGGCATGAACAAGCAGAAAAGCACAACGAATCTCTTGGTGGTGCCCAGTGGCTCTATGATGTAAATGTTCAGAGTCGACCCAATGGAACTAAGAATGCGGATGATGAGATGGGCGGATGGCTCATTGTCCAGCGCTTCGACGGAGGGTGCGAACGCCTTGGAATCTTCGTGCTCGTGCGGGCTTGACTTTGCGTCTTCAGGTTCGTCCGATTCTGCCTTGACCGCGCTCTGCAAGTAGATCGTCAAGCCAAGTCCAACTGCAGAAGCAGGTAAAGCTACGGTCCACCATCTTTGCGCTCTTGACCATTTGAAATGAGATGAAGAGGAGGTCGACAGAAGTCGAATGGAGGATTGCATGCCCTTTGCGACGTGGCTTTGCTCATCTTTTTGCCAATGTCGTGCTGGGCCCAGACGTCGCTGTGCCCGCGAGGTGCTGCAAAAGCGGCTATGCTCGCATACGCGCTGAGGGCTTACACAGGGCTCGATTGTCGAGCTTGCGAGACCGACCCGTCTGAATCGTGACGCTGTATGTGTAGGAATGAGAGGCGATGAACAACGTCCGAGGACCGGAGCATTGCACCTGAAAGCCCCAGCCATAGTTGGGAGCGTCTCAATCAAGAGCCTTCGATGCGCTCCTTTCGCAGCGAGGCGTGGCTCCGATCGCAGTCTAGGTGAGCTTGTCTCTTGCGTCCTCTGCCCTGCTCGTAAGAGGGATGAAGAGCAGGCCCTTGAGATGCTTTGGCCGTGAAGGTACGCGCTGGCGAGCCTCGTCGGGCCAGGTCGAGGGAGGCCCAGGCACGAACGGGGGGGGCAGCTTAGTGAATCACGAATCACAATGCGCATCGCAGCCATGCACCGCATGTGGAGTAAGTAGTCGTGAGTTGTGGGTGCATGTGGGCGCGGGAGTCAGATTTCATCCGGCTCGGCTCGACAAGTGCCACGTGCGCGTAGCAATCGAATCGTATCAAGCTTAGCAGAAGACGCGTGCGCCACCCACCGTGCGCCGTGCTATATGGATGACGATCGATGCTGCACGGCTCAAACCTCCCAGCGAGCGTGCATTTCACAGCTTCGCCATCATCGCACCTGCACCTCTTTCTTGGCCAGCAACCTCATTACACATTCCACTCGCCTTGAACGCCCTGTGCCAGTATCAAGGGGACTTTTATCTTTTGCGCGCATTGCTGGCAACATCTCGAACGTGTTCAAGGCAGCTCGTATCCACGATGGTCATGGCACGCAACCTGGTCCGATCCGCTCGTCTGAGCGCGAGCGTACCTTCCAGTCGATCCATCTCGCTTCCCCGATTGGCAAACATTTCTCCCATCGCAGCATCTTCTTCAGCTAAACCCAGATTGCAAGTCAACTCATTCCAGATCCAACAACAGCAGCAACGCTTTTACGCTGCTAGCTCTGGTCTTTCGCAAGCCGAGATCCAGAACAGAATCTCCGAGGTGCTCAAGAGCTTCGAGAAGGTCGATGCTGCAAAGGTGCGTGCTTCTGGTCTAGAAGAGGGTGCAAAGCATGCAACATATGCCTGTAGAGTTTGCAGGCGGACAAGATAGCAGTACGCAGATGCAAGATCGGCGGTTTCGTCTGGCGCTTTCGGAATAGAAGGACTTTCCGGTAGAAACTAGTCTCGTTTGTCTTCCATCCAGAAGAGCAACATCGCTGGGCATCACTTCCCATCTGTGTATGCGCTGACGTTTGACGTCTGCTCTTCGCCTCTCTTCCTCTCTCTCCTCCTAGCAGCTCTCGCCCACCGCTTCTTTCACCGGTGATCTGGGATTGGACAGCCTGGACGCAGTAGAAGTCGTCATGGCCATCGAGGAGGAGTTTTCCATCGTGAGTGGTCGCGCTTGATTTATTGAAACGCAATGGGGGGTAGGGGAGGGGCCCAAGACGATCTCAGAAGGGTCTCTACGTTGCTTAGATCCGACCTTTTGCTCGCACATCATGCTCATCGATTTAAAATGTGTGTTGATCTGTGCGAATAGGAAATTCCTGATGCGGAAGCGGACAACATCACGACTGTTCAGCAGGCTATCGAATACGTCTCCAAGTCTCCAGATGGTGAGTGATCAGTTGTATCATGGTCATTGCTACGATGGCTCCACTGCAGCTTGGCGCATACAAGCTCTGCGCTGCCAGATCACACATTGCCGCACGTCTTCTCTAACACTTGTGCGCTCTCCTTCCTTCCCTACGCAGCTCACTAGACCAAAGTATTTGAAGAGGGAGATCAAGATCAGGATGGGCTGGCAGGCGGCACAGCGTGGAAAGCTCAGGTGTCATCCCCTTGACCTTCCAGACCCAAAGTCTCCTCGAGCGGAGGCTTGACCTCTTCAATGTGACAAGTTGCGGCATGGAAAAATTTCAGTCTCCCGCCTGATATATGGAATGCACGATTGTGAGGATGGCAAGGATGCGACTCGATGTCAGGCACGGACTCTTGCGATGGCAGAGTGCTCGTGACTCTGGACCAAGTTGTTCGTCCAAAATTCACGATTGCGGAAAGCCTATGCGGGATCATTTTGACACTCGTGACTGATCAAGCTTGTCCGCCTGCTGTGAATAGGCGATGCTGGAGAGAAGCAGCGAAAGCTATAGGTGAGGAGGTGATCATCAGTCACGGTTCAAGATTGCGAGTAGTGAGACCGGTGGACGATGCTATAGAGAGCGCAAACATTTGCATTTGCATTCACTGATTTGGGGATCATCAAATGTGAAGGTCGTTTAATTGAGCGACGAGCTCTGCGAGAAGCGTGGACAATTCGAGGGTGCATCGATGGTATATATGACCCCTTTGACTCGTCTCCAAACTCAGACGGAATATTCGATCTAGATATGCACTTTGACTGCTGTGCCTCGGGTTTGAAATCTTGATCGATGTTATTCTAGCTAAATATACTACTCAGACTGCATGCTGTCGGCCTTCTTGTGGGCGAATTCGACCGCGCCTGACTTTGACTCACCCGAGTCGAATTATCTCAGCTATACAGGTGAAGAGAAGAGGCAGCATAATATGGGCTTGCATTTTCCCGCGGACCGACCTCACCCAGCCTATGTAGCTGAAATCGCACGTACGTACCTCTATATAGCTTGACTCTTGACTCCCTCAGTCTTGAGCACAGAGCTTCTCGAGTCAACACTGAAGCACGAACCAAGAATCAAATGTTGTTGTGATTGCACGTAAGAGGCACTGCTGCTAGCTGCTGATTGACAGTCACGACTCACGGTTTGAGTCAAGAGTCTTGACCGCGCCTGTTCATAGAATATGGTCTGAATTTGAATCTTGAATGTGAACGTGAATCTACTCACAACTGCAATTTGAATCTGATGATGAGTCAATGCTGAGTCGAGAGTGTGAGTCGATGAGTTGCATGACCTTGATTCACATTCAAGATTCTTGATTTTAGATTTTGGTTCCGGCTCACGACTCGTGGATCCGATCAAATTTGTGTTACGCGTCGCTATATGAGCCTATGCATGATTGATGAGGCAGCTAATAGCTAGACTCTTGAATCACGAATGTCGTACCGAAGCCGAAGCTAGATTTGTCGCACTGTACAAGGTTGATTCGAGATTCGCTCATCGATCGCGGCGCGGCGAACACGGCCCCTTTCTCAATACGCTATACACGGTACACCTCGAGATGTGGTCCATTTGCGCAGACGGGGCACATCAGCAGTAGTCAAGAGATGAAGAGCGTGAGTCGGGAATGTGCGGTTGCTCGCGGTGTGTATCGGAGTAGTCACAGTGTGAGTGTGAGTATATGAGTGAGAGCCTCTGCGAAAAGCAGAATCTCAGCCCAAGCACACACAGCCTCTGATCGTCGGCTCAAGAGACGCGACCTTGATCGATCCACTTCGAATTCCAAAGCCCCATGATTCTTGATTCATTCAGCTGTACATGAAGCATCGCATGAATCAAAAGGACCCACTATTATGCTCCTTGATTGGCGAATTTGATTCAGATTCTTCAGCAATGTTTACGAAAAGACGACCACTGCCATGGGAAAGTCGAGATCCGCAGCGAGGGCTCCATGCAGCAGCAGGCGAGTCTGGCTGACTGAGCTTGATTGGACTTTGACTATCATCGTACGTGCGTCCGGCAGCTTTGAGCGAGCGCGGACAGCAGCAGTGATTGAGTCGCAAAGGCGATCAGGATGATCGTAGCGCTCATGCAAGCTTTTGTTGTGATGGAACATGTATGCCATGCCATGGAGGTCCACGCACCGCAAGCATATGCGCTCGATCGATACTTGATTGCACCTCTGACTCGCTCCGAATTGGATCTTAATTGCTTCATCAAGATCAAGTCAGGAGAGGAGTAGACAGCAGTCGCGAGTGGAAGCAACGCCAATTGACTCGCGCATCTACTCACATCTCATCACGCGAGCGATCAAGGTCGAGCCTTCTACCCTCAGGCTCTCCGCTTTCTCTACCCATGCATCCACCTTCCATTCGTCCACTAAGCCATCCATATCTCACCTCTCGTCATCTAGCGACTTCTCATCCATTGCTTCTGCATCCATAATCCACACTTTGTGTGCATTCCAGCCTCCTTCGAAGACGACTTCTCTTCTTCACAGGGCACAAAAGAGCGGAAAGGCAGAATGGAAGACCACACCTTTGTAAGTGCGCCTGTGGAACTTAGGGTTGTGGTGTCGAGTCGTCATGAAATACTGCGCAAGCTGGTAGATAGGCGCATCACTCTGATGTCCCTGCATCCTCGCAGCGTTCCATCGCCACTCGGGCCAGGAGCACCAGCAGAGCACCGAGCGTCGGAGCTTCGAGCTTTGTGAGTGCACCCTTTCGCCTTGACCTTCCTTATTCACCCCCCAGTCGTCCCGCTCAATACCTCTCCTTTCATCTTTGATTTGCTGTTCCTTCCTTTCGATGCGCACAGCGCTCTGCTTCCGAGGTCTTGGCCGGCCCGTCATTCTTCTCAGTCCCTGTCAAGGCTGAGCCCAATATCAAGACTGAGCCTGGGACAGGCACGGCAGCGTCGGCCCCTTCACCTTCCACCCCCGCCCGATCCGCGTTTGACGCTACACGAGCAAGAGTGACATCAAGCTTTCGAGCCTCTTCAGTCGGCCTCTCTTCGTCTTCCTCTTCCGCACAGCGAGGACAGTCCGTGCCCGCTTCTTTCCGTGGGCGATTTAGCACTCCCAAACCGCGCAAGAGGCCTTTTACGCCCTCCACTCCCTCTCCAATAAGAAGGAGGAGCAGGAGCAAAAGCGGATCCGTAGCGCCGAGGACAACTTCGGTTTTGAGAGCGAGCTCGCTCAACCCTTCCGTGCTTGCCTCTCTGGGCGAGCACCGTCTTCGATCTCCGTCGATGTTCAGCATCGCCAGGACTCGTACGCCGAGCATATCTCCTCGGTCCGTCCGAGGCTCAATGGCTCCACCCAGCACGCCTCACAGACGAGAAGCACGCAATAGCAACGTCAATGTCGACGCTGCCGGTGCCGGTGCACCGCATTCTCCATTGGCTCGTCTTCTGGGAGCAGATCGATCCATCGATCTCGAAGCTCTCGAGGCTTCCCCTTCGCGCGCAGCAGCGCTTCGTCGAGCCTCTGCGGCGCCCAGCAGCAGCACCAATCGCCAGACAGCGCCGCCATCTGAATTAGCATCGGCTCATCTGCCAACCCGCGCTTCTGCTTCCATCGCCAACGCAGATGGCATCGGCATGCGGGATGAAGGCTACGATTCATCATCCGACGGCGACGGATTCCAAATCACCTCGTGCCGCACCGCTTCGCCAGCGCAATCTCAATCAGGCCTCACTGCCCTCTCAGCCTCACCTCCGCCCGACTTCAGAACGCAGCGATCTTGTCGACAAGATTGCGTCGTTAGGATCTCGATGGAAGGTCCGGGAGGTGTGAGCCTGGACTGCCAGATTCCCATTTCTCAGGAGCTAGCTGCCAGATCGGCGGTGCTGCGCGCGGAATTTGCGAGAATTCCTAGACAGCTACAAAAACGCGTCGATGAGTTGCACAAGCGATACGCCTGGTGAATGAGTCGCTTCGCGCGGAAAATACTCGTCTAAAAAGGATTGCTTCGAGCGCCTGAAAAGGGGATTGAAGTCCGCGAAAGACGAACTCTTCAAAAGACCCGCTTCCTCCTTCTCGCTTCAGAACGTTCTTTCTCGAAGGGTTGGCACATGACGATCCGCCGGCCCAGCATCTCGGCCCTCATTCTCCGCTCTTGATGTTCTCCACACTAAGATTTTGTGAGCATCCCCTCCGCCTACAGCTACGCAATCTGAATCCGAGTCAACAGTCGCGTTCACCACGCATTACGGTCAGATGCAACGCTGTTTGTCGAGGCGCGACTGGCGTTGATTGCTTCGCGAAGAAAGAGGCCTCTTGAGCTCGCGTCGCTGTGTTTGAAAAGCGCAGCACCGAGTGAATGTCCATTTTAACATTTCAATCTCAACCACCACTACCGCTTCTCCTTTGCCCATCTGACATTGCGCCTCAAGTATACCCTGCTCGTCATCGATCCATCTTGCGTAGGTACGTGACGACTGCCCAGACTGCGACGTTTGGCCTCCACTCGTATTCTATGGGCCCATAATGCTCTCAAGTCCAACCTCGTGCCGGTCTCTTGCGCATACAGTTGAGCTTTAGCGAGCGCCTTCGGGGCTTGCGGAGTAGGCTTTGGTGCTCTGTCAAAGCCTTGACCCATCGATGGATTGTCGTGGTCAACGACAAATGCCGTGAGATCTTTCAGAGTAGGGCCGTCGGAAGTTGCCCTGCTTGGCCTTATTTGAGCGTAATTCAACTTCCACTCCGGCCACGATGCAGAAGCTGGCCTTTTCGAACAAAACGAATGGATAGCTGGATGAACGGGTACTTCGTCAGGTGCTGCGCCGTACGATGTCTCTTGCGCCAAGCAAGGATACACATCTTGCTCGTGTGATTGCTGAATTACAGCAGCACTCGGTACGTCGTTGTTCTCCGGCTCTTCTGCTTCCTCCTTCACCCTCAAAGAGAATGGCGCAGCCCAGGGATGTATCTGACTGGCGGGTGGTGCATGCGTCGAATCAATCCTTTTTGGACTCGAGCTTTGCGCTGCTCCATGTCCCTCTTCATCAGCGCTTGCTCCGCATCTGGTCGGCGACGAGTGAGAGGAGGGCACGTCTTTGTCCACCAGGGAGAAGGCCGGAACCAAAGGCTTGTGCGCGGACTCGTGCGTTGTGTAGAGGATGGCAGGTCTTGACAGCCTAGCACCTTGATGGTGATGGGTTTCTGAAGGGAAAAGCGCATCATCATGCGTGGATGGACCGGCCTGTGGCTGTTGATGCCCGTACACATCCGTTGTACCTCCACCGCCCCTCATGAAATCCGCATAGCTAGCTCGAGCAACGTCGCAATGAGGGTTGCGAGATGCAGGATCAGCATTCGTCGCTACAGCATGCCGTTGCGCAGGGTGATTTCAATATGCTCACAAATCATCAAAGGCTAGATTGATGGCTTGCGTGTGCAAATCTGCATCCATCTCGTCGGATGGATGAGGATGATGCGTTGCTGCATGCGCAATGCCACGATCCTGATAGACACCAGCAAATCCGTGCGCATCGTTGCGATACTTTGTCGCTTCGACTTGCAGGAATGCACCTCGGCCATCACAATCTTCTTGAAATGGAGTGGACATGGTCTTGCTTCTCTTCACCGTCTAGCGTGCTGCCCAATCGTGTTGGATTGTGATTTGTTCTCAGGGAATGGCTCGTCCGGACCCTCTGAGTCTTGCGTACCAAATTTTTGCCTTCCCTTCTCAACCTCGCGCGACACAGGTGCCCGTTTTGCATAGTCTCATCCTTTCTGGCTGGTGGATGGACGTGATCTTGAAGAAGCCAGCCAAACACATGTGCTGTCCCCTTTGGGTCTCAAAGCTGTCGTACCGCGGATCGTATATGGTACGCGCTGAAGGACTCAGCATGCATCAGCAGCATCCCGGCCATTCAATTCACAAGTCTGACTCCGCGGCGTTGCATGCACCTCCGCCGCTCAACACGCGCTCAACGCGCACGCGCGTTTTTATCACGTGACATCTGCTTCCCTTTCGCCACTCAACTCTCGTAAATTTTGGCTGTGCACCTGATGCATCGTGCATCGACAGAAAGTCAAGAGTCCCTCTCCACTACTATACATTCAAGGTCCTCGCTCGTCGTCGGTCACATTTGTGATTTCTATGTAACGGTCCTCAAGATCTCTGACGGTCGTGTGTGTGCATTGAAGATTGGCAAGCAGCCCCGAGTCAATCAGCTACCTGTCCATTCCCACGCTCTGACAAGAATTGCACGAAAGAAGCCGCGACCACAAGCGCATTCGAGACAACATGTCCCTGCCTCAAGATCCCACGGCTACTCTTCAATCCCTCCAATCATCCATCGCACACCTCTCTGACGTTCTCGACCCTGTCCTTTGCCAAAAGCTGTCGGTGCTGAGCCAACAACTAGAGAGTGGATCTTCCCAATCCGACGTACAAGTTGCTTCCGACCACGCTTCGAATGGTCAAGCGGAATCGAGCAGGAGCAAGAGTAATGACGCAGCGAATAGGAAAGAATCGGGTGGAAGGTTGGACAGTGCCAGATTGAACATCAGCGCGGCGTACGTCTTGTTAGACCTGGTATGGAGTGAGTGTGGCTTCAGCTATTGGCAACCAGAGCGATGAATCAGCGCCTATATGCGCTCGTGTCTCTTTCTCTCTAGCCAAGGAGTAGCGCCAGAGCAACACGATGGTGTCTTATTCTTGACTACGGACAAGCCATCTGACATTCCTAGCCCTCACTCCCCCACCCCCTCCTCTTCATGCGCTTCTTGCAAACTACCTCTCACAGTGTATCTCAGAGTAAACTCCAAAGATCCCAAGACGCACAACGTCACAGCCTCTTTGGAACGCGTCAAGAACTATTTCCAAAAAGTCGCAGTTGCTCAACGAAAGTTGCCGCGACTTGCACCGCCAGCTTCGAGCGGAGGGGATGGCACAAATGCCGGCGCAGGATTGGAAAAGCTGAAAGCTGCCGGTTTTGGAAAAGAGGAGCGGAGAATGCCGGTGGATGGTGTAGCAGCTGGACGTTTCGTCAAGGCCGCATTGGACAGAGGAGCAGGCAAATCCACCTCTTCCAAGTCTTCCAAATTCGACTCAAAAGGTTCTCATACGCGATTTGAGGATCAAGACGATGACGATGATGCTCCGAATTCCAGTCGTGCATCTCCATCTACCTCATCTCTCCCCAAACAGAAGAATGAGAAACACCAAAAGTCCAAAGCTTTGGATGCGAATTTGAGCAAGAAGGACAAAGTTGCCTCCTCAACGCAACAGGAGGTCAGCGACAAGAAGCGCAAATCGAGCGAGTCCGCTGCAAAGGTCAATTCGACCGACTCTGATCCTTTATCCCAGGAAGCAAAAGCTCTTCGTAAAAAGCTCAAAGAGGCCAAATTGGCCAAAAAGGCAACGTTGCGGTGAAGGATGGCATGATTCCGCTCGGGATATCTGGCAGCTTGCCGCATCGATCTGAAGGTTGCCTGGCTTGCGTTGTGTGACCAGCGTCCTCCTGCACTGCGACTGAATCGAGCATCCATACTCAATCTCACATCGATCAGCCCTAGAGACCGATCGCCGAAATCTCGTCTTACTCGCGTAGCATTACATGTTCGAGATTATGTGCAGGCGGAAAAAAGTAGAGCATCTTCGTGAGAGCAAGGTGGGTAGCGATAAACCTTCATTGTGTAGCGATTTCTGTCGATTCAGATCAAGCTTGATGAGATGGGTCCACGCATCTATACAGCAGGCACCTGAGCTGCGACGACATCTCTCTTGAGTAGCACCTGACGCATGAACGTAAGGGTCCTCTTCGTCATGTTCGAAGGCTTCGCGACCAAAGCCCTCGCCATAGCCCGGTACCTTTGCGTAGCAATCTTCTCGTTGCCAGGCTGCATGACTGGGCATTTGTTCTGCACACGGAGCAAAGGAGAAAGAGGTGAACAAGAACAACGATAGGTTCGACGTGTCAGTTTTATGTCGCCTAGAACACCTCTCCCGAGCCTGATGTTGCAGCTACACTCACTACAAAGTGGAATGGACCTTCGCAAATTTCGCAAAGCTGACCACCTCGGTTCGTGATGGCAAAGGACGCCCTGGCCGCGGGTTCTCCTCTCGTAGCAATCTCTGCGTAGGGGTCCGCAACACTTTGGGAGTGGCTTGCAGCCGGATGCCTGGGTGGCGAATGGTGCAGCACGGGTTGGCTCTGAGCGTATTGCGGCGGTTGCAATGTGCTTGGCCTGGAGAAGGCAGACACTGGCATTTGCGAAGTCGGAGGAGGAGGAAGAGGAGCCAGATCGGAGCGTGGAACAGAAGGAGCAGGCTGTGACAGTGAGGTTGCAGATTGTGACGCAGATCCCGCCGACTTTCGCGCTCGAGCTTGCAGTTGGCTCAACCTGGCCGGTCCCAACTCTTGTCTCTTCTTCTCCAGCAGATGCGCTTGCTCGAGGGAAATTACTCCAGCAGACATTGGGTCGATAGGCGGTGCGGCAGCTTGACGTGCAAGCTCTCGTTCAGCCTTCGTCATCGATGGTCGAGGGCGGTATATGTAATCGAAGTTACCGAGCGGTGGCGGCGCCTCGGGACTAGTAGCGAGCAGCAAAGCTTCGCTCGCGCCGTGCACCTTCCTGGAAGTAGCCAAAAGTCTGCGATTTTGGTCGTCGTTGAATGGTCCGAGAATCGTCATCATCTCTACCAACTTGTCTCGCAAAACCCTAAGCATGCTCCTTGCTTGCGCCACATCAGCTGTGCCAAACATGATCTCGGCCGCATGCATGACACCATCAATGTTTGTGGCGCCTAGATCACGAAGCGAGCTGAAGCCTTGCATAAGCTCTTGCTTCTCCGCATCGGTCAACAGTCTTGCCTTGCGTCCATGTTTGCCCTTGTTCCAGACTTGCCATATCTTCGCGACTGCGCGGATCAGATGTTCCCGCACGATGCCCGCGTCCAGGAATACTGCCCCATCAAAGTCCAAGCCTCGAACGTTCTCAGGTAGCTGCGACGAGTCGATGAAGATGAATGCAAATTTGAAGCACGCATAAGGAATGCCTAGCTGTTTCTCGAAATAGACCTGTGCACAGCGCAGTGAATGATCAGCGAAATCCCAAGCACGAGCTTCTGTGCTCTGCACTTACTGCATGCAGATGGGTCAATTGCGGACGCTTATTAGAAGGCTGCAAAGCTTCAATGTCCGTCTTCTTGACCAGAACATTGTCCAGCACCTCTATCATGACGTTGCGCGGAATGGTCTCGAGGATGAGCTGCGCTTGAGCAGGTGTCGGGATGTTTTCGCCATCTGGCATGAGCACCTGACGGCCGCGAGGTTTGGGCTGGGACGGTCCTGCCTCGCCGTCTTGGGTTCCAGGCGTTGCCGCGTCGGTCTGCGACTTTCTTGGACGGCCACGTGCACGCGCAGCGCCTTCGCCTTGAGACTTCCGAGGACCACGCTTGCGAGCCGGCTTCGCCACGAGATCTCCTGCCTCTGCTGCGACTTCCGCAGCGGCAGGCATGGCGTGATCGGATGCCTCGGAGCCAGCGCGCTGAGCGACCCACTCCTCGTCGTCGTCGTCTTGCTGCTCACCATCCAAATCGTACTTCGTCTGCTTTCGCGTGCGCCTCTTGCCGCTAGCCAGCTCTTCTGCCTCGCGCTTGGCCTTCTCCTCTCGGCGCGCATCCTCTGCCAAGCGAGTCTTCTCCAGCAGATCCTGCCAGAAGTCACTGTCTGCGATGTTCTGCGCTGGAACAACATCGGACTCGCCATTTGCATTCTCGGTCTCCCAGATGCGTGCAAAGGAAAAGCCGCCATCGCCTTCCGTGGCCGCATGTGGCCTGTCTTGATCCTCTGTCTCTGCACGCTCTATCAACTTGTCCAGATCATCGCTGGTGTAGCGTATGTCCTGGGCGGTCTCCTCCGTTCCTTGCTCCGCAAAGAGAGCCTGAGCGCCGTACTTGATGATACTTTCGATCTCTTCAGCTTGCGTCTCTTCATTGTTGAGATTCTGCACAATGAGATGATCCAGCACCATCTTGCCTCTAGCATTTTGAATGATGCGTTCTTCGGCGGTGTTTTTTGACACCAGGTCAAAGATAAGGACGCGCTTCGTCTGACCGATGCGGTGTGCACGAGCAATGGCCTGCATGTCGACGTGTGGGTTGAAGTCGGGATCGAAGACCTGGGCCGCGATGCGAACAACGATGAGTGAGCACTAGTGCACGTGCGCAACGAAGTCGAAAGCAAAAGTCATTCTGTACTTACGATGACCGTGTCCGCTGTAGCCAGGTTGATACCGACGCCACCAGCCCGAGTGGAGAGAATGTAGATAAAGTACTCCGAATCGGGCTTGTTAAAGGCATCGATGCCCTTCTGCCTCTGTTTCTGGCCCAGATTACCATCAAGTCGCAAAAACTTGTAACCAGCATCTTCCAAAAAGTCCTCTACAATGTTGAGATTGATGACGAATTGCGAAAAGAGCAGGACGCGATGTCCGCGGGCTTTGAGCTTGGGCAGCAGCTCTCGAAGAAAGGCCAGCTTGCCGCTCGCATCCACGAAGCGATTCATCTCCTCTTCCGCCACGTACTTGCGATCGCCCTCTCGGATCTCGAGCGTCGGAGCGATCAGATAAGGGTGCTGGCAGCATTTGCGAAGCTGAGAGAGGATTCCATTCATGTTGAGCACAATCTTCTTCTTCTTGCCTTTGCCGTGCCGCTCGTTGAGCAGACCTTGAATATCCTCGATGTTCGCCTCGAGGATACTCTTGTAGATCTGCTTTTGCACAGGCTTGAGAGAAATGGGAACGATGAGCTCCGTCTTTGCAGGCAAGTTGACCACATCCGCCTTGAGCCGACGAAGGAAGAAAGGTCGCAGGCGAGGTTGAAGCTCTTCGATGAGCGCCGGCGTGAGGCTTTCGTATTCCTTCTTGAGATCTTCGATGCGGGACCAATCGCCGCCAGGCTGCAGCCAATTGAGCAGATTGAAGAGCTCGCCAATATTGTTGTTGAGCGGCGTGCCGGTCATGATCATGCGATGTTCAGCAGGCAAGTCGTTGAGCTGCCTGACGAGCTTGTTGGATTCTCCTCCCTTCAAACTCTGACCTTCGTCCACCACCATCACTTGCCACTGCTGCACTCTGCGCAGCACGGCCGGCGTCGCACGAGCCGTCGTGTCAGACACAAGCACGACGTGAGCCTTGAGCGCCTGTCGGCCGTCCACCTTGTTCTCATGGAACAGCTCGTAGTTCTCGACGACGTCGCGCGAGTCCGCAACGCCATAGTAAGGCACGACTCGCATCGAAGGCATCCACGTTTCGAATTCTCTGACCCAATTGCCAATCGTCGAGTTGGGGACGACGATCAAGAAGGGAGACACATTGTACTCGTGGTACAGCGAGCCCAAAAAGGAGATCATTTGAATCGTCTTGCCCAGACCCATCTCGTCTGCCAATATGCCAGGTTGATGATTGAACCAGTTGAAGCGCATCCAATTGAGACCTTCGAGCTGAAAGTCCAGCAGCTGCCCCTCGCAGACATAGCGTGGTTGCTCGCGGAACGGCTTGAAGGAGAGGCCCTTCCTCTTGTCAAGGTCTTGAAGCTGCTTGGTGCTGAGCCAGGGCACGAAAACCTTTCGACCTTGCAAGTACCGACGATAAGCAGCCACAAACTCTTCGTATACGTCCGCTTGATCAAAAGGGCTCGGTCCATCCTCCCACGTGCTCAAGTCGTATCCTATGTCTTCCCACTTGACAAAGATCTTGGCGACGTACGGCAAGCTTTCGAGAGCACTCTCGGGGTCGAGCAAGTTTTCGTCCAAATCATCAATGTGGATCATGTTGGGATCTTCGCGATACTTTTGACGATTTTCGGCATGCTGCTTGGCTCGTGGACGACGATTGGGGTTTGGCGGCTCCTTGTTGCGTGCCGCGATGCGACCTGCAGCGCCCAGAATGTCTACCTTGAAGAAGCAGTCCAGCACTCGATCTGGCGTGCGCCAAGGGAATGGGATTCGCAACTGAGCATCAGGGACCGCTCGAGGAGGTCCATCAGCGACAATGGCCACCTGATCATTCGTCTGATCCTCGACCAGCTCGAGCCTCCTGCGCCTTCGACGCCTGCGTAAGGCAGGAGCCTGCGAGAGCAGCTCCACAGCACTCTTGCGACCGCGTGCCAGCGTTCCTGCCACACCAGCCCTTGCCGACTGAGCATTAATGATGGGTTTTCCTACGCCCTTGATCGCCTTGTCTTCCAGCTCGACGCGAGTGCCCTTTTGCAAAAAGTGATTGAGCAGGTGAGAGTTGGCTACACTGAGCCATGCGTGCGGTACCCATTGGGTGTTGCGAAAGGATACGTCGACGAATCTGACCAGGTACTCTCTGTGCAGATTCTCCTTGAAACTTCGGACCGGCAATGGCTCGCCTGGCGCTTGCTCTGGCTCTGGTTCGGCAGCCGCTTCGGCGGAGGGACGCCAAGCGATGATGGACGCCACTCTACCCCAGACTTCGCACTGCAATGGCGCGACCAGAATGGAATCAGCAAGCGTTCCACGATATACACTCGAGGGCAGAGGGTACTCACGTCCATGCATTGCCACTGGGCGCCCTGCCTCGCTACAGCCGTCTCTTCCACAGTCGAATCGCCAGTGACTTGTCGACAGCATTCGTAATGGGCGCACCTCCTGCACCGATGACAGCGGAACATGGGTGGCGCGTCCAGCTCGCGCGGCTCGTCCGAATGACAAAGCATGCACCTCCTTCCATGTTCCGTAAAGCAATCCGAGCATTCGACAAAGGAAACGAACTCGTTCCACTTTAGCCCTTCCCTCTCTACAAAAGGTTTGCCCGGTTCGAGGGCCTTCTGGGCTGCTTCGTGAATGGCGTTGATCTCGTCCAGGATACGGCGCTGACGAGGGGCGGCGAGGCATCCCCAGTGGAAAGAGGCGGAGCAGGTGCAACATTCCAGCCATCCTCCAGCTTGCAAAATGCCCTGTCGTCTCTCCTCCACGCGATCTTCCAATGTTCCCTCGATCGCTTCCGTCTCGTCAAATTCTCCAATCAGATTCGACACGCGTCCGCCTTTCGTCTTGCGCTCCATCAATCGCCCCTTTCGGAGTTTGCCCTCACGATGCAGTTTGCCGACTAAGCGCTGCAGGCCACCCATCAAGCTCAGTGCAGACTCTTCACCGCACTTGTGACAAGTAGGCCAATGTTTTCCCAGCAGACTCTTCTCGACGGGCAGACCATCCTGATCAAATTTGGGCTCCTCGTCTTCCGAGACGTGGTAGTGCTCCTCTGCGCTATCCTCGCTCTTGGCTCGCCTTCTGCGCGACTTTCCGTCCGAAGAGTCGGAGAGCATCTCGACCGAGTTGCGACGATGACGCGCAGCGCGCGTAGACTTGTCCAACTCGTCCGAAACGACGCTGACATCGTCCGAGTCTTCCAGATCTGAACTGTCCTGCAAGTAGGCGTCCACGCCGGAGTCGTCCGCAGCGTCGGGAAGTGAGCTATCATCCGATCCGACAAGTCTAGCGGAGCTCTTTTTGGGCATGGGGGAAACGTCGCGCAGCTTGCCGTACGTGGCTAGAGCATCCTCGCTGAGCGGGTCAATCTCAAAGTCGATGTGAGGTTGTATCTTGACTTTCTGCTTGGATGGGAGGGGTGGAGCCTTTCGTCGCTGATGTAGGGGCAAACCGTAGTCTCCATACACGAAATCTTCATCGCTCGAAGGATAGAGCGGCACGAACTTCTTGCGCTTGCGTTTGGTCTGACCTTTGCCGGGTCTGAAAGCGCCGTCGAACTCTCCTTGCGATTCTGCCTCCTCTGCGGAGTCGCCTGGAAGGACGATTGGGTCCAAGACGTAGCTTGCACCAGCTGCGCTCTTTCGTGGTGCTCTGCGGCTCGTGCTAGCGCTTGATCGCGCGCGAGTCTGAGTGCCAGCCTTGCCTTTAGACTTCTGGGCACCCCGGCGAGATTTTCTCCGCGGAAGGTCATCCTCAGACGACTCGTCCACTTGAATAATCTCTTCAAGCTCGTCCTCCTCTTCCTCCTCCGCCTCCTCCTCCTGTTCCTCCTCCTCCTCGTCTTCCTGGTCAGAAGCGGCTAATTGGCTGGCAAGAGCAGCTGCAGACAGACGACTGGCTTTCCGCTTGTGAGGTGCGGAAGCTTTAGCGCTCCTAGTGCTGGGTCCCGCTGATTGCTTGGCCTTTGCCTGACCACGACTCGAGCGGACAGCTGGTGTTGAAGCAGCAGCTGCGCGTCCCAAGGCCATGCGACGCGTCTTGAGCGGTCTCACATCCTCTTCCTCTTCATCCTCGCTCGCAGCCGGCGTCGTCTGGAACCTCACTCCCGCAGATCTTCGAGGCGGTCCTCTGTTTGAGCGCAAATGCACATCTTGGACCTCTTCTACACCTGGGCTTTGTTCGTCATCCGACGAAGCGGGCTGCCAAGCAGGTTTAGCCTTTCCCGAAGTTGATGCTCGAGAAGGGCGCCCAGTACCTTTGGGCACGGGTTGAGGACGGGAAGCGCGCGAGGACGAGGACGCATCGCGACGCGTGATGATCTCTGGAAGCTCCTCATCTGCGCTCATAAATTCCTCATTGTCGCTCCTCGCCGCTTCTCCGTAGGAATACTGATCTGAATCATCGTCGTCTTGTCGAGTGTTGCTCGGTGCAGCTGCACGCGCACCTTGACGCGTTCCACGTCGAGGTGGCATATCTGCTCCCCGATGGCAGCAACGCGACGCGACGAGGAGCGAGTATCGGATAGCCTTTTGGTCGGAGCCTTCTAGCTTGATGCCTGACCGTTGGGGCAACAAGTCTACCTGACCGAATGGGTCGAGTTCTGAGTCAAGAGTCGGAGGCGGGAGGGGGTCGTGGCTGTGCAAGAAGAGCCGTGCGTGTGGTACGCGATCGAGATGTCAAGGCTCGCCGCACCATACTTTTGACTTGTGACCACCGGTACTTTACAATCAAGAGTACATGCATGCAGCCTTGCCCGCGATGCGTGAGTCCTGAAATCTTGATGAATCTTGAATCACGAATCTTGATGAATGATCGATCGATCGATGCGGCCAGGAGTCACGACGGAGCTGTGTCACGAGACGCGTGCGCGTGCGATCAAAAGTCACGAGACTGCGCGGCATCGAGGCGAACGAGTTTGTGTCAAGAGTCTTGAGTCTTGAGTTTGAAATCGCGCGCGCGCGTCTCGAGAGTCACGAGTCGCGTAAAGGTCTTCATATAGAAACCACGAATACCTCTGTGCAGCAGAAGTCTGCCTGTGAGGTGTGCCACGTGGGTCGATGCAGACAAGTCAGATTCACGATTCAAATTCAAATTCTCGATTGGCACGGCGATGCGCGCGCTGATCTGCGATTACCGGTACTCTGACTCAACACTCTTAACTCTCGACTCACAGCATCTGTCAATCTTGCATCTTGAATGACCAACAATTCACGAATCACAGACACGTGCAATCAAGGAATCACCTGCTTGAACTTGGACGAGCAGTCACAGTGGACACAGGAATAGTCACTTAGCATCTCGCCGTACGACTTCATCAAACTGTCAGGAGCGCCATCTCATCCAGATCGAGTGCCCTCGCAGACGAACGATCTTCGTTCAAGCTACAGTAGAGCTGTGGACTCCAAGCAGCTGCTCGCTCCATACCCTTCGTTGACTTGCAGGTCAAATCACCTTCAGCCATGTCGACGATGCTTCCCAGCACTTCATCATGTCGATCTCTTGTACAACGTATCAGCACTTCTTCCCGACCTCTCGCCCAAGCTCAATCATCTCACATCACCCACGCGCGCTCCTTGCACATCACCGCAAGCAATTCGGGCAAGCACAGACCAGGCTTTGGTAGAAACGCAATCAGAAAAGCTAGACAGGAAGTTCGAGTGAACAACTTACGTCCGGATGGATCTTCGCCTGCTAGCGCGTTGCAGGAGGATACGTCCAGAATGGGCGCGAGGGGCAAAAAGAAGAGGGAAGAGCCGGCCAGTTTGGAGGATGCTTTCAAACTGCTCACTGTGAGTTGTCGTGCCATGCGCAATGCGACTCGTGGCCAGAGGGCCGCTGCCCGGGCAGACACCGACAGCGCACCCGGGAGCATCTGAGCGCCGCCTCTCCACCCCGAAGCCGATACGAGTTAGACTGAAGCCCGAGTCCTGATCCTCTTCGCCATGCAGGCAACGGAAGTCTCGCGCCCTTTTGCAGCATTCGAGATCCACATTGCGACTTCCATCTCTCGAGGAGTAGCAAATGCCCTGCGAGGACGTATAGCCTTACCCTACACTACGCGTTCCAAGCCTGAAGTGATTCTGATCTTTGCAGGCGAAGGCAACGAAGCGGGTCAAGAAGCGCGCCGAATAGCCTCTTCTTCATCCAGCGCAGGCTCTTCGTCCAACGAAATCATAGTAGGCGGTCAAGAGATCATTCCCGATGTCGTCTCTGGAAGAATTGCAGGCTTCACAAAAGTTTTGGCTACGCCGGATTGTGTAGGAGCGGTAGCAAAAGCTTTGGCAAGGAGTCTGGGTCCGAAAGGTCTGATGCCGAACGCTAAAAGGGGGACCATCGTCCAGACGCGAAAAGGCATGAGAGAGGCAATTGAAGAGGCGCGAGGCGCTTTGGACTGGAAAGGAGACAAACAAGGTGTGGTCAGGACTTGTGAGTGTCTATGCAGGCTGAACATTGGGCTTTTGCCTACGGGTAGCTGAAGCGAAAATGACCGCTGACATCTTGCTGCTTGCCATCTATAGCCATCGCCCGCGTCAGTCATCCTCTGCCTGCCCTGCGGAGCAACATTTCTTCCTTCCTTGCAGCCGTGGTCGAGAGAGCTTCCTCAGGGCTGGGTTCTCAAGCTGCATCGAACCAGCAAGGACTGGTGCAGGGATCCATAGAGCTCGCAAAACGGACGCCCGCTGAGCTAAAGAAGGGTGAGTCAGCACACAAGGGACTTACACCTTTGCTCGGCCGCTTTGCAATGAGAAGCGCAATTGCGGCTTGCTACGTTACAGGCCACCAAATCCTCAATCGCTGACCCACATATACCCTCCCCTTTTGGTTCCTGACCGCTGCTCTGCAGCTCAAAGCATCATTCGCGGTGTTCACATCAGCAGCACACAAGGACCGGGCATCAAGCTGGACCTCAGAGAAGTTTACTAAGGTCATGTATGCGCCAAGCGCAGAGCCACACGGATACATCCCTTTCGTATGCTGCGCCTGCAGCTTTTTCCCAGAGTGTGTTGCAGCATCGCCAAATTGACTCGTTGGGGTAAGCGCTCATGTGCTCCTCTGGCCTGCGCAGCATGACACTAGGTACTTGGAGGTGCACGGTCTCGCCATTCTTGCATGCAATGCTCTTTACACCTCAATATGAGCTCAGTGTTGCGTTCAGAACACTTGTCGTAGCCTTCCATCACGAATGTCCTCTTCTAGCCTCGAGTGGGATGTTAAATCTATCAACTGCTCATGCGTCTAGATGTGTAGATCGGATAAAGGTACGAGGTGTGATGAAGACTCAGCACAAGGGGGCGAGGTGAATGGTTAAAAGAGGAATACGTGGCGCGCAAGGTCGAGGTAGGGCTACATCAAGGAAAGCCTCGAATTTGCTCCATCATCCCATTCCGCGCGTTCGGGCAATAAGTCTAATCGATTCCTACGGCCCAAACTTCCAAACCCACACAATCGAAGCGGTGTTCGGTCGTGCTGTTCCGTCGAGCCGAGGGAGCAGCAGGTGGCGCATCGTCGCAAAGCGGATCGTTGTCAAAAGCCGGGCACCTAGAGCTGATGCCCTTCTCCAACTTGCCATCTATCCAAAGCCCATACCTTCCTTCTCCACCTCCAAAGGATAAATATTCTGGCTGAGTCAACACCATGTAATCGTTGGCTCCCGACCACGGATAGGTTTGCACCTTGAGCGAAGCGCTGGCGGATGTTGCAGCTCCGTCTGTCAGATCCACACCCTCGTCAGTTGGTGCTCGACACGTTCTCCAGAGAAAGCTGCACAGCACAAAAGGGGGTTTGCATCAGCACGATTGCGGGCAGAACTGCTATCAACTCATCTCTTCCATGCACGCACCATTCACCGCTGCCATAGTAGCCCGCTTGAGGCCTCAGTCGCTCGTTCACATAGGCACCAAAGACGTTATCATCTCCGTCCTGAACCGCCACAACGATTCCAGCATCTTGAAGCTGTAGACCTGCACCCACAGCTTTCACCTTGCCATTCCTACTAGCATTGGAAGGCGAGATGGAATGGCCAGTAGCAGCGGCCATGGCAGCTCCACTCGCGCCCCTCATCCAGCCTTCCGCATGCTCTTCTGTCCTGTCCTCCCCCCCGAGAGGTTTACTCCTCTTCGGGTCCAGTCCCTTCTCCACATTGCCGTACAGCGTCCCAAGACTGATACCATGTTGATCCAAAGAGTAGAGCAGTTTCCAGCTCTTTCCCAACCTCGATCGGGCAGGCAAAGAAGCCTGGATTCGCGAGGCGTGCCAATTTGTTATGACTCCCTCGATGTCATCTGACCGTCCATTCAGCTTCACTTCGATGGGTCGACGACTTCTTTCCGCTTCACCCGCTGCTGAAAGAGACCAGGAGCCTGTGTTCCAGCGCTTCGTCGAATTTGCGTCAAAACCCGGTGCTCCAGAAATTGGAATGGCAGGGGCGGGCGCTGGCGCAAGACTGGTCGATGATGTGGAATATGAGCGAGACGCAGAGCTAGACTTGCGGCTAGGACCCGGCACATTGACTTGCAGCGAAGCAGCGCTGTGATTCCGGCTCTGGCTCGGGCTACTGTTGAAAGTCGCTCGATCAGTCCACTGAGCAGGTAGCGGTGAATGCCCTCGCTTCGATTGATCCATGGACGGAGTTCGGCCAGCGTTTGCTTGCTGCGGTTGTTTAGCCGACCAAGCGGGTTTAGCCTGCCCTTCGTGGCCAATCTCATCACCGTCGTCTGAGAACCCTTCTGTGGCGGGGACGATGAAGTCAGAAGCAGCGGGAAGATGTTCAGCCAGTCCTGCTGGGAAGCCTCTGATCGAGCCCCACGTCTTCCTCAAGCTTCCTGTCCAGCCCAAAGAAGAAGGCGTAGATACCTGTTCAGACGTGTGATCAGGTTCCTTTTCACCCCTCGCTCCTCCTCCGCGAGCTTGACCTTCGCCCCCGTTCGAGTCGGCCACAGCACCAAAGTAGTCTCGACTGCTACTTGCGTGCGGAGCGGTGCCGGATGCGCTGGATCTGATTTCCAGAGGGCTCGATCTCGCGTCATGCATGTTTTCTAGATCATCACCCAAGAGCCCAGGTCCTGTCTCTCTCTTCCTTCTCAACGTCTCTTGCGGCGCTCTTTCAAACATGGCGAAGAAATCCTCCTCTGCATTGTTCGTCATTGTCGTCGCGGATGACGGTGCCCGTTTCTTGCGAGCTTCTTCCAACTTGCGCTCCGTAGGGCGAAGATCTATTATGGGAGGACTAATCCTTGCGCTGGCTTGAGCATGCGCATCCAGCGCCGCTCTTTCGAATGCTGCAAAGAACTCGTCATCTGCCGAGTTGCTCGATAGACCGTGAGCATTACGCGAGGGGCTAGGCTGATGGTTCGAGCTCTGGCCAGCCTTGCGAGTTTCGTGAGCCGCACTCCAGCCAGGATCGTCCCAGTCTGGCAGATCAGACGCACGAGGCTGCGTAGGGCTGGAGAATTTGTCCACATATGAAGCGTCGGCCCATTCCTCCTCCTCTGCTGCTGCTGATGATGATGGTGGTGTTGATGGTGGTTGATGGACAGATGCTACTTTTGCGCGATGAATTGGACTCGTACTGGTGCTCGTCCGAGAAGAGCTGGCTGCAGCGTTTCCCGCAACCTGACTTGTGCTCCACACAGCGTGCTGAGCCTTGGACGGAGAAAAGCTCGCTTCCTCTGTAGGATCGACAAACGCTCCAAAGTCTCCATCTTCCTCTTTGTCGAGAGCGTCAGCTTCGAAGGTGATCAAGGAAGGCTGCGCTTGCGCTTGCGCTCCGGCTCTGGTCGGGCTCGAGCCGCTGGCTCGCGAGGACGACATGGTCGAGCTGGACTTCTGTCTTGTCTCAAACGAAGATTCGAAGGTCCAGCTTCGAAGATTGGAAGCAAGAGCTGACCGCTGCCGTAGTCGACAATCGTGGAAGAATGGGAAGTAACACGTCCGAGACTCACAGTCGTGACCGCAAGTCAATGGTGACGCTGAGCCGTTCAATCAAGAGTCTGCATGCAACCAACTTGAAGCTCTGCATCATCATCACGCAGTCGTGAGTGCCATGGTGATGAGTGCGTGAGTCGTTAGCGGGCTGGCCCCGCCGGCGGCAAGGGACGATCGAGAGTGCTGCTGTGAGTGCAATCGGCGCTATTCGGCCGATCGGGGTCTTGGTGAGGTATCAAAGCTCGTGCGTGCATCACTCACGACTGCATGGGCGGTCTATGAGCTCACGGCTCACGACTCTAATGACTATGAAACCGCATGGCCATCCTCAATACCGACTGTTACAGACTTCATCAGCACTCTGACTGTTCTCTGACTGATTGCCTTGCCAAGCCAGCTGCGACCACCCGTTCAACATGCCGTCCTGTCTCTCGTCGTTGAGATCTGTGCTGGTGCCTCAGCGCGACCGGAGCTCTCATGTCCCCCAAGAAGGCCCCAGTCAGCGGCCATGCACACAGGGGGTCGCGCCCTCTCTTCAGGAGGAAAAGGGTGGTATGAGCATACAATCTCATTCGCACTCGCACACGGGCTGCTGCGACTTCACACCGCTACCCGTATACTCCGCTCATGACGGAACGATCTCGGCTCATGTACAGCAGACCGACTTGCCGGAGCCTTCCGATGAGACCAAAGAGCTGTTTGAGGACCTGCAAGCAAAGATCAATGCTCTCGACAAGGAGCTTAGAGGTTTGAGTCTCAAGATGTGGGACCTGAAGGAGGTCGCGTGGGAAGAGAGGTGAGCAGTAGCCAGTTACGCTTCTGCCTTAGCATCGGAGCGGACGTAGGCGATTCGATGTGCAAGTATGCGCACGTGGGGTGTATACGCAGAGCATAGCAGTAGCTCAGAGCCTCACTGATATGCTGCACATCATTGCTGACTTCAAACCGATCCACCTTCGCTTTAAAAAGGAAAACGCACGATCTCTTCATCGACTACTTTACCGACCTCAACAAGCGTGCCCCGAATGGCTCACCTAAGTGGAAATTGACCCCGCACGCTCATGGATTTGAGACGGCCTGGAGGGCAGAGTTTGTGAACGCGCCAAATGGGGAGGCCAGCAAAGATATCCCTTGCGTCGGTTTCAACTCGTGCGTGGCCGATACATTGACCCCCCGGTGGGAATTCCGAGGTGGCCTGACCATCTGTCCCAACCTTCATCTAGCGAGCTGGACGCTTTGCCAGGCATTGGCCACGCATGTGGACACAACTTGATCGCAATCGCTGGCATTGCTGCTTCATTGTCCGTCGCTTCGCATCTTGTAGAAAAGCGTATTGCGGGTAAGGTCGCCCTGCTAGGAACACCTGCGGAGGAGCGCGATGGAGGAAAGATCGACCTGCTTGCCAAGGGCGCTTACGACGGCATGGACGCGTGCTTGTGGGTGCCGCCGCGCTATCTAATTCGATACGCAAGCTGTAGCTCACAAGCAAGATGCTGCCCTTCTCGATCGAAATCAGGATGGTGCATCCCACACCAGCGAACACCGTCGGCTCTTTCCTGGCCGTCGTGCCCGTGAGGGTGAGTCGCCTTACCGCAGTCGACCAGTAGGACCACGGCAGCCAACAGATAGGCTTATCGAGCATTCACACGAGTGCTTTCGGATGAGCGCTGATTCGCGTGCTTAACTCATCGGACAGGTCGACTTTTCCGGCAAGACGGCTCATGCTGGCATGGCTCCTTGGGAAGGTGTCAATGCTCTCGACGCTGCTGTGCTTGCCGTGAGTGCTGCATTCACATTGGACCATGCAGCGCGTCATGCGCGTCATTTTGATTTTATTCGCCGCCCTCTGTCGCCCAAAGTACAACAACATCAGCTTGTTGCGTCAACAGATCCGACCCGATTGCCGAGTGCACGGCATAATCAGTGGAAACGATTGGGCACCGTAAGTAGAGGGGTGTGATCTTTGTGTACAGGCCTGTCCCTCTCGGAGCGCGTGAGTACTGATCGACCCCTCTGGTTCTGTACACAGCAACGTGATCCCATCATCTTCTCGCCTGACGTACAACGTTCGAGCTCCCGACGTTGCCACTCTCACGCCCCTGCGCGAGAGGGTGCACAAGTGCTTTGAAGCGGCTTCTCTGGCCACAGGTTGCAAGGTCGACATTACGTGGGGCAAGACTTATGAGGATACTAGGAACAGCGCTCCTTTGAGCTTGGCTTACAGAGCTCTTATGAAATCGGTCTACAATGCGGATTATAGCACTGCCAGCGTATCTGGAAGCACCGGTGAGTGGATGCGTCCAGGACATCGCGTGCAAGTCTAGCAATGCGCTCAACGCCAATGTCCCTTCGTCCCTCGTATGTTTCGTAGATTTTGGTAATGTCACGCATGCGCTGCCAGGCTGTCATCCTACGTACGCCATCAAGTTGGAGAACCCCGCAGGGGATGGCAACCACACCATCGGATTTGCGAACGTGAGTCTGGTCGGTCTGGCGGATCGAAACCAGGAGTGTCTGGGCACTACGGGCGCCATACGGTTTGCGCCCGACGTGTGTGCTGAAGTTCTGCGCCGTACTGCATTTCTAGGCCGCCAAGACGCTCGAAGCGCACGAGCGTACTAAAGAAGCGGCTGCGGGCATTGCTACGGTCGGCGCACAGGCTTTGATCGACGCGCAGTTCAGAAAGCAAGTCAAGGACGAGTTCGAGGCATGGAAGAAGGATCAGAAGAAATGATCGAGGTCGGCGATCGAAGGGCAGACCAGTCAGAGCTGCTGCCAGCGCGAGGCGCGAGCGAATTATTCACGCAAAGGTAGTCCTAGTGTACATTCTTGCCGGCATTGCCTTCAGGTATCCGAGCTTTCCACGCATTGTTCCTAGCGCACTCTACATCCCGCGTCATTCTGGCCCTCACAGCATCCTCCACACGCTTCCTCCGTTGGCTTTGCTCTTCCTCTGTTTCCGAATTTATAAGCAATTCCCATGTTCTTCGACGACCGAGCAGAGCCCAATTTCTCGTGCTGGGTATCCTCAATACCTCCTTCTCTATCTGAAACCCTGCGCTGAGGTGCAGATGGGAAATGTAGTGGATGTAGGCTATGTTTCGAGAGGCTGATGTGGTCGACGTGACGTTTGAACCTGCGTTGGACGGGCCCAAAAGCAAAGCTTGTTGCGTTTGCTGTACCAGCTCGTTCGTCATCTTGCTCCGTAGTCGTGCAGCTGCACTCGTCTCTTCCGTCCAATGAACGCCACCCGAGTCTTCGCTCAGACCAAGCAGATGACAAACTTCTTCATTCTCTACACGAAAGCGGGTTCGACCAAATTTGCAGCCGTCAATGTTCCATGCGCAACAGGGAATATTCGCAAAGCTGCAGCCAGGGATGAGCGCAGCGAGCGCTGGGATCCATGGTGTGAGTTCGTCCGAATGGTTAGCGATGAGGAAACAGCCTGGTAGAAAGATAGGCGTGTTGCCTTCAATGAAAGTTCCGCCTGTGTCGGCGCTTGGATCGGACATGTCGGGGTTGAGAAGGGAAGCAATGTAGAGGGGAACGTCGAGAGAGTAGACGTGTAGGCTTGCTCCGCCTGGTGCGCTTCTATGAACATCCCAAGACTTTCGCGCTCGAAGATCGAAACCGTATCCGGTGTAGCCCTGGAGTGAGTCAAGAGAGGGCCAAGCGGAGGACATTTTGTCAAAAGGTTCGTTTCGCAATTTGCTATCGCAGCCAATGCCCACTCACCTCTGCGTTGAGGATATGTACAAGTAAACCGTTCCCACAGCCTACGTCCACAAAACCCCCCGGTGGTCTTCCCCAGCTATCCCACGGTCGTTTTGCTTTCTCGTCCGCGGATGTCGAGGTCTCGCCAGATGTGCTGCTTGGGCAAGCATGCGCGTACATGTCCTTCCAAAGACACATCAGCCAAGCAGCTATGCCCAAATCTTCAAAGACGTGCTTATCAGCGTCCGTCACTTCGCACCACGTATCGATTAATCTTGCAGCGTGCAATCTCTTGAGTTCCGAATAAGTGTCCATGTACTCTTCTTTGCCAACTAGACGATCGTGCGTCACTCGCTTTTCGTAGGAGTGTAAAGCGCCCCAGGCATGCTTGGATTGAAGTGTGAGGAGAGAGAGCGCTGTCCGACTGAGACGGTCTGTAGCTTGCAGTGGAAAGCTGGTCGAGGAGAATGGAACAATGGAGATCCGTCCGATGCCCCTCTCTGCAAGACTCTCGTCTGGGAGCGAGCTAGAGACCGCTGCTTCTGGTAGCGTGAGAAATTGAAAAGCAATGGCTCGCACCGCTGGATGGTAGAAGGGAATCTCATCTACACTCGTCGGCAGCTCGAGTGGAATTTGGGACTCGTCTGCGTGCTGACTTGCATCTTTAGCCTGTACTCCCATCCAGGCATTCCTGCGATGAGATGTGGCGGCATCTCGCATTTGTCCAATGGAAGTAGTGCCTGAGCGAGATCTGTAGCACGTATACACAACCAAAGCGTCTCTCAACTTGCATTCTTCACCATCATTTGCCGCCTTGATCTCACGATATCGCTCGTAGAAACAGCATTCTTGCTCGATGGGCCAATCAGCTTGAGCTTTGCGAGGTATGATGCGTCGATGTACGCTTTTCAGCTTGCTCCACCCACCCACGCGCATCGGAGGAGTTGCCCAAGTGCGGGATTGGACAATGTCTGCGCGTGAGATCCAAGAACTGCTCCTTTCAGGATGCTCCACCAACGCCTGCATGACGCTCTCCCAGTGCTCCACCGCCGTATGCATATCCGCCACCGCGATATGCTTCCATGATGGTTCGCCTGCCCCGCGTCCTGAGGACTCGTAGCTATCCGATTGCTTGAAGGGCAAGCCTGAAAGTCGAATGTCGAGCTCTTCCAGCATATCCGCCGAGCCTGCGCCTGCGCCTGCACCCCCGCCATCGACGAGCAATCGAGCATTGCATGGTGGGTAAGCTGGCACCACGCGATTCTCTGTGCCGGCCTTGGGTTCCGTGCCTTTGGGTCCCTTGGGCATTCTTCAAGACGTCGTTCTGCCTGTGCAGACCATCGACCACGCATGCTCAATGACAAACACGCTGGATGTGTTCCTTCCAATATTCACGTGTGATGGACGATGAGTGACGGAAGAGGAGCGAGAAATGTGCTTGACCATCCGAGCAGAAGGAAAAAGTCTTTCTCAACGCAGCTCCGTCGCAACACGGACAACACGGGAAAGCTGGGCTCCGCGGACATCCGCGGGGCAAAGTGCTCGCAGCAGCACGCGCGTGATGAGCAGGAAATTTGTCTGGACCGCGGCGTCGGGTGATCAAACAGGAAACTGAGTTGGACTACTGCAAGCATCATCTGTCTGTAAGCTTTGAGGTGGCCTCGATCATCAACAGTTGGCTCTCATCCTTGACAACTTCCGGCAAGCTCACCATTCGCCCAAGCTCGCTCTGTCATTCGACTATCGACAGCTTCCCCACGCGTCAGTCTCCCCCTCGGCACGACATCGTCACGATGCCAGCTGGTGCCACACGAAAAGCGCGCAGAGCGCAGGAGGGGAAAACATTACCACCCGGTCACTATGTGGATGCTTCCTCTCCGCCGCAAAGCTCGACGCATGACACAGGAGGGGCGAGCAAGCTAGGAATCGCGCAAAGCGACTCACAAGTCCTCATCGAGCCGGAGAGCGGCACCTCGAATGAGGCGACGCCTGCCGTCAAGCCTCTCAAGAAGAAAGCGATCAAGGCGATGTTGGCCAAGGGTGTTACACCGCCAGGCATGCATAGCGCTTCGAGTTCGACCGCAAAAGTGGCTGAAGCCGTCGAATCTGATTCTAGTGGCCAAGGTGCGGGAAGCAAGGACGGTGGGAAGAGGAAGCGTGGTGAAGATGGAGCAGAGAATGAGGAGAACGATGCGGGAGGCGAAGATAAAGCAGCCAAATCTGAAGCGCGGAGGTACATCGTCTTTGTCGGTGAGTAGCGGTACGAGCAACACGATATCGCTCGGCTGGCATGGCAGGAAGATCAACGACCAATGCCAGCGTGGTGCTAGACATACGCCAAGGATCGCCTGCAGAGCTGTATATGCTGAATGCTGATTGTATGCGTGCAATTCCTTCCTCTTCGTCCTACTCTTTGATTTCAGGCAACATGTCATTCACATCGACCGCCTCGTCTCTAGCATCGCACTTCAAGACGCACTGTCACGAAGAGCCCAAAGTGCGTCTACTCACGACCAAGCACGACACTAGCGCCGCTCTAAAGCTATCCAAGTCGAAGCAGAAATCCATCTCGAAGGGCAAAGCATTGGATCCTGGCGCTAGCAAGTCCAAAGGATGCGCCTTTGTGGAGTTCGAAAGCACCAGCGCTTTACAGAAGGCTTTACAATTTCATCACACGCTGTTCGAAGGTCGATTGATCAATGTAGAATTGACCGCGGGTGGAGGGGGCGCTGGATCGAAGAGGGAGGAGAAGATCAAGGCGAAGAATGAGGCGTTGGAAAAGGAACGGGTGAGTGTGGCGGCACGACAGTCCCCGCGGTGGCTCGAGCCCTCGCATGACATTCGCGATCAAGTCTCCTTCACTCCGCTTCTGACGCCCTTTTCTCATTTTCCGCAAAATTGACAGCAAAAACTGCACGAAAAGTACGTCGCGCCGAAATCAGAAGCGAAAAAAGCTGCGGGAGGAGACTCGACGGTGTCCGAAAGACCGCCCAAACGTGCCAAGCCTGAGGATGGTTCTACTTCCGGCGAAGGTGCAGCGCAATGGGGTTCGCGAACAAAGGGCGGTGCATCGGAGGAGAGACAGAAAAGAGGTGGAAGGAGAGGGAAGAATGCTCAGGCGAACGCGGGAGGGGATAAGGGCAAGGGCCCAGGAAAAGGCAAACCTCCGCGGTGGGCTGTTACGGGTGCTAATGCTCTCAAATTGCAAGGTTGATTGGTGTGTACTGTATTTATGCTGCGCTATACGCGCGCGAGTGCTCGGCGGATCACCTCTGGCTCAGAGCTTACCTGAATAGAGCATTGCATCAAGCCAAGCACCGAATGCTACGTGCATCACTCTTGAAGCAGCCATACTCAATGCTAGGGTCAGTGCATCGACGTGCGAATTTGACAAGGTCTCTATGCCACGCATCTATTGTCGGCTCGGCCAATCGTAGCAGCTTCACGACACAACGGACAAGAAGAAAGAGGCACCGATGGGCATTTTCAAATCCCTCCCTCACATCTGTCTCGCGCGTCAGAACCATCGCTGTGAAGGCGGTAGAAGTGCGTAAGCCACCTCATGTCTGAGCCCACTCATGACGACATTATCATGGACGAAGCTGGGGTATATACTTGCGTGTAGACGTCTCATATTCATGGGTGAAAATTGGCAGCAGTGCCTTCCAGCTTACGCTGCGTGGCTGCTCCCCTGGCGTGGCCGTCAGCACGACGTCGACGTCGAGTCAGCCGCTCTTCCACTACAGCCGCTTGCCCAGAAATTTGTCCCAGCCAAAGACACTCGCGCCACCTTTCAGCGGCGGGACGAGGATCGCTCGCCGCCGACTTGCTTGTAATGCTTGCCCGTGTATGCGTGTGCAGTGGGGTTGCGAATCCCACCTAATTCGAGGTCGCAACAGGGTCGGAAGCCGACTTTGTGATCGGCGCGCGAGTTGTCGTCGTCGACGTCGTCGCTGCTGTGAACTTGCCCAAGACGGTGCGAGAAGAGTGCCCAAGCTTGCTGGACCCGGGCGAGGTATGAGCGCTCGAATGAAGCGAGGTGAACAGTGTTGCGGCAGCAGGGATGCATGCGCTCGTGAAGAGTCGCAACGAATGGGGTAGCGGAGATGCACTGGAGATTGATGTGACTCTGGCTGTACCGGAGCTAGGCATCGTGGCGATGTGGCGATGAAAAGTGCCATGTCAGCCTTCTGATCAAGGTCGACGCCACGTGATGCTCACGACGATTCTGCTTTCGACGCCAGTCGGTCAGGTGCGCAAGAGGCAGATCGTGCGAGCCGAAACGCACGCTCCACGCGGTCTATTCACCCTGGCGCATGTGCGTGACGGTGTCCGCGCGATTGCTTCGGGACGCACGAGGTCCTAGTCGTCGGCTCACGCTCTGCTAGTTCCTGAAGTCGAGCAAAATTGATCCATGGGAGCCATTGTGTCAACCAAGACAATCCAATGAATGTTCAAGATTCGTCGTGCCTGCGAGAGACGCTTTGCCTATGCCGCGCAGCTCCTGAGAGCATTCCCTTGCGCGGCCAATTACGACGGCAAATGTTTCGTGCGGTCAAGACGCGTTCTGTCCTGTGAAAGATACTGTGGGTTCTTCTTGGGTGCTACAATATCGGCGCAGAGCGGCAAGGACGTGTCTGCGCATGCTTTCATCCTCGGCGAGCCAGACGGCAAAGGGAGGTACAGGTTGTTCTTCCGTAGCTTTCCTTGTCGCCTCGTCTTCTTCATCGTGGATGTCTGACTCTAAAGATGCATCGGTGTGCCCTTCTGAAAGTGTCTCCGCTGGTGTTCGGTACACCTGCTGAAGTGGCCCAACTTCCTGCTCCTCTTCGAGACCTTCGCTGCAGGCAGGCGGTCCAGGCAAGTCGTCTACCGTCGTGCCTGCGCTTAGGACTGCCTCGTCGAAGCCAAACCATCTCTTTAGGGACGCAGATCGGTCTTCTAGACCAGAAGATGCAATTTTTCGGTAAATATCTCGCACCGATTGTGTCACAGAAGCTGCATGTTCTCGCGCGAGCTCGTGTATACGAAGCAGGTTTTCGGTGTCTGTAGACTCTTCTTGCCAGTGCCGGTCTGCTTGCCAACCCAGCGATGGTAGAACGGCTTTGCGCAGGACATCTAAACCTTCCACCGCTCGTGACGTTTCAGAGAAGGGCAGTCTTTTCGACGTGTCGTACTCTCCCTCATGACCGATATACTGGGGCCTAAGGTCTAGTGCCATCCAAACCGGGAGCATCGCAGGAATGTACAACAACACTGGGCTTGAAATCTCGAGAGTCTTGAGATTCTGCGAGACAGCCATGCACTCCAAAATCGTTTTCACCTGTGCACAAAGAAGTGCTGACAATGCTCTACGGGTCAAGTGGAGTGGTCGAGGAAGTGGACTTGCGTGCGGCAGCTGAGTAGACACTGCAACGCCATATGTCTTTTGGGGATCCTTGCACAACCAGTCCGTGTTGAACCGTGATTTATGAATCGACCGGTCGATGAGCGAGAGGGTCATTAGGCTCGGTGCCGCGGCCAGCCAAGCAGCACTTGTGTAGTGCTCTATGGAGCGGGTTGGAAACGGCGTGTTTAGCTAGCTTTCATTAGAGCGACACATGTGTAATCGACGCACCGCAAGCACCATCCTCGTCCTGTACACGCAGATATTTCATCTGTCTGCAGGTGCGGACCGCTTTGGCAACCGAGGCCGGCATTGGCCAACTCGCTGCGGACCAAGCGACGCATTCCAAATTTGGCATCGCCAAGATGACCCGGACCAGCGCTGCTTCTGCCGCCGCGACATTCGGCAAATCACTCATCAGCCCATCGTAGTCGGGGCCGACTGACCACTCGCGAGGATGAGCGGCAAGAAATGGAGGATTGGGCCAAGTCTTGGAGTACTTCGTGCCGTACGCTGCGTACAGTTCTCTTCTTTCTTCAACAGACTGAGCTGCTTTGCGATCCGCGAAAGAATTTGATACGCATCCATTGCATTGCCATTGCGAGTCGGCGGTGTCCCAAGGCGTGGTCCATGAAAAAGTGAGTGTTCGCGTGTGATTCCTTGGACGACCGCCTTCATCGCTGTTTTGCACAGATATTAGAGACGCCAAATCGCGCAAGTCTCTCATCCACGCAATGTCGACGGTATGCCAGAGCAGCGGCTCAATAAACGCGCGCCACTTTCGACACGTCTGTGAGAGCGGAACGAGACTCTGACACTTCTTTCTGAGGGGAGGTGCGAGCATCCCGCGCTCCCACAAGGCGTACAAATCGGGACAAAGCCAGGTCACACAGATCTCGCTGTGGCCATGGGGAGCGTCATGTAACTGTGCAAGTGACTTGGAGGTGCATCGGCGTCTGCAGGACTCGCCAGAGTATCTCGTCCGGTAACTCATGAAGCATTGTCGGAAAGACTTGAGGGGAGCAAGAAGCGTGTGCTTTTCGGACAATTTTCGTGTGTAGTGATCAAACGTGGGCCCGGATGTTGGCGAGAGTAGGCAGATGGCAGGGTGAAATGCGTCCGATTCTCGTGCCTGTATCGAATTGACTAGCAGCTCGGTCCAAGCCGGCGAGACCCAGGATCGCATGCTTATAGGTGACAACTTGGAGGTAGCCTAGCGCCTTCTTCTCTGAAGTCGCTAATGCCTCACACAGAATGGTTGCGCCTTGCAGCTTGGGGCCGAGCGTTTGAGGTTTAGTCGTGGCAAGGGAATGAGCTGACGAAACCAAGTCTACGTCCCAGACCGCTGTCGTTTACTTCTCCGCGATCGTCAATCATGGATGCAACATGCAGATAAGTGCGGATGATCGAAGCTCACGGAGGGCGGTGATCACGCGGTCCTTGCATGCTGGCGTGTATACGCCTCTCTGATCGCATCAGAGGTAGACCCTTAGCGCAGCAAGCTAGCAAGTAGACGCCTTTGACCACACGGCTTCGAACGCGAGCGCCTCCAGCAGCGCGGCTACGGGCATGTATACGCTTATAGTGCACGGTCTGACGTCCTTTCTCGGGAGCCAGCAACTTCCCTCACTTGAGGCCTTGATGCGGGCATGAAGATGGTGTGAAAGATGCGCGCGCAACAGAGATTCACGATCGTGAACAGGCTACCTACCAGCGCGCGCGAGCTCATCAGCAGAGGCACGATGTGCTTGGCTGGCGGCCACATAACATGCAGTCGTGAGTCACGTGAGGCGCTAGAAAGCTGTGGATACAAATCTTGAAATCACAATCAAAAAATCAAGAATCACGAAACACAAGGGGGACTAAAAAATACAAGGTGCCGTCGATCGTGGAAGCTCCGTGGTCGTGAGTCTTCCTGCTTCCGAGGTCTGGAGTCCTTATGTAGAGGTACCATTTTCACCGTCCCAGCAAAGCAGTTCGAAGAGGCCCTCAAGACTTGCAAGCGACGCGACTTGATGTGGATCTAGATGAATTTGGAGCAGGAAACACGCCATACATGCGCATTCTAGAAGGAGCAAATCAACCCACAAGGACAGGCAGCCCGAAGGATTGAAGGTGCAAGATGCGATGGAGCAAGGGTACTGCCTCTTGACGGCCGGCTCGAACTCAGGCGGTCAGCTTGGAATCGGTCATCGGGACGATGCGCATTGCTGGACGCCAGCATCGACCTCCCGAACTCACCTCGGATCTGGAGGTACATCTTTCGACACCTTCCCACCACCCGGGTACCGCATCACCAAGCTATCGAGCGGCGCGAATCATTCGATCGCCTTGGTGCAGCCGATCGATGGTCTATCGGGCTTCTTCACGGTATGGTGTACGGGAGAGACGGTGCAAGGTCAACTTGGCCAAGCTGCTCTTGAGTTGGGCGAAGTACGGACGCGGTGGATGCCTCTGTGCCTGGAGCAAGAGGTCCGGACTGCGAACAGAGGTCTGGGGAATGGGAAAGATGGCGTGAATGCACATGTCCTCTCTGCCCAAGCGTCCTCCGCTCTGGATGTCGCATGTAGCTGGAATGCAAGCTTCATCGTCCTTAGAGCTTCGAGATCAGCAGATTTGGCATCGCCCGTCCATTCCGACGTGATCCTAGCGCTCGGCACTCCCAAAGACAATGCTTTCGGCGAGCTAGGTCTGTCTGATAAGTCCGACGCGGCCCCAGACAGTGAGCATGCAGCACGCATCCTAAACCTCGGTGGTCTTGTACACACAGGACCCCTACGAATTGAGCAGATCACTGCGGGACTGAGGCACGTAGTGGCCTTGGCTAGCTCTCACCGATCGGGCATCCAGTATATGCATCTCATAGGATGGGGAGCAGCACGGCACGGACAGCTCGGAAGCTTCTCGGCTACGGAACCGTCGAACACGCAAGCGAGTGCATCTCGTCCAAGGACCGGAAGCAAAAGCACCACCTCTTCATCGCCAAGAACTTCGACGCCCCGCGTGATCCGAACGTGGTGCTGCAAATCCAAGCGCAAAAACGACGAATCGAAAGCGCCGCACGGATCTTTCTCCTTGGCCGCGGGAAGGGAGCATACCGTCGTGTCTGTTCCGGCGGGCTGGCAGGAAGCTTCGGATATGACTCCGCCTTCAGAGGCTCTCCGAGTACGCGTATGGGGATCGGATCGGCGGGGTCAGCGGACTGTCGCACAGGGAGACTTTTGCGAATCTGTTTCGCTCAGTGTAGCTGCTACGTGGGATTCTACGTTCCTCCTATGTGAAGGTGAAGGCGTAGATGCTGGCGAAGATAAGATGCAGATCTTGGCGTGCGGCAGTAATGCCCGGGGACAATTGGGCTCGGGTCAGGACGAAGACGCGAGCTTGACAAGCAGCAAGAAGATCCAGCAAGTAGCTCTTCCCGCGCACATTTCCTCTGCCTCGGAGCAATCGTGCGAAATGTCGGCGGGCTCGGAGCACGTGCTCCTGCTTTGCCAGGCTCGAATCAGATCTGAGGGACGAGCAGGTCCAGCAGAGGTCTGGGCTTGGGGGTGGAACGAGCACGGAAATCTCGCACTAGGAAGCAGCACCTCTCCAAATACACAGTGCGAACAGCTCGAGCCGAGCACGATCGCTGATGAAGAACAACAAGAAGGAGAAGATCAACCTGTACCAGTCAAGGTTTGGCCACCAAGGCTTGAAGGCAGTGTCAAGTCCGCAGTGACGCAGTGGGCGCATGCTAGGCCCACAAATGTCTGGGCAGGTTGCGGAACTTCATTTGTGCAGGTCGAATTGACCAAAGCATGACCTTTTCGGTCTCGTCTTTGTCGACCTGCACCATGAAATCCTTGTGATGACCAGGCATGCATGTGCGCGCGACACCACGAATGGGAAGATGGATTGATGACTCGTGCCGTATGATGGTACATTTACGTTCGACCCGTAGCCCAGCGCATCAAGTCTCCTGCGCTCCTTACAACGTCCCCATCCGAAGTCTTTGGAACCGTCGAGCTGCTGGTTGCGCAAGTACAGAGCTGCATCTCCGCGCCAATCATCGCGAGCGAAGCTCTGATCTTGTTCTCCGCTCTGAGCAGACTAGCATGAGCGGCCTCTACTAGCGCCTCGTCGATTTCCTTCTCCTTGTCCTGTACACTGACCTGTCTAGCGGCTCCTTTCGAACCAGTACTGGGACTCGAATTGCTGGTAACAGCAAAGGCGCCGGCGGCGGCGGCGGCAAAAGGATTAGGACCAAAGTTGAAACCGGGTTTTCGTAATCCTTTATGCTTGAGCAATTTGTGGATCATATATGCGCACCACATCAGGTTGGTCTCTGGGTGAAAAGCTTCCCAGGCCTGGCTTCTGGCTTCCTCTCCTCTTCCCTTTCCTTTTTCTGCTCCATTCGCTCGATGGATGAAAGCCCTCATGGATCTATAGATGTCAAACTGTTCATCCCCTCCTCCTTCGAAGATCGCATCGTCTTCGAATGCGCAGTAGATGGTTTCAGAGGCGAGCGTCGCTCGACTGAGGGAGAGATCGATCAGACGAGCAGTAGCGCCCGAAAATGCCGGTTGCAAGAGCCTCTCTACGACGCCCATCTGCGGTGGTAGACTCGCGTTCTGCGCCGTCGTTGTCGCTCTTCTAGATTTGCTTGTTGTATAGCTGCTCATCTTTGCTTTATGAAGCTGGGCTCGTTTGAGCGGAGAAGAGACGAGGGCCTTGCTTGGAGAAGTGGTCAAAAGAGGTCTAGAAATATGACCCTTCCCTACCTGTCTGTTCATCGTAATCTCTTCGATCCTTACGAGAACATTGCCCCAATGCAGATCGCGATGTTCGAAACGCAGCTCCTTCTCGGCGCTCGCCAAGCTCTGCGCGATCTGCCAAAATACCGCAGCTGCTTGAATCCACCCTTTGAGCTTGACCGATTCCACATCCACTCCTCCATGCTCCAGCACAAGCACGGCGTATCGCTGCGAAGAAGGAAGACATGCCGGCCGGACATTTTCGCTACCTCCCGCTTTGCGCTTATCGTACGCATCCCACGCGCGCATCAGCAGTGGTGGGTAGACTCCGCAAACGACGTGAGAGCTGCAAACAAGCGCAGGATCCAAGATGATATGGGTCAGCTCGCTCGATCTTGTGCGAGCCTTGAGGATAGAGAGCGCGCTTCTCACCTCAACAATCTGATGAAGCCGCGACCACAAGCCTGCATGATGGCAACCTCTCTAGACACATCCTCCGCCTTGCTCTCCTCTGGCCACTCTTGCTCTTCTTGCTCCTCTTCCCTCGTTTCCGAGCATAGCGGTATGACTTTGATAACGATCTCGCCGAGGCCAAACACTTCCGAGTAGCTCGCCTCGCCTACCTTCTTCCACCCTCTAGCAGAGGCAGCGGAGGATGAAGAGGTAGCGAATCTGGAACGATGAGAGGCGTTCGTATTGCTTTGCTGTGTAGAAGCGACCACACTGCTTGCAAGCTGCTCGAGAAGCGCTGTGAAAGCCACCGGGGCGGATTGGTCGCACAGACGCATCAGGGCTTCCAATGGAGAGCCTTGCTGCTCTCCAAGCCCCACCACTTTCCGACCTCTCACCACCCGCGGAGAGGGAGGCGGGGAAGAGAGGTCAGAGCTGAGCATGGATCTTTGCAGCTTTGTAGAGGATACGTTCAATCTGGACAACTTCTTCGTCGCCTCGTGCACTTCATTTGCCCCTCTTTCAGTAGGTGTAGAAGATCCGGAAGCTGTGCTGCTGAGATCTGAAGGAGGTGCAACGGGTCGAGCAAGCACCGGTGCGCTCGCTTTCCTGTTTCCTTGTGCAGCCTTGCGATCCGACGACGCTTCATGCCTTCCCTGTGGCTGCGAGACGATCCTTCTCGGTGCTGCATCTCTGTCCCTACCGGCGGTCAGGCTGGATCGAGAGTCTACAAACCCTCTGAGAGCTATGCGCGCGGGAGAAGGTGTGTTTTCGAGACATGCTAGTCTCTTGAGCGCCTCACCGGCGTCCGCGGCCGCATGCCTTTGTGGTCTCGTCCTGTCATGTGCAGAGGCCTGTGTGGGACGCCTGACGCAGCTATCGCGGGCCAAGGAGCTTGATGCGGATGCGGAGGTGGAAGCGCTCTCCGAGGCTGAGCTTGCTGAACCCCAAGAGTACTTGCGCACCAATCGAGGGCGAGGTGCCGCTGGTCGAGTGTCCCTGTGCTTATTCGCATCTCGAGTCTTGGCCTTTTCTGCGCTCTTTCCAACTCCAGCACGCTCATCGTCCATCCTCCTCCCTCTCCTCTCGTCCACGCCATTGCGGGAGATGTCCATCAATGGTCTCCTGTTTGCAGCTGAAGGTACAGCATGGCTCGTCTTGGATATTGCAACCTTGACCAGCTCCACCTCATCTTCTTCCTCCTCCTCGTCGGACGAAAAGGTCCATTTGGAATTGGTGTAACCGACGGGCGGCGCTTTGCTCGTGCTTGTGCTAATGCGACCAGGGTCGAGCCGGCTAATGACGGACGTAGCGTGCGACATGATGGCGCTGTGTCCGTCCGTGCAGCTTCACAACCCAAGCTCCGCGCAGCAAGCACCCTGAGCGATGAAATCGACTTCGCTTTCCTGCTTTCGCGTAGATCCAAGAGTGGTGTGTCTGTGTCATGCAGTTGCTCGCCAGTCGAGTGGAGAGTCACGGTTCTGACTTGGGCATTGCTGCAGCTGAAGGTTTCGCTGCAAACAATGATGAACGATGAATGATTGACGTTGATGTCATTCAAAAGTCGTGAGCATGCTTGGCTTGATTCTCTGACTAGTGTCGCTCGTGAATCGTGACTCACACGCGGTCAATTGCGAGTGAGTCTGCTCTGATCCGCTCTGCAAAATCAAGATATGTGATCGTTCTCAAAAGCTGACTGACGCGCAAGGAAGTCAGCCAGCCGCCGCCATGCAGTCACCAGCAGCGTCAAATGATCGAGCAACATCCAACACGCCCCCGACTACTCGACTGCTGCGCGTGCCTGCATCTGATCACGTGTACACATGCGGCCTCTATTGGAATCACGTGATCACGGGGAAGGGCTCGATCGATGTGACCGGTGCCGAAGCTTCCCGCACGCCGGTCGAAAGGTAATAATAGTCTTGAGTGTGAGCCCGCGCGCGCGCGCACGCACGCACAGGCGGGGGACAGGCCACCGTATCTTTCAACAGCGAAATCCTGGAGCGCGCTATAAATACAGGCCATGGCTGCATGTGCCGTGCGCCGTGCGCGCTCAAAAGCATCGCAGCATAGCAGAGGCTTTTTGTTGGTCGCATCAGCCCGCGCTCGATCAATCAGCTGTGACTGGCTGAATGACGGAAGATGTGATGGTCAGCCAAGGCAATCGTGAATCGTGAATCAATCTCAAGCATGATCATCAGGCTGTATGCGTGATTGTCTACCACCATCACATCAGCAATCTCTTGACGGGCAGCAGGCTCTATTGGATCCACAACTGTCACTGCATCCATTCAGTACTCTTGACCTGAAGATATAGGCTCTCGTCTTGTTTAGCTTGCATCAAACCCGCCCGCATCCACTTCGACCCATCCCGCAATCATGTCGGCTCTTCAACAAGTCATCCTGCATCCCTACCTGAGCCAGCTGGTGCGTTCCTCCTCCTTAGCTGCTCAAACGTAATGACTTTCCGACAACTGACGTATCCATTTGCCTCCCCTTCCCGCACTTCACTACGCTCATCTTTGCCAGCTCAAATTCTGGTCCACCACGGTCGGAAGGGACAAGACGTACAGGTCTATTCAGTACTTTGCTAGATTCTTGGCATGGTACGAGTACAGAAAGGGAGCTACCAAGGAGACGGTGGCTCGTCTTCAGGCTCTCAAGAGCAGCATTGGTCTCAGCAGAAAGCGTGAGTAGCGCAACGCTGCACTTGCATGTTCCGCCCTCCTGGCGCGGCTCGATGCTTGTTCGGGAGGCATCGATGAGAGAAGACAGGAGAGACGTGAGGTTTGGAACGTGGCACGCGTCTTCTCGTGTTCGCCTTTCCGCGCTAGGCACGTTGCGCTGCCTTTGGCTCGACGAATGCCTGTCTCACAAGCACACGTTCTGGAGAACAGGAAAACCACATCTTTCTCTTCCTGCTCTGCAGTCTGTCGAGCGGTAGCTGGTGTTGCCTGCTCGTGCGGAGCTTTGTTTTGGTCGATGCGCTGACTAGCGTGCTCTTCCCTCCAAATTGCTTCGCACGAATGCGCTCATCAGTGATGCGTGCGGGCAAGTTCCTGGAGCACATGCAGTCTGCTCTCAAGGCTACCACCATCAAGGACCCCTTTGTCGCTTATCTCGCTGTTGGACGCCAGCTGGGCTACATGTGCTACCTCACTCTGGATCTGCTGCAATGGGTGAGTGATCGAAGTTGCATTTGTTGTGTCCTGCCCTCGAAATGCGACAGCGGGCATTGCACTGACCCGCGCTCGATTCCCTCTTGCGCAGATCCACGGTAGCAAGGCCTACCAGTTTGCCCCCGAGACGGCCAGCGCGATCAGCAAGAACGCCTCTCGATTCTGGCTCACCGGTCTTTCCTTTTCGCTATTGTCTTCCGGTTACAAGACGTACGCTCTTCGTCAACGATTGGGCGCCGCTTCTCGTCCTCGCGCCACTGCCGAAAAGGAGGCGGAAAGGCGAGCAGAGTTGGCTCAGATCAAGACGGAACAAGCTAGCGTCAGATACCAAGCTACTCAGGACGCCATCGACTGGTTGCTTCCCGCTACCGGAGCTGGATTTTTGGATCTCGACGAGGGCGTGCTTGGTCTGGCCGGCTTCACCACCGCTCTTATGGGCGCTCGCACCCAGTGGCGCGCCGTCAATGGCCCTGCTGGTGCCAAGAAGTAAAGCTCCTCGCCTCATGCTCATCGTCTCGTCCACGGAGAACCACCGCAAAGGATCTGTTTGGGATTCGACGAGGAGGAGGAGGCGAACCGATTCGGATCAGACATCAAAGAGGTTTGCCCCGCGTGAATTGGCGAGCGCACTCTATTCTCAGTCTTCACTATGGTCGATGTTTGCGCCCCGCCCCCGCGCACTTGTCCACTTACAAGCTTCGAGTTGCAATGGATTGCGAAAAGGTCAGATTCGTGTCGCTTGCGGGAGCAGCGTAGAGTTTCAGGGAACGCTCCGAGTGTGTGTGCGATCAGCGGTCGACGCATGAGCATTGCTGGGAGGGAGATGCGAAATGTCGCACATTATGTTACAGCACGGAAAGGGAAGGAGCAGTACAGCGCACAGCTCGAGGCGCGATAGGCCCACTTCAATACAAGATCAGGCTAGCAGCCTCACCTCCGCCCCACTGATCGTCGAACCAATCTGGAGCGTTGCCGAGCGTATCGCTGATGGACCAATACCTCTGCAATCGGAGTGCAGATTCCCTATGAGCCTTTTCGATGCTCACAGCTCTCAAATTGGTCAGGCATACGGTGCGATCTTGTTGCGTGACGCTTGCGATGCCTGCCATGATCCATATCGCGTGCGAGTACCACCTCTCTATGCTCCGCACCGAAATGGGCGGCACGTTTGCATTGCAACGCAAAATGTCGCACAGAGCCGTTCGCACTTTGCAATACAGCGGTCCTCGGCCCAGACCGGCTGTATTGAGGTGAATGATGGCGGCCTTGATGGAGGAGCGCGGCCCCAAGCTGTTGATCAGTCTTTGCCTTCTTTCACATTTCGCACACTCCCGCGCCCAAACACTCACTCTACGCCACGCTTCTTGTTGCCAAAATTTGGCTGCTCTGACATACATTTTCAGAGGGGTAAAAGGGCTCGCGACCGTCAATAAGCGGCCAGAGATGACGGACAGACCTCGAACTGAGCTCGTTGAATCCTATCTCACCTTTGCGTCAGGGTCCACTTCTGACACGGAGTCACCGTCGCTTCTAATATAGCAGCTTCCAGCTTCTCAGCTTCTTGCGCCGCTTGTTCCTGCGAGATCGTTTTGCTCTTGCGCCTAGCTCCCAGCTTGGAGCTTTGACACATGAGCAGGGGCAGCTTATGAGGGCACGCCGCGTCTTGAAGCCAGTACACCGTGCGCAAGAAAGCAATGTCTGGTGTTGGGAACGTGCACGTGGATAGGGTGGTCTCGCTAGCTCGTTGCATGAGCTCGGAAACCAGAAGACGGCTCCACACGTCTAGCATGGCATGATCCTGTGACATGTGTGGTGTGACTTGATCCATTGTCAGTAGCTCGGGCTCTGTGCGGTCCGAAGCAGCCGGATGAGAGAGCTGTTCAGGAAAGCATCACGTCACCCGCAGCAGGGCGTGTCTTCGTTAGCATAGCTGGCAATACGAGCCAAGGCCCAACTCACAATCTCTGGCAAACGATCCATCAATCTTCGAGCCGTCATACTGCCTTCCACACAGAGCTACGAAACCGCGTCAGCATGGATTCTGCCGCTGTATCGCACATTCGCAACACTCACCACAGCGCACTTGAGATTGAGAATAGTCATAATCTTCACTTCCAAGGGGCTGGAATGGGAAAAGGGGGAGAATAGCAGAGAGTAGGCCAGTTGCCACCAAGGCGCCGGCGAAAGGACCATTTGGCTAGCTTCCGATCTTTGCACTTGGGACCGCCTAGCAGCAGCGTGTAGATGCGCAGACGAGGTGCGGTCGGGCTCCGAGGGCATCGTACGACGATCCCGGCCGTCTGCCTGACCATTACCGACGCTACTTGGTATAGCACCGTCTGGCGAGGCAGCGTGCGGTGACAGACCAGACTGCTGGAATGCCGCGCGGGCTAGCCGAACGACGGGAAAAGGTCGAGGAGGCGAGCGTGAACGAGGAGATGCGTCGAGATCATGTTCGCTGTCAGACTCGATCTCAGCCTGAGAGTGTCTTCTCCTGCGTTTACGGCGTCTGGAGCTTCTCCATTCCTCGCCATCATCTTGATCATCCGACTCCGCCTCCACATCTTCTTGCCCAGATTCGTCCGGGTACAAGTCTTTTGCCTTCAAAGAGCCTTGACGGCGTTTGTCTGCACTTGTCGGGTCCAGGCTCGGATCACCAAATAGCCGCTCGTGAAACGCAGCGACGACTGCCACCACGCTAGCTTTTGACATTTCGTTGGTGCAAGCAATCTCGAGGAAGCGCGGCAGCCACGGTGCATCAGCAGTGTAGATGAGAATCAGCTTCGAGACTGCGAGCGATGCAGGGAGACGATAGGATGCATCAGTGGACGCGGACCACTGCCTATATACGCGATGACTAGCCAGCTCTGCTTAGCGACGTCTCGACTCACAGATCGGCATGTAATGCTCTAGCAATGCATCGAGGCGCGAAGATGCGAGGACTGGGCGCAACGGGGCACAAGATTCGCCCGTCCCGCCGTTTGCTGGCGGTGAGCAAGTGCTGGGCCAGGCTTGCGTAGAGTGGGAAGATGCGAGCGTCTCAGCTGTGCGCCCAAGAGGTGGCTCGGGTCTGTTCAGGAGATTCTGAATATGCGCAGGTGTGTTCCGCTCTAGGCCTCGATCGTGGGATTGACGGGCAGGAGGTGCTGCAGAATAAGCGCTGGTGGAAGTCGCAGAGGGATGGACGTGAAGGCTCTCTTGACTGTCCACTCGGTTCACGCTCGCTGTGGGATCAAAAGACTTGCCGTTGTGCATCAATCCGGTAGAGCCTGGGGTGCTCCCATGGGCATACGAGTCTCCGCTCCTTGGCGTGGCACTGGTGTCAGCAGCTATGGCAGCCAAAGTGCGCATAAATTCGTTCCAGCCATCTGCCTGTTGTTGATTAAAATTCTGACCGACGTTTCCATTGCTTGCAAGGTCAACGCCATTCAGATCGAGTGGAACGGAGTGAGCAGAAAAGGGCGCAATGTCGTTAGGAGCGTCGGAACGCCAGGCTGAGCTTGGCGTGGTGAGATCGAGTGGCCAGGCCGCAGAAGTTGTGATGCTTGGCGTATTCGAGATGACCGGCTGCGCCTGTACGCGCGTAGCTCCAGACGACCATCCTGCTGCATTGACGGGCTGTGAAGAAGCGGCTTCGTGGATCGAGGGTACACCGATGCTAGGGGATGCCGTGTTGGCGGGAACTGACTGAGGAGCGGCAGTTATGCCGGGCACCAGAGGCAGCGGAGCGTGACCAGCTGGCAGATTGTAGAAGAAGGGCAAAGTCGAGGATGCTGTTCTTGACACGTGCGCCTCGGAGCTGGGTGGGATGGATTGGCTCTCGCGCGCAGCTGGTAGAGATGGTATTGCTACTCTCTCTCTTGGCGAGCTCGCACGACGCTGCCTGGACGACGAGTCGCTGACCCTCGCTCTTGCCTGCGTCATCGCCTCTGCCGAGTTCTTTGGTGGATGGCATACTTCTTGCCTGGCCTTGCAAGCTTGACAGGTCAGTCTCTGAGCTGCAGCATCGCTGCTCGAGCCATTGTTGCTGCTTGCCGAAGCAGCGATCAGCTCCCAATCCTGATCGCAGCGCTTTCGACGCTGCTTGCACGTCCCGCATCCACGTCGGGAGCGTTGTTCCCCGTGCCTTTCCGCCGGCATCTTCGTGCGCCGCGCTCAAAGGGGTCTTTTGGGACCACTCTTGTTGCTTGATAATTTGATGAGGTAAGGCTGCTCTCTCTCCTAAAGCTCTCAGAGCCTTGATATGCACCAAAGTGATAGAATTGCTCACGAGGAATGGTGAGGCTCAATCACACGCAATGTGAACGTCTTCTCCAAAAGTTGACACCGCCTCGCGCGCAAATGCTCGAAACGCGTAGGTACACAATTTGAATGCCCAACTAAGCTGTACCAGCAGCTACTACTCGTGACTGTGACTCTGACTGCGATGCAGAGGCTGCGAAGATCAAGTCTGAAGTCAAAAGTTGAGCGAATCTTGAATCTAAATCGCGTGCACTTGAACTGCAGCACGCGCAGCATCATGACTGCCAAGACTTGCAGCATGAATCACAATCGCGCAGCATATTATTAGTCACACGGTCACCCGCTGCAACTCAAGCTGCCGCTGTAAGATGACTTGCCCGCCACCGGGATCAACGTCTGATCACGCCTCATCACCACTCGACTCGACTCGTCACTGCGACACTTGGCTACGCATGACGGCGTGGAAGCGACGAGGGGCGAGTCAAGTTGCGACGAGCTTCGTACTCGCGTGTCAGATGCCGGTATACCCGAGCGCACATCGTCACGCGCATTCATGACTGAACGATACGCAGGGAACTGCTCCTGGTGAATACGTGAATGTAGCGAACCAGTCGTGAAGTGTGCGGATTGCAACAAGGAGCGCACAACCACATCGAAGCACACGAGATGAACATTTGCGTCTGTTTAAAACTACTACTAGCAGGCATTTTCTGAAACTGAACACTGTTGATTGCCCCGCGAATGATTTCAAGGTGTGTGTACAATGGAAAATTTCAGTGGAGGATGCGTTTACATCCCAGGATGTTGTAAGGGCGTGAATCGTTCTTGGTGTTTGCGAGAAAGACAGTATCGCCACGTGAAGGGCCTGACTTAAGCACTCGCGCTGACGGAGACAGGACGAGGGGAGGGGGAGCCCGTTAGCTCGGGGCCGAGACCCACAGCAGTCGCGCTTCCGGTGACGGATGGGGAAGCGTCATCAGATGCGAGGGGAGTTGCGGTTGCAGTAGCGCTGGATGCTGCAGAGGAGGAAACGGAAGAGTTTGCGGGTGGTGCGACAGGGAGGGGAGAGTCGAAGGTGATGACAGAGACAGCCAGGGTGTTGTCATCGCTGACGGTCGAGTTGTCGGTGGTGACGATTGCGTAAGCCTGACCACCGAAAGTGCCGTTGTTTGGCAAGGTCGCTTGACCATTCTCGATGGGGACGAAGGAGGGAGGCAGAGGTCCCTGGACAATGGCAAGGTAGGTCGTGTTGCTTGCGCTCGATGTCGTGTTCCCGCTACCGGTCGCGTTGACCTGCGCAGCGTTGCCGCCAGTCTGCTCATAGTCGAGCTGAACGCGTGCGCCTGGTGAGAGCGCACCGCTGCTGGGCTCGGCGCTTTGTGCCGTCGCGTTGTCGCCTTGGGCAGGGCTGACCGTCAAGGCGGGGAAGGCCTTAAGTCCGAGGTCTTGAGGGCAAGACTCGAAAAATGGAGCAGCCAACGAGTAGACGGTGTTTTGAGAGGTCAAAGGAGTGTCAAAAGGGGAGGGGGCAGCATTGTCCGTCGAATTGCTCGCAGCTGCCGCGGCGGCTAGGACGATAGAGCTGTGACGAGCCTCGGAGGTCAAGATGCTTCCAGCGGCAGCTAGGTACGTCTTGTTGCTGATCGAGGGCGCTGCGCCGAGGTACGCAGAGACACCCACACCTTCGAGAACAGTGGCGGTGGCCAAGAAGGAAGCGACATCCGTAACGCTACTGAAGTTGTAAGTGCACGGTTGAACGGCCGACTCGCCCAAAGCCTGAGTCAAGAAAGCAGCGTGGGCAGCCTCATCCTGACCGACGGAATACAGCTGGTTGCGGACGCTAGCGTTGAGTCCAACGGCTTGAAAGTCCTCATCGCCGAAGCGAGCGATGGATTGATTGTAAAAGGCAGCTTCGAGATGCTCGAGCGTCAAAGCGTACTGAAGGATCTCAGTGTCATTGTTGGCAGTAGCACCGGGAGACGTGGTTCCACTGGCTGTCGATGCGCTCGATGCAGCGCTTCCTGTGGCGGTCGCCGAACCCACTGCGGACGAGGACGCAGCAGGCGCAACGGACGCAGCACTAGTCGCGCCTGATGAGGCTTGACGGGCGTTGAGAACAGCAGGGGCTGCCTGTGCCACGGAGGCGAGGGCAAGGGCTGTGGCGGCGGAAAAGTACTTCATGATGTATAGTGATGGTCAAGGGATGGTGGAAAGTGAGCGGACGGGATACAGGGTAAGAGGCAGTTGCACATCTTATAGTCCTGCACACATTCCTCCATCCTGACGAGGCGCGAGCACGGGCTGTGAAGTCATGCTGCTCCGATTTCGGTCCAGCATAAGAGCTCAGTCGTCATGTCACAGGGTTTTTTGCCGAGCACGTTCGGAAGAAAGTGCCGTCGGAGTCTGACCCACCGTCACATCTCGAGTTCTAAATTTGGCCTGCGAACGATCGGCCGATCGCTCTGCTTTGCCCAAGCGGCATTCGTGTTTGATCGGATGCCCTTGAGTATCGTTCCTGCTCAGCTGACTTTGCCGGTGCGAGCCTGGGCTTCCTTCCGCTCGAGACACAGAGCAAACGCTACGAGCCGTGTGGTGCCGGAGTCGTGAATGAGCTGCAGGTTTGACCTCGCTTGCTTTTTCGCCAAGGAGCTCGAGCACTCGACAAAGGTGGCCTGATCTCAGCCTGCTAGCCAAGCCACTGCGATTGCCAATCGTACCGGCGCAGCGCCGCAAGCGAGCAAGGGTCTGATGTCGCAAGACTCATGACTGTTAGCAAGCTGTGGGCAAACTTACACCTTACGGCGTCCTGGGCAGTAACCGTGCAGCACGTATTGAGTCACCCTCAATGATTTCACAAGATCAGCTAGGTGTGGCGGTGCGAAGTGCATGTCGTGATTTCGAAGAAATGGCCGAAATTTGCCACCCCACACGCCTGCATCCGTGGAGACTGTGCAGCGCTTCTGGCGTGAGCTTGACCTCGAGCGGAGTCTGGAAGTCACAGGTCTGAGCAGTTGAGCGGAAGCGAGTCGCCGCGCGAGCTGAGAGAGCCGCATGCACAGCGGCTCAGCGCATGCAAGATGACGGAGGTTGCGCGTCGGGAGGGACTCGTGACTGCTGGGATTGGAAGCTTCTCGAGTCGTGCAGATCTTGCGTTGGGTATGGCACGTGAGAGGATGGTTCCGGGCGCCATAGCTTCTCGATTTGGTGGCTGCCGTCGACCACGGGCACGAATGCAACCAGCTTTCACGAAAGACTGGAGGTGAACGACGATATTGAGTGGAAGTCAAGTCCTCGACGAGTACGCTATCGAGCACATTGCCCCTCAAGCGAAGCTCTCCCAACTTCCCTCCGCGGAATGCGCTACAATGATAGGAATACTTGCATGCGCTGCTGCACTCTCATCGTTGCTACAGGGTATGCACAGCAGCGAGGACTTGCAATGCATCTTGAAGTCGATCTCTGAAAGCAGGCAACTGGAACATGGCTGTGGAAAGCGAGGCCAGAGGCGCAAAGTAATGTGGACGATGATTCCCTTGTCAGCATCGTTGTGGCCACCTCAGGCCTGACGAACCGGGGATGGATGCTACTCACCCATAGCCAATTTGAGTATACTGAGCGTAAGAGCAGCTACGCTTTGGGCTGAGGTGTCTGCTTCTCTAGACTCTGCGGATGAGGAGGAGTCGATGCTGCTTCGTTCGCGAGTGTGGCTGTGCGACAGAGCGGAATTGAGGACTGTATGCTGCCGGCTGTCTGCGCTGCTATGCGGGTTCGATACTTGCGCAGACCCACGGCCCTGGCGCTGCGCTCGCTCATCTTGCCTCCTTTGTACCCTGTGCCTTCTTTCATTCACCACTCCTATCAGCTCTTCGGTGCCGAGGAGCTTAGTGCGAACACCCGCAATTCTTCCTTCCGACTCTTTCGTCCTCTTTCCCTGCTCCGCGTCCCTCATTGCTCTCTGATCATCCGCGATCGCCAGAGTCTGAGCAGCAGAAGCGATGCCTCCGAGCCCTAGCATCATCGGGATCAAGTGCTTTGGGCATTCGTCGAGCGATATGGATGAAGCCTTGTTTGAGTCCGTCTGGACACCTCTCACGACGACTTGTCGAGGAGGGCCAGCAATATCAGAAGACGTTTCTCCGCGCTCCACATCAACGCGGTAGAGTGCCACGTCGAGGATGGAAAGCGTCAAAGCGGCAAAGTAGGCCCTTGAGGCGTACCCTTCTCCTCGCGCACCTTGATGGCCTCTAGCAACCAGCTGCGCCAGGGCGGGATTAGTAGCCATCTGAGTAGTGCGAGCGAGGTGTGTCAGCAGCCTGTACAGCGCAGAGCAAGTTCTGCGGCCGCATGCACATTTCCTGGCTGCTTACCGAGTCTGCGAGGGACGAGAATAGCGTCTCTCTGATGAGCATTAGAGCATCCTGCCCGGAAGCGGGCAGACTCGCTGTACTGCTCGCTGATGTCTCGTTGGATTGAATGGTGGGATGTGCGGATGGAGCTTGATCTTGCGGGTGCCCCGATTGAGCTCCAATGCTGGGGACCTTGTGTTCGTGGTTATGTTGATGCAAAGTGTATGTGGCAGCATCGTAGCTTGGAGGAGGCTGATACTGGACTTGGCTGGCCTGCGAACGGCTAGTCTCTCCCGAAGAGCGCGGAGTGAGATTGATCGCAGCACCATCCACGACGTGCTGCAGATCCCTTCCAAAGCGGTTCTGAAAAGAAGACCTTAGGTTGATCTCCATGGCAACCAGCTGAAGATCCATCAGTATTCTGTGCACATTGGGATTTAGTCCTTGGCTTGGTGCGCGTTTGGGCTGTTTGCCGCAGATCGACCGGGCGAGGTCGTGCCTATCGTCCAATTCAAGCGCTTGTATCGGCTTTATGCAGCTCCTCCATACTTCGAAGAAGGGCTTCAAGCTGACTGGACAAGAGTCGTGATTCAAGACGAACGAGCCATCAGGCATTGCGATGGATTCGTCCCGTGCCTGCAAGGCTGCGATGAAGAGTGCAAAGGAGGGAGCGCTGAGTTGTATCTGCTCTGATGCGCCCGTCAGCTCCGACACACTCAGCAGACCCTCTGCTTGAGCTTGCGCTAGGGAGACTTGAAGCAGCGAATGGAAGCCGTCCACCACTCGTGATTCGTCCAGAGTTGTCATTGTAGAAGATCGAAGTGAAGTTGATGCGGCCGCCTCCAGCTCGCAGCGCAGCGCAAAGCTGTCTTGCAGTGTGTCGAGGTTCTGAGTCAGAGGGGAGTGGCAGTGGTGCTAGCAGGGGTTTCCAGGGTATCAAGTGGGCGAATGAGAGAAGTGCCTGAAAAAAATTGCGGGCCTGTGATGTTGTGTTGGTAGAAGAGGATATGATGGCACCTGTCCAACCACACGTATGACACCAACCAGCGTCCTGCTGCTCAATCAAGTCTGACTTTGATACGGCATGACACAGCCTCATCCGTGATTTACACGCTGCGAGGGCGACGCGGAGTCACGTGACAGTCACGACGTGCTCTTCTCTCGCACGCAAGGACGCGCAGCACAGCCAGGCTGCGCGCGAGCGGCCAAAAAATTTCGCGGGGAGCTAGCAAAGGGAAGCGCACTCATCCGAAGCTATATCACAAGCTCTGGCGCCGTTTGGAGCCATAGTCCTCCTAGCACCTTACTCATCTCACACGTTCTCGGAAGTCAAGTCTCTTCATCCAGCATCGGCTCCTTCAGAAAGCTACACACAATGTCCAAGAGGCCATCATCACCTGTGGAGGCTTCGACTCCCACCGCTGGACCTTCACGGCATACGGACCTCTCAGCCAAAAAAAGGACAGCAGCCAATGGCTCAGCACCTCAAGATGAAGATGACGAAGGCATGGGTGAATTCGAGGATCGATTTGAAGACGAATTCGAAAGCGAAGATGACGGCGAAGTAGTTGACGCTGCCAGCGACAGCGAAGATGACGAGGAAGGCGAAGACGGCGAAGGCATGGAGATTGATGGTGAGCATAGCGCTATTCTGCGCAGCGCATGAGACTAATACTGCGCTGACAAACCTCATCTCACTTTACACCCTTCCTTTTGCCCAGGTGTGAAAGTCTCCGGAAAGATACAAAGGCCAGAGGGGGAAGATGACGAGGTTGGCGGTGGTCCTGAAACGCAGGCTTGGTTGGCTGGTGCGCAACCTTTAGAGGAAGGCCAAGTGCTGGAGCCGGACCAATCAGCGTACGAGATGCTACACCGAATGGGCGTCAACTGGCCTTGCTTGTCATTCGATGTTCTGCTGGACAACTTGGGCCCGGCTGAGGACAGGGTCAGGTATCCCCACACTGCCTATTTTGCTGCTGGAACGCAAGCGGACACGGCAAAGAACAACGAGCTGATCGTCTACAAGGCAAGCTCTCTACACAGGACCATCAAAGATGGCGGTGAGTGCTCGCAAGTTCGAAGATGCCGTGTACAACGACGACAGGCAATGATGCTTGAGGCATTTGGCCACATGGGCGCGGTGGATTCTTCCTCCTTGCTGCCCACATGCAGAAAATATCTCGCTACCTAATTACACACCTCTGAGCCTCTTTTGAGAATCGACGACTTGGTATTCGATCGCTGTGACAGTGTTGCAGCTTGCTGAGTATGCCCTCAAATTCCCCTTTGCAGACGAATCCGAGGATGACGATGATGACGACGACGACGAGGGCTTGGACGACGATGCCATCCTCGAGTCTAAGTCTATCCCGCACCTTGGCGGCGTGAACAGGGTTCGAGCAGCACCCGTTGCTCCTCCCTCTGCAGGGTCCGAACCGACGCTGGATCCTTACCCTGTGGCCGTGTGGTCTGAGCTAGGCAGCGTGGGCATCTGGGATGTGCGACCACTGTACAATGCGCTGGAGCGTCCTGGTCCATTCGACAAGGCGCGAGCTTCTAAAGCGCTTCATACGGTGCCGCACTCGACAGAAGGATACGCCATGGACTGGGCCGGCTCATCGTCAGGCGCAGGCAGGCAGAGCAGTCTGAGGCTGCTATCGGGTGACGGCCACGGCCTGATCAAGTTGACGACGTCCAACAACGCCGGTTACACTACCCACGCCGCACCCTTCACTAGCCACACCAGTAGCGTCGAGGATTTGCAATGGTCTCCCAAAGAACCCACTGTCTTTGCGAGCTGCTCAGCGGACCGAAGCATCAGAATTTGGGATGTGCGGGTCAAGTCGCACAAGTCTGTCATCGCGTTGGATGAAGCGCATGAGCAAGACGTAAATGTGATCTCTTGGAACAGGAAGACGGACTACCTGTTGCTTTCGGGCGGAGACGAAGGGGGATTGAATGTCTGGGACTTGAGGAATTTCAAACCTTCCTCGAGCAACGCAGCGCGACCTACGTCCGTGGCCAACTTTAGGTGGCACCAAGCGCCCGTATCTTCCGTCGAGTGGCATCCCTCCGAAGACTCCGTCTTTGCCGCTTCTGGTAGAGACGATCAGGTTACGCTTTGGGACTTGTCGGTTGAGATGGACGACGAAGAACAACCCGGTAATGCTCAGAAGGGACCGAATGGAGAAGATGTTCCCAGCCAGCTCTTGTTCTGCCACCATGGAGCCAGCGAAATCAAGGAGGTTCATTGGCACCCGCAGATACAGAGTATGCTCATCACAACTTCTGCAGACGGCTTCCACCTCTTCAAGACCATTTCGGTCTAGTGAGAACGAGGCTCGCCATCCCGATCAGCATCGCACCGCTTCGCCCCCACGCATACCCTTTGCATACCTTTCAATACATTTCTCGCACTGTCTACAGCTGTACTGACTGATATCGCGGAGTGAATATGGTGACTAGGTTCGCGGGCCGCGCTAGGGCTTTGTGTAAGACGGGACAACAGCCAGCGAGCCGGATGCGCAGCATAATTCTGAGCAGTGCATGGCGATGATGGCATTCCACATGCGAGGGGTAGGATGAGGCGGAGACATCAATCGACCACGAGTTCACTGTCGACTTTGTCAAAGTCCCTAAAGAATCCAGCGAAGAGGTCAATCTTGTACTTAACGTCCTTGGTCCCTGAAGTTTCCCTGATGGAGTGCATAGAAAGTTGGGGGCTGCCAAGGTCTACCGTCCTGATTCCCGTTTTGCTCATCATAGGTCCAATGGTGCTTCCGCACGGCATATCGTTTCTCACTTCAAACTCTTGCAATGGCACACTGGCCAATTTCGCAATTCTTCGAATCAGAAAGGTGGTGGGTGCAGTAGAAGCGTAGCGTTGTTTTGCGTTCGTCTTGATCACTACCCCTCCGTTGATCTTCGGTCTGTGATTGTCCTCGTAGAAGGAAGAGTAGTTGGGATGGAAACCGTGCGCCATGTCCGAGCTGATGAGGAATGATTTCGAGATTGACCGCTCGTAATTGGTGGGATGCAAGTGGTCCTCGTTTTTGATCGACTCCAGGCCCAAAATGGACATGCTTCCTAATCTTCGAACTGTGGAGCTCAACATGTTCGACTCGGCTCCGTGCGTCGATACCGATCCCACCTCCTCGTTGTCAAAGAGCGCAATCGCTTGAATAGAGGAAGAGTTGGACAGCGATCCCCCGCGCGTAGCCTCAATCAGCGCCGTCGTAGCGCAGAAGCAGGACACTGTCGGAGCGGAGTGATCAAATTGCAGCATCAGCAAATGCCTGCGCAGCGCCAAGCTTCGATGCGTGTTGACACTCACTCTGGTTATCCAGCCTTGCAGCGTGTATGAACTCGTCATTCAGGCCACCTACGTGGCGCATCAGACCGAACGTGTTAGAGTTGCACAGGAAGAGTTGGCCGGTCGACCAGTAGCAGCGCTTTTCGGGACTCACCAATCGTAGCTTTCTGAGTATCGTACAAGCTCAGTTCGAAATCCTGAATTTGCTCCACTTGCACCCCCAGCTCGCCAGCCAGCAGCTCCAAGAGCATCGAGTGATGCTTTTCTTGCATTCTTGGCTCTCCTGTAATAGCATCCTCGTCCGTTTTTGCAGGAGCATTGAGTGCCTCCTTGGCCTTGTCCGCAAGTCCTAGGATGGGAACCATTTCGGTCTCTTGGTTGAACTTGAAAGCATCGTTTGCGCTTCTATTGAGGTGAATCGCCAGTGTAGGAATGCGAAGGAGTGTCCTGTCCACCTTGACCAGTCTGCTCTCAAAGGCGTTTTGTGAAGCAGTCGTAGCGACAATGACTCTTCCAGCCAAAGAAAGATCCCTGTCGAACCAGGTGGACCACAGGCCTCCACCATAGGTCTCCACTCCGCATTGCAGGTAGCCTTCCTTGGTGCGCTTGCTGACGGGTTTGATGTGAAAGTTGGGCGAATCGGTATGGGCGCCCACGAGGTGAACTCCGGATACGCCGGGCTGGAACTGCTTGCCGACGCCAAAGGCCACGATGGCGCTTTGATTGCGTGTGAAGCTACGATGAAAAGCGTTCAGGGGGTGTCGTGTCAGTCGAGACCAAATTTAGAGATTGTCTTCACGCCGCACGCGTTTGTCTATGCCTCACAAGTACTTTCCGCCCGCTTCGATCTTCCCGTCCCATGCGTCCTGCTCTTTGAGCCGCACGAAACCGTCCTTTTCGAGCAAGGCAGCGCTCACGGCAGTTGCATGAAAGGGCGTAGGTGAGGCATCAGAGTACTTTAAGAACGCTTGCGCAGGCGATGTTTGAAGAGAGGAATTGATGGATGAGACGATCAAAGGGAGCGAGTAGCCGCTGCCGATTGTTGGCGACTGCGTCACGTGGTTGCGCAAGCGCAGAGACGGCCGAAGCAGATTGTGCGCGGGTCGAGGGATGGATTGGGAGGGGAGAAGGAGGTGGCGGGCGGTAGAGTGAGCACCGTTGTTCGCCGATGACGTGCCAAGTCGTCTCTTGTTGCATCCCACAGGCGATTTCAGCCGTCTTTGCAACATCTGCTTGCTTCGCATGACACCAGCTTCTGCAATGAAACGAGAGCAGGAACAAGGACGCACCATTTTGTCCTGTTCTTCGGTCTCGGATGTCTGATAGCGAGGGACGGAGATGAGCGAGTATGTCGGGGAGATCGATAAGTCGGACTGGCTGGCCTGAGACTGGCGACGAGTGTCCATATCACGGTCTCTCTGTCGTGTGTGTTGAAAGGCCTGACTGGATGAGCAGCTGCCGACGCAAGTGAGGAGGTGGTCGGTCGCAAGGTCGCGCAGACAGCCAGACTAGCGTGTATGCTGCTGGCTGAAGCTGAAGTTAGCCCATGTCGTGTGCTTCAATTAAGCGGAGCTCACTTCGGCCGATAAAGGCGGGTCACACACAGCGGCGGTGTTGCTCGAGGATGCGCGTCACGCGCCTTGATCGTGATGAGCGGTGACCCGCGCGAGGTGCAGCTGATGATGCTCCTTCGATACGATGACATCCCCGCTGGCGCTAACACTTGCCTTCTGGGTCAGCCAACGCACGTCAGCATACTGACAAAGTCTAGACACAGGGACTGATCGACTCGACGCGCGCCCGCATTGAACACATTTTTGTCGTCTACGCTTCTCGGCAGTAGCTCATCTCGTCGGTTGTCGGTCAAGCGTCGTCATCCCCGGCGTTCGCATCCCAGTAGCGGACGTCCAACACATCTACCCGTCTCCCTCGAGCCCCAAGATCCCTACAAGTCTTGCGCATCGACTTCTTCTCCCTGCTGCGTCCAACGAAGTCCCAAAAAAATGTCGCCATCCTCGAGCTCTGCTCGCGACGCTCGAGCAGGTCCAAGCAAAGCCCCACCACGTCGCACCACACGTCAACAATCGCAGTCCGCCGCAGCGAGTGCGAGTGCACGTCCTTCAACAACTGTCCAAGGTGCTGCTACGAGCGCAAGCGCCTCTAGAGATTCGATTTCTGCAGGACCTAGACCAGCTTCAGCGTCAAGAAGGCGGGTACAGGACGATCAGCCTCTCCAAGGTGCATTCATGACGCCCCCCAATGGCGCGGCTGCTCCTCGCATTGCAGGTTTGGGGCGTGGCGGAGACATGATGAACAGCTCAGACGCGCATTCTCGCGGCGCGGGGTCAGACCCAAGCACGAGTATCAGTGGGTGGACAGTCGACCCCTCGCGAGGAGGTGCAGGGATGAGCACGCTGGATCCTTTTCACCGGACCAGCCCAAGTACAAATTTACCAGCGCCATCGGGTGCGAAGGCCAACCGCTTCTCAAATCTTCGTGCTAGCGCCAATGCTCGTATCAATGCGGAAAGAAATGCAGATGGAAGCTTGAGTGCTGCTGGAGACTCGGATGAGGCAGACGGGAGCGGCCTCTTGGGTCTGAGCCCTGCTATGCATCTCAAATTCGCAGCCAAGAGGACCGTAGCGCGCGCAAGAGAGATTGGAGATCTAGGCTTAGGAAGCGCAAGCAATGGATCAGCAAGGAATTGGGAAGAATCATCGGCAATCGATGAGAATCACGGTAATTCCAAGGCTCACAATACAGATCAGGAGGAGTCAGCCGCTCAAGCGGCGGCAATCAGCGCAGACGGCAGTATTATCATACATCCGGAATCGGGTCCAGCAGAAGAAAACCTGCAAGCAGCTGGCTTGCCCGATGTGCGAGAGGCAGATGACGATGAGCTGAGCGCCATGCAGGGTGACAGGCTTGAGATGATGCTGCATAGAATGCGCAGGTGGAGGCACGACGCTGCTAGTCACTTTCTGTTCGACACTGCCATCTTTTGGGGAGACAAGATACTGCATCTGGAATGTGGGTAGACATGAACAGATGCGGGACGCTGGCGCCATCTGGTCACATAAGTGGTCATAAGCAGTCAGCCACTGACCCCAGCGCCTTCCTCCTATTCTCTTCAGCTGGGACAACCGCATGGAACGATGCGTTTCATTTGGCGACTTACTACTTCCTCTCGCACCGCTATGCTCAAGCAGAGCACCTCCTCATGAATCCTTTGCGCAGGAACAAAGCGCGACGGAAAGACAAGACACGCCAAGATCACCGATCTTCTTCTCGCGAAAAGGCCGCCTCTGATCCTCTTGGGGAAGCTTTGAGAGCGACGCGCTGCTCCAGTCGGCTGCCCAAGCATCTGCTGAGCCCGCACCGAAATACAGCATCGAGTGCAGGCGTGGACTTTCCAGAATGGCATTTGCAGTCAGACCATCTAACGCATACGGCTGACGACGAGATGGATGAGAATGACGCTGTGGATGGGAGAAAAAGAAAAGAGAGAGCTTTTACTGTCAGCGGGACAGGCACTGGCAGCGAGTCGGATGATGGGGCGCCAGCAGAGCTGAGGACCCCCCAGAGGGATCCCAAATCGTCTACTGACTTGGGCTCCGGCAGCCGTGACACAGCATCCCGAGAACAGCTTCCTGATAGCGGCTACGAAGAGATTTTCGATGTTGCGGAGGACGTGCCAGCCCCGGACGGACCCACCCTTGCTAAAGAAAGTGCTCAGTGTAGGTGGCTAGCAGCTCAATGCATGGTGCGTGCCCCAGCATTTAGTGCGCACTGCGCCAAGAACTTGCTCGATAACGCTGACCCTGCTGTTGCATTTGACAGGCCCGGCAAGGCAAATATCACGAAGCGCTCGATGTCCTTAGCGGCTGGAAAGAGGATGCCCTGGATAAGGATGGTGAGTCGAAGGCTTGCGTTTCATCATTGCGCTTCGGAGACATTCAATGGCTCTTGCGGCCCCCCTTTCCCCTCTCCCGGGCAGAGAAGTACGGCTTCAAAGCACCGTCGGTGGATGGATGCATCAAGCTCAGCTCATCGAAGTGGCATCTCCGAGGACAGATCTCAATGCGTCTGGATGAGAAGGATCAAGCGAAGCTGAGCTTCATGAGAGCACTGTCGCTCGACGTGCGGAATTTCGACGCTTTCTCCGCCTTGATAGATGGGAACCTATTGGGGGCTGAAGAGCAGTGGGAGTTTGTCAGAGGACTGGAATTTGTGGCTCAAGCAGGAGGCGATGAAGCTAGTGTAGAAGCGCACGAGATGGTCCGGCTACTCTACTATACGCGATTGAACAAGTTGGGGCGACTGCACGCAAAGGAGACGGCTTTGGCGCGCAAGAAGCTCCTTTCTGCCTACCCGCTGCAAAACAATGCGGACGTGCTGCTAAGTCTGGCCGAGAGCCTCTTTGTCCAGATGAGGTTTCAGGATTGTCACACTGTCACAAAAAGGATCTTGGACATTTCTAGGGACCATCAAGCTACTTTGCCCCTGCATATATCCACCTTCTTCCAACTGCCACACCTGCGACCCGCTCTTTTTTTGTTGGCTCATCACCTTTCGGACACGGATCCTACTTTGCCCGCTGCTTGGTATGCTGTCGGGATGTGGTATGCCTGCGCTTCGAGGTGGTTAGAGGCAAGACGCTACTTTAGGTGAGTGGGCGACGCGCTGCCTGCATCTCGTCTGCAGATCGATTGACATGGTCCATCGCTGGTGATTGCCTAGCAAATCGGTGCACCTAGATGCTCGATTCGCGTACGGGTGGATAGCCTTTGCGCACACATTTGCGCTAGAAGGAGAGTCCGATCAAGCTGTCACTTCGTACTCCACAGCAGGCAGGCATTTTCCTTCGAGCCATCTGCCAACTTTGTTCATCGGCATGGAGCACTTGCATCAGGGCAATCTAACTCTTGCCAAGCTTTTCCTGGATGCTAGCGCGAAACTTTGGAATGAAGATCCCTTGCTCCTGAATGAATTTGGGGTGGTCGCTTTTCACAATGGCAAGTGAGTGCAATATTGGGTAGCAAAGTGAGTGAAAGCGAAAGCCAAGCTCATGCGTGGCCGTACCCTATCACTTTGCAGCCTTTCGGAGGCAGTGGAACATTTTGTCAAAGCGCTGCAGCTGGCGGAGCAAGCGCAGCAGCCCGCTCGCGAGTGGACAGCGACGCACCTGAACCTTGGGCTCGCTCATCATCGTCTCGAGTGAGCCGGCCTGCTAGCTTGTGGCTATCGTTTTACCCCATCTGCTCACCCGTCGTCGTCTTCATCTCTTTAGCAATGCGACCCTCGCGGCCAAATCTTTTCGACGCGTGCTGCAGCTCGATCCTTTCAATGCCGAAGCATATACGGGTCTGGGCATGGCGTCGCACAGGAATGGTCAAATCTCCTCGGCCATAGGCTACTACCACTCTGCTCTGTCCATTGAGCCTAGGGATGCGCACACAACACAATTGCTAGATCTTGCGTTGCAAGAAAACGCTCTTGCTGATCCCTTGGGAGCTGGCGGTGGATTGTCGGCCCAGCTCGCAGACGAGTTGCAACTGGGAGATCATGCCATCGATCGAGGGGGCTCCATGACGCAAAGACAAGACTTCGATGATACGCCGGCTGTCGACCGTACCGACACGCGCAGGAATTCGGAGAGCTCGCGCCAGCTTGGCACAAGTAGCAACTCGGCCCTTCGGCAAGAGCAGGACAGCGTCTCTATGGAGATGGACGCAAGCGATGCTTGAAATGCTACATCATGCTGTTTGTAAGCCTCACATTCAATTTAGTGTGCTGTTCGTTGCTTTGCGCGCAGAGTGTGCAATGTAAAGGCTAGCAAGGGCTTGATTTCTTCACGCGTGGCAAGCTGTCCTGCGATGAAAGCTTACCTCCTTGTGCAAGCAGACTCATATACTCATAACCTACTTCTCTGCCCAACCTCCGAGCTCGACCACAAAGGCAGAAGTGAGGCGGACAAATTGCACCAGATGATCGAAAGAGAACTGCAGAGGGCAGATGCACATGGAAGCAAAGCTGTCAGCTCGATTTCCGACGCACGTGGCTGGACGTGCAACTTACGCCAGGAGCGTCGATGGTATCTAACGGGTGATCGTGCGCGAAGCGAAGTCCGAGAGGTCAGTCAAAACGCCCGTGCAACGGGGGGCGGGGTGTATGTGCTTACCACCCGTAGTGTGAATGCGTTGTAGGTTGCTATCTTCAAAGGTGGCTGCAAGACGAAAAAGACGACGCAGATTAAGGTAGGACAATGGCACGATCGCTTGCTGAAGCTCTGGCGGCATCTCTCACCTTCGATGGCGAATGCGCTAGGCACTCCGACTTTGGTCCAGCTAGCATGATCGGATCCAGCGTAGCCCAGCTTGGTCTCGACGGGCGGGATCTCCAGGTAGGTGTTGACCAATAGCCTGACAAAGTCCGTCAAAGGCGTGCTGACAAAGTCAGAAACGATTCCGACGCGGGCTTCTGTGCCTGGCTTGACAAATGCGGTCACTGCGAAATGGGAAGATGACGAGTGGGTTCATCAGCTCCTACGATTCGCACGAAACGATGAGGGAATGCCACGTGGTCACTACTCACTGTCTTGCTGCAGCATTGCGCTGGGACGCACACCCTTGGCAGCGTACGCTTGAGCGACCTCTTGACTACCCAAGAGACCTCCCTCCTCTGACAAGAGACGTTTGCGGGAAGCAAGGTGTCAAGGGGACATGATGTATGCGTGATCTCAGCCTTGAAATACAGACGTACCGGCGCTGTACCAGTGAAACTCGATGTCCTTGACGGGTCTCCATCCCTTGGACAAGAGCGCACGCAAAGCCTCGATCAGCGTTACAGTCCCACTTCCATCGTCATCTGCCCCAGGGGCAGGCAAGAAGGGGATCTGATGGGTGCTGTCGAGGTGCGCTCCAGCCACGGCGGCAATACGACCCTGCTCCGCCGAGGAGGATTTTGCGCCGGAAATGTGGAGAAGGATACTGTTCTGTCCCCAGGAGTGCTTGTGCTCTCTGACGCTGATGTATGGGACATCGGCGACGACCTGTTCGGGCACGCGATCGGTTCTTTGAGCATATCGCGATCAATTCGAAGGAGAAAGAGCTGCACATACTCACACCCTGGATGAGCTTCAAGAGCCACTGCTGGCTCTGCTTGCCAGTCTCGCTGCGGTAGTACCTGTTTCTAAAGCTGGTGAAGCCCTTGAGGTTCTCCTTTGGTCCAGCATCCGAAATTTCCGCAAACACGCCCTGGAGGTGCTTCTCGTGATACGTCGTGTTGGGAAAAGAGGAGCTCTGGACCAAGCTCGAGGCAGTCGTAGGGAATCGAATAGGCTCGATGCCGCTTCCTAGCGTGGCTGTCAGGTCGAAGAAGTTTTGTCTGGACCAACGAAGATACATCTTGCCCAGCTCGGTGGTCCAGTAGGGATGCTGATCGTGCGCAGCTACAGTAAGGGTGAGCCACACATCGGCGTTGGGGGGGTGGAGGGGGGTTTGTCAGCTTCTCGACTTTGCTGCTAGTATGCGCTCGCGGTATTGTGCTCACTCTGCACGAGACGAGGCTCGGTCAGCTCTGCCAGGAACGGGACCCTTCGAATGGCGCCGGCAAGCAAGCGCATGGCCGCAGGAGCACTGGGCAGCTCCAGCATTGGCGTCTCGAACACATCAGCTTGATAAGAGCTCGAGATGAGGTGCCGCGTCGTCGATTCGGTCGCACTTCCATGGCACGGTGCCGCTTGGATGGATTGGACAGAGACCGCAGCGAGGGCCGCCGCGGTAGCCAACGAGAACGTCGAGAGGCGCATCTTTGAGACCGATGAGATGGAAAGGGAAAAGGAGAAAGTCAAGCTGGAGTTGGTTGCTTGGCTGCGTTGGATGCGTCGAACAGAATGATGTGGATGGGAAATTTAGTCAGTTCGTGAGTGATGCTGCTGACCTTGAGGCTACACCCGGGATCGATGGCAGGTTGCGGGGGCGCCGACACATCGCGCGTCATGCGAGGGGGGATGACGTGACCCTCATGCACCGCCTCACAATCGAGCACGTGACTTGGACAATCATGCCGCGTTTTTTAACCGCGGCATCTTTTGTACGAAGGTCTCCACATCGTTTTGATTGTGGTTCAGGATTCCGCGCAGCACATTACTTTGGTGACCCGCACTCGTGACTCGAACATAACCACTCTTGGTACGTAGAAGACCTCGCAACACTGCAGATGATGCTCTCGCCCTTCCTTGAGGCCGACACATTCGCATTCGAGCACACGTCACCCATCGCCGCCACTCCTCTCATCAAGAGGCTGATTCGGGTGCGTATTCAAGTTTTGGATGTCTCGCCAACAGGGTCGATTCATTGCATTCGAGACGACATGTGAGAAGAACAGACGAGGAGCAAGAAGCTGCAATCGATGACCAGATGGGAGAGTAGCTTCGAATCTGACATGTTCGAGGGAGACAGTCGACAAGACTTTGATTTCAAATGTGCTGCAGGGAAGCAAAGTTGTGCTGATTCGGGGCGCGGGGGGTAAGCTAATGTCGAAGCGAGACGGGGCCACGAGAAATCGGGTCGAGTCGAGTCCAGTCGCAAGAAGCTTATGCTGCCGCAACAGGTTGGCCCCTGGACGACTCGAGGGCAGGGTGGATGCCGTTGGTGGCTGCCTTGGTCGATGGCGCTGGGTGCTCGCCGTTGCGAATCTTCTCCGCTTTGAGAGCCTCGGGGTCAGCACCCAGGTCACCAGCATCAGCGTAGGCATCTTGCCCTTCGCCAGGATATTGAGGGAAGCGCTGCTTGACGTAGCTCTTGTGAGCCGCTAGCACCTTTTCGAATTCTTGCTGGGACTGCGTGATTTGGGGGGCCGCTTTACAAGATAAGCAGCCTGCAAGCGAATCATGGGCAGGACGCGCTTTGACTCACAATGTCATTGGCGAACATGCAGTTGCCGTAAGGCCCGGCAAGGACGAAACGTTGAAGGCCATCGCGAGTCTTCATGATGGCCTCGACGCTGCGATGCAAGAGCTCATTGTCGAGGCTGGGGTGGTCGATGGTCAAGCCAACGCCTTGTGCGAGAGTGAACCACTCGTCGCGCTCCGCATCCGTCAAGAGACCTCGAGCGTGGGACATGATGATGGTGTAAGACATGTCCACAGTGATGGCGTGCCCATGACGAAGGGGAGGGAAGGGAGCGAGCTCAAGAGTGGGACTGATACCATGTCCGCTCGCAATGACCCGATCCAGTCCAATCTCGTGCAGATTGCCAGACTCGAGCTGAAGCATCTTGAGGATGGCTCGTCTGCACACCTCGTCTGCTACGCCTTTGAGTTCGGGAGCACTTCCTGCCTTGCGTCCAAAGCCGGTCTTGACCAGCTCAGGTCCGTACTTGACCAACAGATCCCAAGTGGGCTTCTCTGCGCAGTGAGAAATCTTCATAATCTCTGCGAAGCCGTTTCTTGTTTGGCCCTCGGGCAAAGTTTTGAGGAAGTCAAAGTCGAGGAAAGTGTGCATGGGGGCGTGGTAAGCTCCGAGCCTGTTCTTCAACTTGCCGTGGTTGATGCCGACCTTGATGGAGATGGCGGCATCGATCAGTGCGATCAAAGTAGTGCCGACGCGGATGTAGTTGGTGGAACGCCTGTAGCTGGCGCAGGCGTAGCCGGCCACATCAGAAGCCAAACCTCCGCCCACGACGAGCACGGGCTCTTTGCGGATCAAGCCAAACTTGTCCATAGCGTCGACGAAGCTGAGCATGGTGTCCATGTTCTTGTGCAGCTCACCTCCCTTGAACACATGCAGAGTGGGCGCGATCTTGTGCGAGTTGAAGTAGGCTTTGATGGCATCGCCGTACAGGGCGTTGAGGTTGTCATCGAGCAGGACCAGAACGCGACCCCACTTGTGATAGTACGAGGCCTGAGGAGTGCGGGATGCAAGAACGTGTTAGCGGGGATGCCACGCGTGATCAAGAGGCGCATGTGAGCTCACCAGGTCATCCTTCTTCTGATCGAAGACATTGTCTACAAAGCTGTAGCTGTACTTGAGCTCTTCACTGCCCTCTACCACGTAGCCAGCGCCAGTGCAGTTGGCGCCAGCAGGGGTCTCGCGGACCTTGCCGCTCATGTCAGAAGAGGGTGGGAGGACAGACATTTTGTGAAAAGCCGAACGATTGCAAGTAGGCTAGGAAAGATCGTGTAACAAGAGAAGATGGGGGGGGCGTAGGGTGAGAGCAGATGCTGAGGTGAGGAGTGAGCAAGTGACTGGGTTGCACAAGCGTACAGTCTGGTATATATACCTACTCCTGACCTCCGCTCGGGGATGGGGTTGGGCGGTCTGCAAGAAGAAGTTGACGCAGAAGGGGTCCAACGCACGGACTCGCAAGAAAGCTTTCATCGCAGACAGCTCTAGTGCCAGTCACATTTTCTTCATCACCTCATCTCGCTTCGGTCGAGGCACGTTGTGAGAAGCTGATGAATGGCCCGCGAGTGCGAGTGCGAATTGGGTGCAAGCACGCTTACGGTAGCCTTTGCAATCTGAATTCGGGGTGCTTCAACTCAGACTTTCTGGGGGGGGCTGGGCGTGAAGGCGAGATGGAGCGGGGCTTGGGCACTGCAGCACAGCTTTGCATCTCGTCGAGCAGCTGGATGTATGCTGACCCTAGCAGCAGCTGCGAACTTCTTACCCTTGCTGCTGCTGCTTGATGGGTTCCAGACGACATGCGCATTTGACGTGCGTGCGCGTTATTCTGCCGCCGTGCACTCGTCGCTCGATCACTCGACTCGACTCATCATCGACTGAAGCTGCTGCTGTCCTTCCGGCCTTTCGAGCCGGCTCGCCGAGCTCCAGCTCCCCAGCAGCCGCGCGTGTCTGAGCTCTCGTAAGGCATGAAGGAACTGAGCGCCGAGATGATGTAAAGACAGCTTGGGGGCTTTGCGCCATAGGTACACAAGTTAGCACGGACGTACGAGACACGAGATGCCGGCTGGGCATGCGCAAGGTTCCGCGCGTGACGTGGACGGACTGCTTAGTCAAAGCTTCCGTAGACGCACGGATGGGACGTTAGCAGCCAAGGTGCACGCACTGCAATCAGAGCTCGTGGAGAATCAGTCTCGGGTGAGCCGGGGCTCGGCGAACTGGCTGGCTGCTGAGAGTCACGCACGAGTCCGAGCAGAAGAGGCGCACCCTCGCTGTGGAAAGTTGAGCGCGGGTGTGCGAGTCTTTAGTCTGTGAGAGTAGTAGCAATTAAAGAGTCGTGATCGAGTGAGTGTACCATCCACCGCCGCGGCAGCAGCTGCATGGATGCCAGCAGCAGCAGCAGTCCCACAAACAGCGCGCGCGGGGTCTCGATTGAGCCGATCTTCTCGCAAAAAATCCCTTGGCGACGGAAGCAGCAGCAGCAGCAAGGGCCCGGCCACGCGCGGTTGATGCGCAAACCCAAAAATGGCGCCATCGAACAGAACATCATGTCCATCAGCAGGGCGTCGATGTTGAGCTGCTGGGAACGTTCATCCGCCACGAATCTTCCGTATTCAGGACGGGCGGGCGAGCGGGCGGAGCATCGCACGAGCGAGCTCAGATCAGATCAGCTACAGCACGCCGGCTCCTGCTGCACTGCCGGATGAAGAGGGGTCGGCTGCTGGGGCATAACGGCGCCTGTCTGATCTGCTGACTGGCCGATCACCCATACGCAGCACATCACTCGAGTCTCGTTGCCCTGCGCTGCAACGTCAATCAAATCGACGAGCGCCGTCCCGTAAAAGAGGCACACAAAGCCCCCACGCGCACAAGCGCAACACGGAACTTGTTGCTGTCAAAGGACGCAACCCCTCGATGCTGCGCTAAAGAAGGAGCTTCGTCAATCAGCAGGAAGAAAGTCAAAATTGCAAACATCAGCAGACGTCAGCCTGCGCGCGCGTGCACATCACACCCAAGTTTTGCCTTCAATGCAGCAGCACAGCATCGATCAAGGGTCCAGCTGATCCGTGCGAGCTTGGCTTGCATTGCATGTTTCCCGCGCAGGCTGACATGAGAATGCAGCGAGGGCCAACGCGCTGTGCATGGCGCTGCGCTCGTGCCCGCTTTCGACCCGCGGCGGCGAACCTGCACGAGCGCCCGCGCGGCCGCCGTTGTGCCAGTCGCGCGCGTGGCGTGACTTGATTGACATCACCCGCGCGTGGGGATGTCTTCACTATACACGACGCACGCGACGCACGCACACACACATTCACGACTGATGGTGACTCTCCCTCACGCACACGGGCGCTGCGGTTCCAAACCCGCAGAGTCTTGAGTGTGAGCGTACGTATAGCAGTATGGTCACGGCGGGTGGAAGACTGGATCCGTCTCGCAGTGTTGAGCGCATGACCACGCATGAGCACAAACATGATGCCTGATGGCTAGCGACCATAGCTGGTGGGGAAATGTTCAAGGTGATCGAGAGTCAAAAAGCGGAGATGATGCATCAGCTGCTAAATCAAAAGCGTGCGCTGCGAGGTGGCACGCCGCCACACGCGAGCTCATCACTCGTGTCGCGAGTCGTGAGTGCATGGGCAGCAGTAGCTCTAAGCAAGCTTACTTCATACGACGCAATCCCCATGCATTTAGGGTTGGAAGGCTGTGCATGTGATGGTCCCTGCAGCACCTCACGCGCATGCATGCATGCATGCAGCAAGCAGCAGGTCAAGCGTGAGCGTTTTCCGTTGCCGCGCGGAGGGAAGGCAAGGCAGGGCAAACATCTCGAACAGACAGACAGACCACAAGACGGTCTGATGAGTCGTGAGTCGTGAGTGTGATGAGTCTCGTGACATGATCGACTGTATAGCGTCGCATAGCTTTTCCCCCCAAAGAAGTCAGCGAGTGTGTGCTGAACAAATATGCTGCAAGAGCCACGAGTCCAGCGCGACCTACGCTCGTCCAAATGTGGGCAATGCTTCTGGCTTGTTGGCTAGGACAGCCTCGATCCTGTCGAGCACATCTGGTGTGAGCTTGTCGATGTAGTCCAAAGCAGTCAGATTCTCGATGATCTGTTCGGGCTTGCTGGCGCCAAGGATGACTGTAGAGACGTGTTCGTTTTTGGCAGCCCAAGCGATGGCGAGCACGGCGACGGAGCATCCAAGCTCCTTTGCGATTTCCGAGAGTTTGCGAACCTTTTCCAATTTGGCTTGACCCTCTGCGGTCTTGAGGCTGTTGATGACGCCTCCAAAGGAATCCTTGTTCACGTCGAAGCGCGAGCCTTTGGGAATCCCATCAGCATATTTGCCCGTCAGGAGTCCCCAGGCAAGAGGTGACCAGATGGTCAATCCCATACCGTGCTTCTGGTACAAGGGCAAGTAGTCTTTCTCCACCGGCTCTCGATGCAGTGCGGAGTACTGCGACTGGTCGGCCAAAGGAGGATCAAGACCAAGCTTTTCGGCGATACCGTACGCTTCGCTTATCTGCTCTGCGCTCCATGCCGACGTGCCCCAGTAGAAGCATTTCTGTGATGCATGGGTTGACCAACAGGCGCAAATCAGATCTCTGCTTCTGCACACAGAACGATGGGTGAAGTGCGACTCACGCCTTGCTGAATGAGCTGATTGAATGCCTTGACCACTTCCACCATGGGCACAGTCACATCCGGACTGTGGGCAAGGATGATGTCCCAATATTCCAAGCCAGCACGCTTCAATGAAGCATTGGCGCCCTCGATGATGTGTTTTCTGCTCAAGCCCGTCGCGTTGGGATCTTTTGCGCCAGTTCCGTAGAAGATCTTGGTGATGAGCACCAGCGGTTCTCTTTGCCATCCCAACTCCTTGATCGCCTTGCCCATCGAAACTTCGCACTGTCCATTGGCATACACTTCGGCAGTGTCGAACGTATTGACCCCGCGCTCGTAAGCTGCTTTCATGATCTCCTTTGTTGCTTCGTCCTGCACGCTTCCACCGATCGTAAGCCATCCACCCAGACTGAACAGGCTGACCCTCAGTCCGCTGGGCCCCAATCTGCGAAAGCGCATGTTTTTCGGCTTGGAAAAAAAAAAGTGTACCCCCGGCGTCAGCCGCACCGGAGCGATCAGGCGGGCAGCATCACCCGCATCGCCTCTCCACTCACATCGTATTCGTGCTGCGACATCTTGACAAACTTGCGAAGCTGGGGTGATGGGGGAAGCTTAGCAGCGCCCCCTCCCCACAGTCAAGACTGGACGAATCTTTGGCTCGCAAATTGCGCCGCCGCCCAATCGAAAAGCATCCCGCCGACTTCACCTCCATCACGTTGGTGCGCATGCTTCGCTGAAACCGGTGCATCTATAGCTCTGACCATCAGCCACAGGGTGTTCTTCTCGAAGTGGTCCGAGCGCGCGCAGCTGCGCGTGCTGCATGCTGATGGGTGCGGTGCGGTGCGGTGCAGGTTGATCGAGGCTCGCAGGCGGCTTTGCGCGCTTTCGTTGTGTCAGCATGCAGCATCATATGCATTCGTGTATGCAGCAGCAGCTAGCACCCTCCTCCTCGTCCTTTGCAAAGGTTCAAAGGTCCCTGCATGCTTGCTTGCCAAAGCGCGCTGTGGAGCAGGTTGGGGGCAGGCCAGAAAGCGTTCGTAACACGCTGACTCGAAAGGTCAGTGTCTCGTGTCCGTTCTGTGGAGCAGTGGAACAGATCCGATGAGATGTGTGCGTGTGTGTGTGTGTGTGTGTGTGTGTGTGTGTGTGCGTGTGTGTGTGTGTGTGTGTGTGTGTGTGTGTGTGTGTGCGTGTGTGTGTGTGTGTGTGTGTGTGTGTGTGTGTGTGTGTGTGTGCGTGTGCGTGTGTGTGTGTGTGTGTGTGTGTGTGTGTGTGTGTATCTGGGAGCTGTTTGATTTGTGCTCGGGCTGCGCTGGGTTGAGCTGCAAGCGCGTCTCGACCATCTCGAACGGACTCACTTGACTACGCACGAAGGGACTCGTTGCTGAAGCTAAACGGAGGTGTAAAGACGGAGGGAAAGAATGGCAGCGAGAAGACACAACGTTCATTCACAATTAGCTTTGGACGATTTGCTGTTGCCAAAATGTCGGGCACAGGCAGTACTCCGCCCTACCTTTCGCTCTCCGTAGGCCAAGCTCACAGCTATCTCAAGGCACCAGACGCGCCTGAGCCAGCAGATCATGGGACCCTTGTAGCGCTCCTGAAGCACAGGGCCCGGCATCAAGCAAATCACGTCGCAGTGGGCTTTCCTGACTTTTCCAAAGGAAGCTGTCTCGAATGGAGTGCGTGCTTCGAGATTCATCGGCCATCGTCGCGTTGCGATGAGCGCTCAGCTAAAGTCTTTATCGTCCCCGTCAGCATACCGGGATCTTGATCGGATAGCCTCATCGCTTGCGATGGTATTGCGTGCAAAGTTGCAGGACCTTCCACAGTCTCGCGAGTCCAACGGTTACGCTCGAGACCAGCCCGTGATTGCTCTGCTGGGACCAAGCGGGCCGGACTTTCTGGCTCAGGTAGTGGCATGCTGGTATCTAGGAGCGGCCATTCTTCCGATCGCGTGAGGAAGGTCGCGGGCTCCAGTCAGCAGATCGCCAACGCCATCTTGCAAGGCTAATTGGGTTCTGCGTTTTTTTTTGCTTCCCCGAAGCACCGGTACTTCTCCATCCGGCGTCGCAAATCTGCTCAACTTGACCGCTTGCACGCACATTCTCGTCCACGAGAGTCAAGATGCTTTGGTTTCCGAATGTCGCGCTTCTCTGGACGCACACCGCGAGCTTCGAAGCGTTGCATGGTGTGCACTGGATGCGGCGAGACCCTGCGAGAGCAAAGTCGTAGCAGAGTCTGCGCTTCTACGCGACCCCAAGCGCGACGATCTGCTGGTCATCTTTCACTCCTCAGGTTCCAGCGGAAATCCCAAAGTGAGCAGGGCCTACAAAGTGCTAGCGACAGCGAGGGTAGAAAGATCTGACACGAGAGAAGCGCCCGCTGCGCTTTCCCAAAAAGCCAATACCTCAATCACATCGTTTCTGGACGCCCTCCCTTCTGACAGCCGATGGGCGGTCGAGAGCCGCCTTCACAACGACGCCGCTGTTTCACGGAGGTCTTTCCGACCTTTTCAGGTCTCTGCAAGCTGCGGCACCCCTCTACTTTTTCGGCTGGCATATCGGTGATGCGCCTACTTCTGCAAACATACTGTCGTCCGTAGCAGCGTGCAGTCAAGAGGTGTGAGCCGTGTCAATGAACGCTGGATTCCGCTACATTCTTTCCGACGCTGCTTCTGATCTGCTACCCCGCTCTCGCCAGTCACTATTTCCTATCCGTGCCATTCATCCTCGAGGCGCTTTCGCGGGAGGAGGTTGGCCTCAACATGCTCCATCGCATGGATTTGGTTAGCACGGGCGGTGCACCTCTGCCAGAGGCGGTGGGTGACCACCTCGTTCAACATAAAGTTCCGCTCGTGTCGCGACTGGGAAGTTCGGAATGTGGCTGTGAGTGACTGGTTGGATTCTCGCAGTCGTCAAGAGCATCTCCACTTCGCACTGAGCCTATCCCACAAATCATCTAGTCCTCATGTCTTCTTGGCGCGACTTTGAGCAAGACAAGGAGTGGTCTTGGCTCAGGCTGGTGGATGGAGCTAGCAGAGAGTGGCTGCGCTGGGAGCAGAGACCCGAAGAAGGTGGACTTTACGAACTGGTCGTGACGAGAGATTGGCCGACGAAGGTGAGGCGCTTGCACTGTCTGCGTCTCCACTAGCCGCGTGCTAATAGCTGCCTTTGCAGATGGTTTCGAATGCCCCGGATGGATCCTTCGTCACAGGGGATCTCTACGAGAGACATTCGAGTGACGAAACGAAGTGGCGTTATGCGCGTCGGGCTGACGACAGTCTGGTCCTTGTGAGTGGAGCGCAGGGGCAGGAACCCACTTTGCTCCATCGTCTCTCGCTGAAGGTTGATTCGCTCTGCAACGGCAGATCAACGGGAAGAAGATTGCATCTTCGCCAATCGAAAATGCGTTGAAAGCCATCGAATCGATCAAGGACGCGATAGTCTTTGGAGCGAATCGACCCATTCTCGGCGCCTTGATCGTGCCAGCGGCTTCTACATCGAGTAGAGAAGCCAGCTCAGAAGCAGACTTCCTTTCCACCTTGGCTCCGGCACTTTCGACCATCAACAGGAAGCTGCCCAGCCATGGCAAGTTGACGGCCGAGATGCTTCGTGTCGTCGACGCTGCTACTTTCGAGCGCTTGCCTAAATCGTCGAAGGGCACTCTGCAAAGGGGCATGGCACTGACGCAGCTCGAAGCCGTCATAGCGGACACTTATGATCGCTTTGACAAAGGCGAAGCGCCGCGGAGGGGACCGCGCGTCTCGCTCAGGGGCGAGCAGCTTAGGAATTGGTTGAGGGAGCTCGTAGCCGAAGTGACGGATCACGACATCGCACTCGAAGATGATCTCTACAAGTCTGGCATGGATTCAATCATGAGCGCCAGGATACGAGCGGCTCTTCTACAGGTGAGCTCTGCTTTTTGCCGTGGAAAAGCGATCCGGTGAAGTCGAGGACTTCTTACGCTTCTCCTTCGTCCGGCAGCGCCTTGATCTTGGCACGCGTCGGCTGCCGGCAAATGTCGTCTACGAGCAAGCGAACATCGAGCGGTACGTTCTCGAGCGAGCGTGGCGGTGACGATATAGGTGCTGAACGCCGAGTGCCCATCCCAGTCTCGCCTGCTTTCTCGAGGGTGCAAGCTCAGACGGTCCCGCCAATGTCCAGGATCTCGCTTCGGCTTTGGTGCACAAGTACTCGACGTTCCTGCCTCAGCCTCGGACAGCGGCACTGGGCGCATCCGATCCGGCAACAATACTACTCACAGGCGGTACGGGGGCTTTGGGTGCCAGGGTGCTTGAAGAGCTAATTTTGCAGCCTGCAAAGGAAGTCGAAGCGATCTACTGCTTGGTGCGAGCACAAGATGACGAGGGGGCCTCCGCTAGAATCTCGGATGCTCTGAAGAGGCGCCAATGCGAAGTGACCACCAAGCAGGCCCAGAAGCGCCTGAAGTGTCGAGCGCAACTTGATGAGACCACGAAAGCAGATCTCAGCACAGCCAGACGGCTTGTCGTCATCCATGTGAGTAATTCTGACCGCCCGCGTCTTTTTTGCCCAACCTCATGTACTTTGCCTCTGCAGTGCGCCTGGGTGGTGAATTTCGCCCTCAGCTTAACCTCCTTTGAAAAGGACTGCATCTCTCGTGAGTCGTCCTCACGCATGTACTCGAAGCACTTTGAGCGTGTATCGCAGCTGATCGCTCGGTCTGACACAATAGCGCTCAAGGAGCTCTTGGACCTTTTCATTTCGAGCTCTGCTCCTGCTCGCTTTGTCTTCTCATCTTCTCTTGCCAGCATCTTGGCAGGTGCGGCCCCGCATCGTGAGGAGCCGAGCGAGCACGTATCATCAGCGGGCTCGACGGGCTACGCTCAGTCAAAGTGGGTTGCAGAAAAGATCTGCGAAGCGGCCGGGGAGCGCGTGACCATCGCTCGTGTAGGGCAACTGTGCAGCGACACCAAGCATGGAATATGGAACGAGAGCGAGGCTTGGCCCTTGCTCGTGCGCACTGCAGACGAGACGGGCGTCTTGCCAGCCACGGGGCCTGTGAGTTTCCCCCCCCCCCCCCTCCGAAAAGGGTCAGCCAACCTTGGCGCGCTTGCGCTGCGTCGCAGCTCACCCTGGATGTGTTTATTGCCTTTCAAAGAATCTCGACTGGCTACCCGTGGATGCAGCTGCACGAGCCTTGGTAGACCTAGCCTTAAAACAGGGTGAAGACGAGGCGACCTTGTGCCACGTCTGCACGCCCCAGAGCTCGACGCTTCCGAGCTGGAGCGACTTTATCGCTTGGCTTGCCGAAGCAGGTCTTCGGTTCGAGGTCAAGTCGAAGGAAGCATGGCTCGATGCTGTGCGGAGAGCAGGCACAGGTGTTCGTGGACGAGCGCTGGTTGAGAGCATCTGGGCCAATGTGAGCGAGGTTGGCGAGTCAGAAGGGCTTGCCTTTGATCTGATCAGCCCTTGTTCCCTCTCAGCTTCCGGCCGCAGGCTCGGACAGCACCGTGGAGACGACGCGAGCAGAAGCGCTCTCGGATGCATTGCGAAGGGCGCCAGTTGTCGACAGAGATCACTGCGCCAGGATGGTCTCCGCTTGGAAAGACACTGGATTTCTCAAATGAAGTTGCAGCCAATCACATGCCTTTTTTCGCAGTGAATGTTGGGTGGACCATCGATTTAGCAAGTCAGTCTTTCCATGCGTCACTCTTCCTGCCGCTGGACGATCCACGTGACACCATCTCGGATGGGCAGGATGGAAGCCTCGACCCTCTGATCCTGCGCTACATGCTGATTGAACTTCCTGAGCGCGGTGCCATACTCTTGATTGATTTGCAAGCGGCCTAAAAGCTCCGGACTGGCCTTGTCGAGGTCCGGGGTGAATGGCAGGCCCTGTATAAAATTGGGTCAGCACTTTGCCGATGAGCTGCACAAGTCCCAATGCGGCAAGCTCACCTTGTAGAGTGTATTGTCGACCAGCAACACGCCACCCTTTGCCAGCAGACCAGATCCGATGATGGTCTCGTAGTAGTCGTGATATCCCGTCTTGTCCGCATCGATAAAGATGAGATCAAAAGGCTGCTCATTGTCCCGCACCATGCCCTTGATTTGGTCCACCGCTGCGCCTATCCGCACATCCACCCTTTCGCTGACTCCAGCTCTGGCAAAGAAGGGCTCCGAAAGCTGTTTAAAGTAGGCATCCATCTCCAGAGCTACAATCTGGCGGGCTCGAAGTGGCGCGGAGCAGGAGCGAGAAAGCTTGGTGTGAGCGTCCGCACAAGCGCACTTGGACGCTGTCCAGCCAGCTCCACAGACCAGGCGTCCAGGCTCACCTTGCCATCCTCCGGCAGCGCATCGGCCACGCACAGAGTCGTTGTGCCTGTGAACATGCCCACCTGGAAACACCACACCCACACATTCAGCAGCATGCTCTGCCTCTCGATGTGAAAGCAGCTCGGCAGGGCACCAGCGCGGACTCACTTCGAGGACGCGTCTAGCCTTGATGGATCTGGCAACCATGGCAATAAAAGATCCCTCGTACCCACCAGCGCTCCATCCGGGATGCACCCTAAAGCTGACCTCCTTTCTCTCATACGCTCCTTTCCAGTCATGCTTGTCCGTCTCGTCGATCAGATCTCGTAATGCCGGCGGACCTTTGCTGGAACATTCGTCCAAATAAGGATCCAAGCGCGACAAGAGGTTCGATGCTAGTTCGAGGGCGCGCTGCGCTGCGTTGATCTTCTCTGCATCGGGCTGAGAGGCTTGTTGCGCTTCGCGCAGAGATCTGATCGCCGAATTGACCAGCTCTAAGGCCGAAGCTAGCGGCGTCTCCATCGCTGTGCTGCTCATATCGGCTTCTGGTCCCAGCTGGGGCCGCGGATGAGAGGGGCAAAGTCTGAACGGGTTTGGAGTGGAGAGATGAGCGTACGAGCGCTTATTTGCACAGCTTCCATGCGCTGGTCTCTCGGAAGCTCTTGTACGGTGTGAAGAGCTGACTGCGGTCCATTCGACTCGCGATGGGATGCAAAGCTGTAGCACGTTGCGAAGGAGAGAGAGCAATCACGAATGTCGCTCTTCTGCACACGCGATGATGCTGGATGGAGCTCGATCGCAGCAACCACGCACCGCACCTTCTCCACCAAGACGAAGAAGGCTCCTTCCAAGGACCCTGCATCGCATGCTGCAGCGTCGAAGCAGGCTGATCCAAGCGCGCATCCAAAAGGACACATCACGTGATTCCGTCAATGGACGGGTCGTGGCTGCATATTTGATATGATTCGTCACGATGAGTCAGTCACGCGCCCCGCCTGCTTCACGAGTAGCCTGATGAGCGTTATCAAGATTTCTCCATTCACGATTCAAAATTCAAAGATTGTCCAGGTTTGGCGGTGAATCTGACGATCACGAGAAAGGTTCAGAGCCCTTGGAGGCATACGCGTGCACCACTCACGTGACTGTGCCATCGTCACTCAAGACAGTGGGCATGGTGCAAATTTCTTGCTGTTCGAGGCTAAATTTTTGTGAGGACGGTCAGTCAGTCAACCGTGATTGTTGACTGGGTGGCACGATCTGCGTGCTTCTCTGCAAATCTGGCGACGAATCGCTGCAGGGCCTTCGTGCAGGGTGCATTGGGTGAACAGACACCGTGAGGGAGGGGGAGGGGGAGGGGGGCCGAGCCGACGTCTGTGGCGGTGCTTGCGTCAGTGCCGCGTTTCGCAAGGGCAAAGACCCAGTCATCGTGTTAAGCGTCAAGACGAGTCTCAGAAGGAGTGCGTACGATCGCTACGGAGACGGTTTGCAGCTCGACACGATGACAATTCGTGAATGCGAGGGCTCGTTTGACTGGAGAGAAGTGGAGAGCCTGGTCTCGCGATGGCAATGCGTTCGTCCACAGTCCGAGTGCGTGGGCAGGTCTGCTACCCCGCAACTGCTGACAAGCCACCATGCAGCGACCGCGTGGTCGAGGAACGCGCGGGCCGCTTAGGGTAGGTTGACTGACCGCATCAAGCGAGACCTCCCTCGCGTGCCACTTGCTGAAGAGTCTCTTGTCAAGCCTGCAAGTTCAAGAGCTCGGCAAGGCGCGGAGTAGGAGATTCAACAAAAGCTTCGCAAGCGCGAGCCAAAGGGAAGACTGTACTGCACGTCTCGTCTCAACGCAAGGAAAGATGCAGACAACCATTGCAAGCCGGGGTAATGTGAGCTTCGCGAATCATCCGGCGTTCGGCGAACGGCCTTTACCGATAGGCCGAGCGGGAGTGTGAGTGAGTGCGCCACGTCGTTTGGAAGGCCGCCGTTTACATCAAAGATCCCGCCCTTAATTGTCATCCCGACGGAGGAATGGATCTGGTATCAAGAGGTCATCCATCGGGCGGGCGCGTCGACGGCGAATGTGCCGGGCGGACGTCGGGTCAATCCAATGGTATCACAGCTAGCGGTGTATGTAGTCTGCGGAGAAGGCAAGATTGCTCCGCTCAGGCAGGCAGACACGAGTACCGCGTGGCGAGTTTTCGCGTTCCCTGCTGGTCTTGGTCTGCATATACGCTGTGGGGCCCCTGCACCGAGAGTTGCGAGTGGGAGGTGGACCGCTTGCATCCATCCATCCTTTTGCCCTTGCTTCTATCGCGCCACCGTTCCTGGTCGGAGAAGGGCAAACTTCGGCCAAGCCTTGTTGGATGCGCGAGTACCCCCACCAGCACACTTCGCTCTTCAAATCTCTATGTGGACCTCATGGCTGTCCTGCGTCCTGTCCAAGATGGGCATCAGGCACCCTTACCGTTTTCCCTCGCTCCTCACAAGTGAGCCACTCGACCGGCAGCGCCCCTCCCCGTGAGGCTGTATTGCAGTCACCAGCAGAGACGTAAGCGGTGCAATCCATTCAGCTGCTGCGCAGAGAGACTTTGGGCTCTCCTCTGAACGGATGTTTTTTGCACCTTGCGCCGCTTCTTGACAAGCAATCAAGCCACGCGTAAATCCGAGGAGACCCCAATAGGCCCGCCGCTCCTGCCATTGCGGCTTTCTCAGGACGAAAAGTGCGCATCCGATTGCTGGTGATCACGGTCATCCTTCGCGAGTCTGAGCGAGAGCGCATCTTTGTACCTGATGCTCTGAGGCTGGAGCCCCTATTCCTCGCAGCAGCTTGCACAAAGAAGGATGGCGCGATTGTGCACTCACGCTCACGCACCCTTCATGCTGTCTAGGCTCTTGCTGCTTCTCGCCCTCGCTGCACACAGCTGTAGGGTAGGGGCCTCCTCAATTTTGGACTCGGCTCTGCTCACGTCCCCCGGCCAGCATCAGGTGCTGCGTGAACCGCGCGTCGAGCTGTCGATGCATATATGCTGAATGCGGAGAAGCAAAGCAATTAAGCAAGGGCGCGCTCAGAGGCGAGCAAGCACCACGCAAGAGGAAGCAAATCCAACGGTCCAACACCGCATGCAGGACACTGAGCTAGTGCTCAATTACCAGAAGTTCCTGCACTCGCTCGGTACAAATCGCGAGTCTGCTGAATCGCGGAAGGGGAGATTACGAATACAAGTCGCGATCGAGTCACGAGTCGCGCTTGATCGACCCTGACGGTGATATAGTAATCTCCCTAGTGTGAGTGTGTCGTGCGTGGCCGGCTCAGTCAGCACATCAGTTCGGGATTCACGATTCGCGATATTTACGTGATGCTGGCGACGTGACTGAGGGATAGAGGCCGATCGATCGGGAGCAAGGCATGGCGCTGGTCACATCAACCATGCAACACAGCTAGCGTGCCCAGATGCGAGCGGGTTTCACAGCCTTGCTAGGCTGATGTCAAGGCAGCCCACGACTTTCAGTCGACGAAGCGCCAAGCTTTGATTCTCCGCACCGCGTCTGCATCCTGCAGCATACTCGTTCGTGTCTTGTCCACTCGCAGCAGCGCTCACGCCGCTTGCATGCATGGACACAGCCCCAAGTGCTCTATTTTTGCCAATCCACTCGCACTAGTCCAGCACCTTCGATTTTCCTCCGCTTGCCCAGAGCTGCACCTTGCCGCCGTCCCCACACCATCGCGACCCTTCTTGCGTTGCCCCTTGCCGTCGTGCTCGTCAGCCGCGGTCAAGCGTCGTGGCAATCCAGTCACGACCTCGTGCGGCGTCTTTTTGTGATAGCCCCGGCGGCCTAAGGCGTCGCGTGTGGGTCAGTTTGCCGTACAGGGGGGATGCCGGCAAGCACAGGCCTTCTGCTTTGGCTGCTGATGAGAATGTTTGGATGGCGTCTTGGCGGATGAGTAAGGTACCCCCTGTGCGCGGTCCCCTTGCTTGGCTGCTGGTGAGAACGCTATCTGGGTGTACCAGCTGAGAGAAAACGGCGCAGTCATTATTGACAGCCCGACCCCTTTTTGATGCTTGCACGTCGATCGACTCGATCACCGTCGATTGTCCATCTATCTGCTGTTTCATACAATCGTGAATGATGGATCGTGTAGCATGTTGCAGCCGCCGAGCCCACGGTGCGGCGATGACCGGGTATATGCCGGCCGCTGGTTATCACAGTCTCATCAGAATCGGCGCATCGGCGTGCCGGCGCAACGCGGCGCACCCTGCCAGGGCTGAATGTGCCGCACGTCAGCAGCCCGCCATACTCGGGGTTGGCCACGCGTCGGAGTGCGACGGACGCGCGTGATGATGGTCTTTTCATGCGATGATTCAAGGTTGAGACCCATCTCGTAAATTGTGACTTGCATTGCTCTGATTCAATTGCAACTCCGCTTGAATATACCTCTTCGGCTGCTGTTGCTGCTGCTGCTGCTGCTGCTGCACGATTTGTTTCGACCTCAACTTTCTACCGCCCTCTGCATGTTGCTTTCATTCCAATTTAGACGCCTCACAGGTCTTGCCCTGCATCCATGCATGGCCGCACGCAGCACGCAGCACGCGAGCTTCATCGTGCTTGCTGACTCTGCCAATCCGCGCGGTGGCCGAAAGAGGTTGCCGCGGGCGCTGCGCGATGCGACGCACATGCGGTCTTGTGAAGCGACGCGTAAATCCCAGCTTGCGTGAGGGACCGAGGTACAAGCCTCCGCCAAAGAAAATACCACATGTATATATAGCTCTCAGCGCAGCTCGATGACCCGCAACAATACACTTTTGACCAATTGCAAAGTGAAGCTTATGTTCAAGCGCTTCGCAATTGAGCATTTAGGGGAGCTATAGCCACGAGTGGCGGCGGAGAAGGCCGCGTTACACTGCGATCCGAGGGTGCGCACTTTGCAGCACGCGCACCGCACGCCGCGCTGCTCAAATGCTGCTGCATGATTGCTGCTGCAGCCCTGGTGGTGTAGGAACACAATGAGACACCAACTCACGCGCTAATGAAAGATGACGCCCTTTCGCCCTTGGTTGTGGTTCCTGAAGTACACTGGGCTGGTGCACAACCGCACGGTGCTCCCCCCAAGACCACACGCGAGACGAGTCTTGGCTTCAGCATGCAGGTCTGCACCAATGGCCCGCCGAGTCGGAACGCGGCGGCGGGCAGCGCGGCTGTTAGACCCGCTGAGTAGGTGCGCACTATACCCCGCGATGTTCCTCGCGCGGTGTGTTCCTACAGCACACGGGCAAAACCTCTGCGAAAGCGTCGAGAGGGACAAAGCAAGGCGAAACCCCCTTTTGGTTGTGCTGATGCTTATTCGCTCTGCATGTGCTGCTGGCTGCTATCAGCTGGGCTGCTCCCTCACGTTAGCCTCTTCTTGTGCGTAAGTCAAGGATCAGGGTGCAAAGCGCAGTCTCACACGTTGCAGAGCAAAAGAGCAGAGCGAGCAGAGTAGGGCGAATGTGCACATCACCAATCAAGCGCCGCTGCAGCGAAACCCGATGGCCTGACTACACACACAGCAGCGTGGTGCGTATAACGCCGTCTAAATGGTCAAGGGCGAGAGGCGAGTCAAAGTCTAATTCATTGGGCATCTGAGCAGTCGCGCTGTTCGGCATCTGAACAAGATGCCACGGCACTGTCGCCCTCTCTCCCCTGCAAGGATAAATAGTCAGCCCTCACGACCTTGCTTACATCCCCTTTCCCCTTTATCGAGTAGTCCACCCGACTCGTCCGACCCTTCGCCCTCCTCCTCTCACGACGCATCTTCGCTCACCTTTCCCTGCCACCCTTTCACTACCCTTTCCCGCTCACACTTACGCACAAGATGTCGATCGAGAAGAAAAAGGCTTACGATGGCCCCAAGTACTGGGGCCTCAGCGGTCTTCCTCTCAGCCGAATGATCGGATTCGCAGCAGGCGCTGGTTTCGTGAGTGGTGCCCGCGCTCGTCTCGTCTTGATCTGAGCAGCGCAAGACTGAATGGACTTTCCCGTGACCTCTCGCAGCTCCTTTTCGGTTATGACCAAGGTGTCATGGGTGGCTTGCTTACGCTGCCATCCTTCGTGGAGCAGTGAGTTCAATACTGGCAGAGCGCGCTTCGAGTCACAGAGCTGACCGCGGGCGATGCTGCGATTCTTTTGCCACGCAGCTTTCCCGAGATCGACACGACCAAACGGGGCACAACAGCTACTTCGGCCGAAAGCACTCTCCAAGGTCTCACTATTGGTCTCTACGAAATCGGTTGCTTCTTGGGCGCGGTCTCCTGTCTCTGGCTTGGCGACATGCTCGGTCGTCGTGCAATCATCTGGATCGGTACTATTGTGAGTGCGCGCGCGACGGTGCGGCAGCACGATGCTGCTTCATGTATGCAGGCTCAATCTAGTCGAGAAGCCACGCTGACGCAATAGCACCTGTTCTTCTCTTCCGACGACCCGCAGTGGATGATCATCGGCGCCATCATCCAGGCTGCTGCTCCCAACATTGGTGCTCTCATTGCTGGCCGTATCATTGGTGGTGTAGGTAACGGTATGCATACTGCTACCATTCCTATGTGGCAGTCTGAATGCTCGCCCCCTCACAAGCGTGGCATGCTCGTCATGGTGGAAGGTGCCCTCATCACGGGTGGAATCTGCATGGCATACTGGATCGATTTCGCCTTTTTCTGGCTCGACCCCGACGTGGCTGAAGGCAACCCCAACGCGCCCCGCAGCACTTCAAGTGTGGCATGGCGTATGCCCATCGCTTTCCAGATCGTCCTCTGCATTCCTACCCTCGTCACCATTTGGATGCCCGAATCTCCTCGTTGGTTGCTACTCAAAGGTCGCGAGGAAGAGGCCCGTTCTGTCATGGCATCCCTCGAGGAATTGCCTCTGGACGACCCAGAGATTGACCTCAAGGTTCAAGAGATCAAGGAGTCGATCGAAGAAGCTAGCGGTGCTGGCGTCAAGGATCTCTTCAAGCAGGGACCAGAGCGCAATTTCCACAGAACCGTGCTCGGCTTCATTATTCAAATGTTCCAACAGATTTCTGGTATCAACCTCATCACCTATTACGCCGCCACGATTTTCGAACAGAACATCGGGATGAGCCCATTGGTCTCGCGTCTCGTCGCCGCCGCCAACGGTACAGAGTACTTTGCCGCCTCATGGGTCGCCGTCTTCACCATCGAGAAGTTTGGTCGTCGTAAGCTTATGCTGTTCGGTGCCGCCGGTATGTCTATCAGCATGGCCATTCTTGCCGCGATGACAGCGCCTGGCGTCACAGGAGAGTACACGGTTGGCGAAGGACCAGATGCTGTCACGATCGTCCCCAGACAGGCTCCAGGCTATGTCGCCGCCGTCTTCCTGTTCATCTTCAACACCTTCTTCGCCATCGGGTGGCTTGGCATGACTTGGCTCTACCCTGCCGAGATTACTCCTCTCTCCATCCGAGCCGCTGCAAATGGTGTATCCACGAGTGCGAACTGGCTCTTCAACTTCCTCGTCGTCCTCATCACGCCTATCGCCTTCGATAGCATCGCGTACAAGACGTATTTGATCTTCATGTGCACCAACTTTGCCATTTTCGTCACTACGTTCCTGATTTTCCCCGAGACCAAGTCCAGAAGTCTGGAGGAGATGGACGCCATCTTTGCCAAGTCTTCCTACATCAACCCCTACGATGTTGTCCTTCAAGAGCAAAAGACTGCTCGCCGCTACGACGAGCACGGTCGACCGGTCGCGCTCGATTCCATTCTGGCAGAAGCGGGACAGGTCAACGAGTCAGCGGAGAAGAAGTATGGCAACCAAGATCTTACTCGAGACGCTTCCGGTTCCGAGAGCCATTGAACGGCAACACTGCAGGGTCGACCCTAGCAATCGTTTGCAGTCAAGCGTCACGTCTCTTTCGGGGCTCTTCCGACTTGATATCCCGCCTCGACTTTGACGGCGCCACTTGACACGATGTTCAGGTGTCGGCCGGCTAGCAAAGGCTTTCCTTCTCTTGTACGATTAGAGAACCGACGCGCTGTTGGGGTCCCCTCTTCTGCGTCTACAACTTTTACGCCCACTTTTATGATGGCAAAAGCCTCTACCGAGGTCTTGGTCTCATTCGCGCAATGAATTGATGAAATGTCTGTGCGTACGAGTGTTGTGCAAGACGCGGAAATGCCAAGGTACCGCTTCGATTTTCGTAGCCTTTTGTCAACCGCATTGTGGAGGAGAATTTGCGTTCTCGAGGCACGAGGAATGACGGCGTTGTAGCACGCGCGGGTGCCTCTCTGAGCAATCACAATGGCACTCACGACTGGGCCGTGCAGCGAGTCAAGCAACGTGATGCAGAGAAGCCATGTTGATCATGCGCTCGCAGCAATCTGACCTCGCGCGCATCGTCTCGCAACAAAACCACCATCCACGAGAAGAAAAGGTGAATGCGCGATGCGACTTGCCCACTCGTGATTTCCATGGGAGCCAGACTCGAATCCTCCGGACAAAATCGCGGCTTTTGGACCCCTTGAGAGGAGGAGGGAGATGTGATGAATCGCAAAACGTATCTTGATCGTTCAGGTGAGACAGCCCGCGCTGCATCGTGATGCGGGGGACATTGGCTTCCCTCGTGATTTCCGCAGGCGTTTCCTTTGGCAGGGCGCACATGGCACCCATTGTAGACTCGTTCGAGCGCAAGCGCGAGGACACAAAGTGTACCATTTCAAGAGCAACGGGAAAACGTAAAGGGAACATCGAGTACGTGCCGAACCAGACAAGGAGAAAGACGAGACGGAGCGCAAAAGCTTGCTGCGGGTCGCACGGAAAAGCGCAGCAGCAAACAACGAGACGTTGGGGAAGAAAGAGGGACAAGGAAGGAGAAAGACAGGAGATCAAAGAGTCCGTATCTCTTGACGTGTTGGCGGCGTATATGAGCGATGATGGCATGCATGTATCGATTTGTGATGAGGGGCTGATTCGGAGCTGATTCGGAGCTGGCGTGCATTGCTGGCGAATGGGCTGCATTGTCGGGTCGGTCGGGTCGGGTGACGCGGAAAACGTTGTGGTTTGTGTGACGAAAAAGGGGAGGGAAAGACTTGTCGACGAAGGCGGACCCCTAGGTGGACATTTGCACATCTCGAGCCGATCTGCCATTGCTGGCGGCATCATCGATGATGCTCTCGTCGTCCTTGTCGTCTACTTGCATCTTGCTCATGCCCAGACTGGCACCAGCAAGACCAAAGCCTCCGCTACCTCTGCGACCTCCAAAGCTGCTGGCCATGCTACCGGCCACGCTGCCATCGTACGTGCCAGAGTAGGAAAAGCCTCTGAACTTGTCCTGCACGCTCCTCGACAGCGCATCATCCTCTTCGCCATCCGCTGCGGTCCCATTGCCAGCCTTTTTGATCGCAACGCCGTTGGCTTGCTTGCCGGCATCCTTTCTCGCTTGAGCGCTCGTGCTCAGTATCGCTCCACTTTCCAGAGCCTCTCGCCCCTCGCCCGCATCGCCTTCAAAGCCGGGAATCACCGCAACTTCGTTCAGGTCCGTCTCCGTAAATTCGGGGTCAAAGTTGGCCACGCTCTCGTCCGACTCGACAAGAGGCTTGAACGGCGGCGTGAGCTGCTTCTTGGATAGCGCTTCAAAGTCAATCTCGCGGAAGAAAGCGTGCGCTCTGAGATCTGCCGCATCCCTGCCAGCTCCCAGACGATGCTTGGGATTCCGATTGAGCAGCTGTAAACGGCTCGAGCGGGTAAGCTTGCTGCAAGCTGGGATATGCTCTCTTGCGGGCACTCACCCCCTTGACGAATTGCTTTCCATCATCGCCAATTGCGCCCCTCGGGAACTTGATCTTGCCAAAGCAAATGTTGCGGTACATTTGCTGCGTATCCTCTGCGTAAAATGGACTCCACCCGCAGCACATTTCAAACAGCAGCCTGCAAGATATGACACGTCTGTCAGCGGCCAGCGTTGATGCAAGCCTCCGCTCCAGCACTCACACTCCAAGACTCCAAAAGTCGACCAGCTTAGAGTAGCCCGATTCATCAAGCAGGACCTCTGGCGCGAGGTATTCGGTGGTGCCGCAAAATGTGTTGGTCAATTGGCCCGCTCCCAGGTCCGGTTTGGAGAGTCCAAAGTCGCACAGCGCGACGTGGCCCGTAGCGTCGAGGAGAATGTTTTCAGGCTTGAGATCTCTATAGACAATGTCGTACTTGTGCAAGTGTTCCAGCGCAAGAACGAGCTCGGCAATGTAAAACCTTGCTCGCTCTTCGGTGAATCGACCTTCGCGCTGCAAATGCCAGAACAATTCTCCTCCGCTCTTGTAGTCCGTAACAAAGTACAGCTCGTACTCTGACTGGAAGCTGAACTTGAGACCCACGAGAAAGGGGCAATCCAGCGACTTTTCCAAGATGCGCCGCTCGCCCATCGTGTGCGTCACTTCCTTTTTGAGCGCAATCTCCCTCTTGGACAGCACCTTCATGGCGTATATGCGCTTCGTATCCTTCTTTCGCACCTGAAACACTCTGCCAAAGGTGCCCCTGCCGATCAGCTTGAGGTACTCGAAATCGCTCGGAGTGAGACGCTTCTTGGAGGAGATTCTCTCATACTTGAGCTCCACTCTGACCTCTCCTCTCCCCTCTTCTGGAACATCTGCGTCCTCGCGCGCTTTGAGAGAGTACCACTGGTCCGACGCAGCGCCGTGCACGAACCGAGGCAGAATCTCCCTCATGCCCAGGAAACCTTCTTCCTCCGCTTGCCTATCGTACACGCTCAGAAAGATCGTCTTGTCTGGATGCGTGACGTCAAAAGTCACCTCGTGCCTCCACACGGGATGCAGCGTGAATCTTCCTTCGATCTCCGAGGTGCTGGCTGCGCTCGCGCCGCCCTGATCCACAGCCATGGCAGTAGCAGCGGTAGCAGCACCGCCAGTCTTTGCGTCTTGCGGAACCACAGTCTTTGCTCTCGCTCTCGAGCCGCTCGGGTCCGCTTGGGCAACGGGAATCGCCTTGCCCTTTGCTTCGGGTTCCGCCGACTCATCGATTGGCTCCCTACCGATAAATTCGTTTTGCTCAAACGAGACGACTGCGTAGGGTTTGGAGGAGGGCGAGCCGACTATGAGGTTGCGTGCGGATACCAGCTTGACTGTGAGGTAGCCTCTAGGCGCAGAAGTGTTGCGCGTCGTTCCCGAAGAGGTGGTGTGCGACGCAGCATCGTTCTTCGCCTTGGCTGGCGGCAGCTTCATGGAAAAGTCGGGCACTGCGCGGGGGAGGATAAGCGTTTCGTAGCCAGCTTCAGTGTCAAGGGGGCGCAGGCTCTCTCTCTCTCTCTCCCTCGGTCTCTGTGTGCCCACTCACCGCTGGTACTGATGCTCGTGGTGGGAATGCTGGCATGGCTCGTCACCCCGCCAGGTGTTCTCATGCCAGGTGTGAGGGGGTCAGCGTGGTTCAAGCTGTTGAACGGGATGCCCTGATTCAATCCAGCGCCCAGACCCGGCCCGCCGCTGTTGTTTCTGGAGTGAGACAGCCGATCAGCAGGCGCACCTGGTGCGGACATTGTGCTGTTGGGAGGAGCGCTAGAGCCGCTGGTGAGGGCGTCGAACGGGTTGCGCTCTTCAGCTTTATTGGACGACGCTTTGGGTGTGATCTGTGCAGCAAGGGCGAGCATTGTGGGAGGATGGTGGTCAGCATGGATGCTTGCATGCGTCAAAAGAGGTTCCGCTTGCTTCTCTCCTCCAATCGCAGCCATACGTGCGTGAGTGTGCGGCAGACGCACGCCCGCCAATGTCCTCCTCCTCCTCCTCCTCCTCCTCCTCTTGCACACCGCATCCGCTCACCTGATCGGCGGGCCCGCCGGGCCAGATACCCTTGAGCATGCTGTTTGTAGTCATTTCCGACTGCTGTTTGCGTTGCTACAATCCGAGTCACGGCAGTGCGGGGTGTAGGTGGCAATGACGAGCGAGCGCGAATTCCGAGATGCGTCGTCTAATGCGCGCCAAGTGTTGCCTGTCTGCGTCTGCGAAAGGCGCGGGGCGCGGGCGGGCGGGCGGTCGCAGGTCATGTCAGTCAGTGAGCAAGTTGCTGCGCGACGTACGAGTCGTTCAATGAGAAGGACCCCGCATCGAGTCTCGCCGATGGCGGGCTGCCCTGCACGAGCATGGAGACTCACGGATGTGTCGAGCAGCAGCAGCAGCAGCAGGGATACTGCTGCGTATAGGTGGCAAGCGTGCTATACAGCGGCAGCGCAATGCCGGGCTTGTATAGACGATCGAGGGCGCTTGCGTCGATCTGTGTTGGCTGATCGATCCGAACGAGGGCTGAGATGCGTTTGGCAGCGAGGAATGCACGGCTGCGCGGACGCTGACTCAGACGGCGATTGCGACGATGCCGGATGGTGGCCTAGCTGCTGGTGAGAGGTTCTGATCGCAGCAACTTTTACCCGGCCACAGGTGCCGAGAGGATTAACGATTGTTGAAATGCGATAGCGAGCTTATCGCTGCTGCTGCTGCTGCACCGCGGTGGCGTACGTATATTATACTTATTGCTTGCAAGACACCGTGTGCGCGCAAGAGCAATGAGCGGCGTTATTGCTGTGCGATACGAGGCTGATTCAGGTGAATCACCAATGCATACGCGAGTGCTGACGAGCGTACGTACTACGTCTCGCCAACAAGTGTCCGATCCGAGACCGCGCCGAGGTATTGCAGCAGATGCGTGTGTATATGTCTATATGCGTGTAGGAGTGCGGGGCCAAGAAGATACGCTGAGCGGGACCGATCGAGTACCTCGGCGGTCGCGGTGTGAGTCTATGAAGGTGCAACAGGTCGATCCGATCGGGATCAGCTGACTTAAGAGGAGCGACTGCGAAGGTCCGAGACGCAGTTAGGTTGCGATAGCTCCTTTGAGTATCCCTGGCTATATATATGCGCTCAGATTTGCGTCGAGGGATCGAGGATCGAACTGCGGGGCGGGCAGTCAAGACGACTCGGATGCGCTGCCGCTGCCTGCAGGAATTCGGAGATCAAAGTGCTATGCTGATGAAGCGCCTGAAGTTGCTTCGCGGTGACGACTGATCGGAGTATGTGAGGTACCTAATCGCCGATGAGCACATCCACCCAAACGCGATGTTGAGCGGGTGTGGCGGGTGTTGCTGTCAACTTTAATGGTGTTCGCAAAGAGCGAGTCGTGAGTCGGAGTGATGGCCACATGTTTCGCAGCGTGCGCACGCAATTGTGCGTGCGTGCGTGCGTGTGCTGTGCGCTTATTGTGTATGCGCGGCGGCTAGGAACAGGAGTCTCGCCATCCGCCCGCCAGCCTCTGCTGTACAGCGACGCGCGGTAACTGCAACTGCATACGAGATGAACACGATCACGGCCTGCTGGCGCTATGCACGTCTGTCTGCTGTCAGGCTGCTTGCATACGCTGCGATGAGATGGCATCGCGGTATGCTCACTCACGACTTACATCGGGGTCAAAAGCGGCTGTTGCTGCTGCTGCTGCTTCACGGTTCTTTGCCCATAGCTGGATGGAAGAGCTTGCATGGCTGCCCTGAACGGCGCCTTCATAGTCGAACGTGTGCCGGTACTCGTGTATAGGCAGCACTCAAGCAGACGTCCATCGTCCGGCGCAGCCAGCACCCGCCATGCACCATCCAAGCACGGGTAAGCTCGCATCGCAGCGCTGCGCTGCATGGCATGGCTGGCTGGGTGCCACGCCGCGGCCGTCTATCTTCAAAGGCCACCCGCGCACCCAACTCATACGCCACAGCATCATGCGCGCGGCTTCCTGCCAATGCGAGGCGCCTTAAGGTACACGCAGCACATCACCCGTACAGCTCCGCGGCGTACCCATCAAGTCTCATCGCTGTATAGCACCTACTACTAATGCACTCGCGAATGTTGTAGCGGTCATGCTCCTCTTTCCCGGCCCTCCCTTCATTTCGAAGATGGAACAAGCAGTCGTATACATCACTCGTTAGTCTCGATTGCAGCGGCTCAACCTCCGCTCGATCGCGACGACGTAGAGGTTCGTAGATTGAGCAGGGCCCGAGCCCGAACCCGAATCCGAGCCCGACTGGAGTCTAATTTACAGACGCGTCCATGCAGCACCACCATCAGCCTGCCCGGCGCTGGCCTCTACTCACGACTGACGACTACTCTCATCCTGACCTACTCTAACGAGTGATGTACAGGTAGCTGCTGCTTCGCTGGCGCAAATCAAATGGGAAGCCAGCATTTGACATTTTGTGATTCGTGGTTTGCAACGCCGCGCCATGCACACACACACACTCAAACTCTCGATCGGCACCCGAAACAGTCACGAGTCGAGTTCCAGCATCAGCAGCAGCTAGGCTCCGATTCGCCGTCATGCAGCAGCAGAGCCCATGCCTCCATTCAAGTCAGACTATAGCGCAGCGCAGCATCAGCTGGGCGGCAGGCAGGAACACAGCACGGCGTTTTACGCGAACGCTTTCCGCGGCTTGCTTCTCCATTTGTTTCGTGCGACTGAATTTCAATCACAATTGCGTGCGTGCAGCGAGAAAGTGCCCGCACACTAGCAGATCTGCCGCTCGATTGCCCATGCTGACACCGGCCGCGCGGGCTTTTCATATAGCGCATTTGATCAAGACTTGTGACTCTTCAGAACTGCTGGTCGATGCTGCTGTTGCTATATACGGCCCGTTGGCTTTGTCGGTCGGTCGATGGATTGAATGCGCTCCAAGGTTGAACAGGTTCGCTCACAACGTGGCTGGCGCCTTTGCCTTTGCGTCTCGACTCGTGACCGGACGATTGCCGCTTGCTCCCCAAGGACAGGCAGCGAGCGAGCGCTTCCGCCCCAGCCAGCAATTAATTGCATCCGCGCTACACGTTCCTCCAAGCCTGTTTGTTCGCTTCGTGCCAAGCCTTCGGAGATGGATTTGTGTTCTCCTGTTCTGCTCCTACAAGGGTCGCGGCGGGCCTCGTCCCTGCGGGTAAGAAGAGCGCACCACTCAAAGCCGCAAAAAGAGTCGCGAGCGAGCGTTCACAACGCGATCGCGACTCGCGACTCACGACTTCGCTCGGGGGCTTCATCCTCATCTTCGTCGCTCAACGACTCGCGGCGCTCTCCAGACTCCGCCCGAGCGTCGCGGCGCAACGGCAACGGCAAAGGCAACGGCAGCAGCAAACGGCAAAGGCAACGCTCTGACGCTGACGTCACGCAACAGCAAATCGTGGAAATCGCCCGACGAATATCCTTGTGCACTCTGGACTCTTGACTCTTCTCCGCCGACCGACCTCGTCCCGAAATCTCTCGAGGCTTACAACTTCCTGCTCCATCAGCGACTCTCTAACCTCCCCAGCAAGTCCGTGCGCGCGTACGCCGGCGCCAAACAATCACATGCGGCAAGAGATGCGCCCGCCCGCGCCGTGCACGTCTCGACGCTAGCAGGGCTCGAGTGAGTGGGCGCGAGCGAAGTGATGAATGTAGCAAGCACGCCGACGGAGGGTCAAGTCAACTCACAAAAGCTAGCATCTCGAGAGCGCCACTCGGTAGCGTCTATCGAATGGACACGGTACAGACAAAAAGGCACAATACGTGCGTTGTGCGTAGGGGGAGTGGGCCAGAAGCAACAATAAGCATTGCAAACAATGGGTTGCGGTAATAAACAATCGAGAGAGTGCAGAAAGAAAGAGATGCGCACGTCTTGGGGGACGAACTTGGAGCTGTCGAAGCGAGACGTGCCACGCACACGCGTTCGGATGGCTCGACTAGAGCTTGGCGCCTCCTCCAGAGCTCTTTGCAGCCAATCGGTCGTGCAAGTCTCTCAGCTCCAGCGCAGACTCATTGATGTAGTGTCTGAGCGCCGGAGCGTCCAGTTTGAGCGAAGTGAGGGTAAAAGTGAGCGCGTTCGATTTGATGGCGTATGCGCATCCGAAGCCGTCCGGCACCACTTCTCCATAACCCCACGCGTCGAAGCTTTCGCTCGAGATTTGAGAGGTGGACAGGTTCCAGTTGGACGTCTTTGCGTACGCTGCGTCCTTGTACAGCTCTGGCAGCGCTTCGCCTTCCTTTAGCAGCTTCTTGAGACCAAACAAGTGTCGATCCACTCCTTGTCCATCCGCCGCCTCCTTGGCGTACGTCAAGTGCTGCTTGACAGCGGCTTGGAAGAGCTTCGCCCTCTCCTCGTCGCTCGCACCATCCGCCTCCATGGCCTTGACGAAAGCCAAACTCTCCGCGCTAGCACTCCTGATCGTCTCCGTTCTGCCAAACTTGAATTTTCTCGTCTGCGCAGACTCGTACGTGGGGCAGGGTTTGCCAAACATTTTAAAGTAGGCCAGCTGGATGACCATCTGCACCCAAGCATCCGGGCTGCACTTGTACTTTTTGATGGCCTCCTTGCCGTATCCTTGAAAGTCCAAGATGGCCAAATCGTGCTTCGCCTTGAGCGCCTCGAAGGCCTTGAGCGAGTCCTCGATGCGCGCCTCGACGTTGCCATCGAGTTGCCACTCCAATCTCTTTGGCTTGGGGAAAGAGTCGCGCGTACCCGTCGCGCCCAAATCGATCTTGTTGGCAGCGAGGGCAGAGAGCACAAAGTCGTTCATGCGCAGCGTGGGCGTACCATCCATGGTGGAGTGCTCTCCCATGTATCCGCTCTTTCCGTTCGACGACACGATCAGCTGTTGCTTGTCGTAGAAGCGGTTCTTGCCATCGCCCCACCAAAGAGCCCACGAACGCTGCCGGAGGTGAGGATGCGTGTCAGCATGCGCACGGCGGCGCTCTCGAGTCGTGCCGCTGCTCACCTCCTCGATTGTTCGCACGGGCGCTTCGTCGAGCGCGACGACGATTACTGCGCTCTCGATTCGCGCCAAAGCATCCTTGTTCTTGGCGCCTCCACCATTACCTACGGCAAGGAGCGCCTCTCTAGCATCAGTCCACTTGTCGCGATTGTCGGAAGTGAGGGCGCCGATGGGCTTTGCAGCTGCTTCGACGTTTTCGGCCAGGACGGCTTGCAATTGGCTGCAATAGTGGGGTGAGCGCCATACGTGTCAGCATCGCGACACCATCGCGCACACACACACACCCGTCCCACTTATCGCGTCGACTCACCTCTCGATCTCGCTCGCGCTGAGTTCCTGACCATCGACGACCAGCTCAAACTCATAAAAGTGACCCTTGTGGGCCACGACTACGTGATTGTTCTCGCGAGGATCGGCCTTGGTGGCCTGGTCCACGGGTTTGACCGGCAGTCTGCAAGAGTTGAACATCCACGGGTAAGAAGCGCTGCACATTGGTCCAGCCTTTGTCTTTTCCGGCGTCAGCTCTTCGCTCTCGACTAATTTCCGGAATGCCAGGATGGCTTTGAGCTGCGAGGCTGCGCGGCTCACGCCGGTCTTGCGGTTCTTGTCATCCTTGTGAGCGTAAAAGTAAGAGACGTAAGGCACCACGGGATCTCTGTAGCCCATGTATGCTGCTTCGTTCCACCACGCAGCCAGCCAGTTGCCTTCCTGCTTTGGGTCCGCAGCACGAGCTTGCAACCTCTTTTGCAATTCGCCAAACGTTTTCGAATCTGAGCCGGAAAGTGCGCTCTCTACTGCCTTTTTCGTAGCTTCATACTCGGCCGAACTGAGGTGAGGTTCGGTGGTGCGCAGATACTTTTTGAAAGTCTGTTCGAGCGGAGGAACGGGAAGAGAGGGCAAGCTGGATTGACCTGCCAAAAGGGGACCCTTGCCCCCCGCAACAGTGTCCGCTTTCAATAGCATGGCGCAAGTCGAAGTGTTTGAGAATGTCTTTGGTGAGGAAGCAGTGCTGGATGTCAGGAGGGTCGGACGAAGCGCAGGGCGTGCGATGCGTCCGAGGGCGATGGAGTGCATTGGGTAGCTTGTATGCGCGCAGGTGTAAAGAGTGCGTCACTCGATCACAAGCCTTGTCTGAGCGCGTGAGGTGTGCTTGGAGCCAGGTGTGAGGTGATGATGGTGGTGAACAAGAGGGCAAGTGTGTGTGTGTGTGTGTGAAAGGGTGGGCGGCTGTTGCGCTCCTCGAGCTTGGCTTTGGGCAGAAGAAAGGGTGGATGCATGGGATCTGCATGCATGAACGTCATGTCGGTGCCAGAAGTGGCAGGCAGGCAGGCATGCAGGCGGGCAGGCAGAAGAGACAAGCGTGAACCACGAACAGCGCACAGCACAGCACAGCACAACACAGCAGGCACAACAGGCACAGCAGACACGCAGCCAGCAGCCAGCCACACCTCTCACTCGGACTCACGATTCGCGCGTCATCACAGATCGAGTTCAATCAGCCGGTTTGCCGGTGCATCCAGCTGACATCCAGCCGGCTCTCCATGCAGTCACGAGTGTGAAATGCCCCCCCCCCCCCCCTTCCTCCACACTGCGTACACTACATGTGGCTCCCCGCTCCACGATACTCGCGACTCGCGCACACCTTGCCCGGCCGGCCACTTCTCGTACTCTTGTAACTCGTGTGACTTGTGACTTGCGCACACCGTAAAAAGTCGCAAAACCCTTTGGTGTATCACATTCACATTCACATTCCCGAGTTCAATTCCAAGTAGCTTGACCTCGGATCAGTCACCACCCGTGAATCATGGACTCTATCGCAATCACGTGTCACCACGACTGCGAGTCGAGCATGCTCGTGAAAGTGAAAAAGGTGTAGGCAAGGCAAGGCAAAGCAAAAAGCAAAGCAAGGCAAAGCAGGACATCGATCGGCCCTCTTTTCTTTTTGCACCAGCTAGCTGTTAAGCCTGCGAGTCACGAGTGCTAGCGCGGCAGCGTGCATCAGATCGAGAAGCCTCCTCATTCACGTGATTCGCGCATGCTCCTTCACTTATTCTAGCTTGCTCACTCAAGCTCGCTCCTGACCAACGTCTGTCTGGCCAGAGCACGCACCTCTTCTACTTTCCGGAGCGAATCTCGTGCCTTTCGAGTCAAGTGTGAGTGTGAATCTGAACGAACGCTTGCTCGACGACGCTCATTCGTCATTTCCCCTGCTGCATGCCATCCATGCATCGAACTTTTCGCACTCGGACTCGGACATGCCACGGATATCTGCGCGTGCTGGCCCCGCAGCTGCCCGCCCCCGCGGTCAATCTTATCGTCTTTGCCCCGCGTACGTCATCCCGGCTGCACCGGCTCAACCCGATCGAACTGAATCACGTGAATGCTGAATGCTGCAAAGCGGACCGGAGCTAGGGGCGCGCGCGAAGCAACTCGATCGTGACTCGTGACTTTTGACTGCCCTCTCGTGCGCATGCATGCATGAATCAGGCGCACGCCTTCATCTCGAGACCCACGTGACCGATCACATGTCTGGTAGCATGGCGGGCGCGCCGATACACCTTGTGCGATACGCACACGCACACGCGTACGCGACACGCTCATCCTTCTCGCTGCTTGCTCCCTTTGCATGACGAGCACCACAGTCGTGAGTCAAGATTCAAATCGGGTGCAGCTGCGCACGCTCGCCCCGCTCCGAGATCGCCTCAGAGGAGCCGCGCGCAAGAGGCCCGCCAGCCAAACGTCACCGCACCACGCGACTTGCCCATTGCGCGCGCCAACCCCCCCTCTCCCAAGCGCTTGCTTCACCATGCAAAGACACGGAGGCAGGTTCGTGGCGAATCTCGATAGCGAGGCTAAAAAGTTGCCCAGGGAGCCGGTAGTGTGAGTGCGCGAGCGAGCGTGAGCGTGAGCGTGGCATACAAGCGTTGCGATCGTCATGTTCAAGTACTTTTGCGTTTGCCTACTGCTGGCCCATACGCCTGCCCGCCCCCATCCAGCGTCTGGAGGAGACAGCGCGTATCTGCGGCATCGGCAGGAGCGGATAGCAGCAGCAGCAGCAGCTCGTCCTACAAGATGCTCAAATGGGTCAATACGGGACACACTGTCACATTTCCCGAGAGCGCAGACGAACCTAGAGGTGAAGAAGCGCAGGCTGAAGTAGCTGCTGTAGAAGCAGAAGCGCTTGCCCAAGCAGAAGCTCAAGCAGTCCAAGTGCAGGCAGAAGCAGAAGCAGCAGCTACGCACAGTCACAACAGCGGCCACACGAGCGCAGATACGCCCATGGACCTTCATGATCGGATCGGTCAAGCGAGCGGAGATGCGAGCAGCGGCGGTGCGCCGTTTGTGGATGGTACGGGAGCTGCGATGCAAGTGGATGAGCAAGTCGATCTTGGCGCGCCTCCCGCATCGACCGGTGTGCAGCCCGTCTCGCAATCCATCACCCAATCATCCACTCCTCTGCCCCCGAGCAGCAGCAGCAGCAGCAGCAGCACGACCGGCGAAGCTCAAGTGCAAGTGAGCGCAGAGCTTCATCCAGCTCCTTCGGCTCCCAATCTACCCTCGACGGGCGGGGGTGTGGAGACGCGCATCAGTTCGGCATCGCACGCGGCAGCAGGTGCGGCGGACGAGAATCCACCGGCAGATGCTGAGCTGGAAGGAGTCAGCTTGCTCGGTGTGGATGAGAGGGATGCCCAATTGCCAAAGTTGGACGAGGAAGCTACGCAGGGCTCGTCGGGTGCGCAGCAAGCGCGAGCCACCTCGCCGAATACGGCGCAACAGCCTGCTGCTGCTGCTGCTGCTGCTGCTGCTCAGCTATAGTTCCGCAGCCGTTCATGCTCGGTCACGAGGAGCTGCTCGTTGTGAAGCGAACTGTCCGCTCGGTTTGCTCCCATGTAACAGTAGTATCCGTGCACATGCCCGTAAACAATACAGCTTATCCAGAACGGGCACACGCAACCTTTGCAGCGCCCCCCAGCCACGGAAATCACGAGCAACGCGGATGAGACAGTCATGACATTAGAGAAGGAGAGGAGATGGGTCAAAAGCCCAAGGAAGCACAAAGAGCGGCGGCGGCGGCGGCGGCGGCTCGATGCGCGCTTCCCGTCGGGTGCTTGCCGTAGACTCAGATACGAGGAACATTGTTTTCCGCTACGCGACATGTTGCTGCGTCTCTTCTCAATGCAGGTCCCTTCGTCTACTTGAATTGGGACTCGCTGTTGTAACCGCCCATGGCTGCCGTGCTGGAGATACCGCCTGTTTGCAAAGATAAAGGGTGTGCACGAATGAGCGACAGGTCGTCCCATCACACCAAGAAACTGTCTGCGCGCGCGCGCGCTAAACTTACCAGTGACGGTCTTGAGCAGGTTGTCGACGTATTCCGCACCGGACCACTTTTGATGAGTGAGGACATCGCAGCCAATCTCCCTCTCTCTTCGCTGGACGAGCTCGACGTAAGCCTTCATTCCTTCGGTGGAGAAGCCCTTTGCAAAGTGGTCGGAGATGTAGGCGTTGGAGTGCAGACCGGCCAGAGTGATGAATTGCCAGACGAAACCCAGCTTGCCCAGCTCCCAGACATAAGACTTCATCTGGTCCGTGTTCAGCTTGGCAGCGTCCCAGTTGAAGGAAGGGGAGAGGTTGTAGGCCAACCATTGTCCTGGAACAGCGCTGCGAACTCCCTCGGAAAACTCCTTGGCTTGAGCGAGGATGGGGGACTTGGTCTCCATCCAGATCAAGTCAGAGTGAGGAGCAAAGGCAATGGCACGGTTGACGGCGCATTGTGTTCCTCCTTGGTACTGGTAGTAGCCCTCGCGGGTACGAGGTCCGTCCCAGTCCCAAAAGAAGCTGTGTCCGTCGATGCCGTGCTTGGTGGCGATTTGACGCGCGACCTTGTTCGACTTTCCGGAAGCCTCGGCGAGGAAAGCTTCGGCATTTCCTCCGCGCTTCTTCAGCTCTTCCGCAACGGCAGTAGAGAAGAGCTTCAAGTCGGCAGCTGCGGTCCATTCGGCCTCGATGGCTGCGAGCGCATCGCCGCTCTTGCCTTCTGCCTCTGCCTTTGTGAGGACATCGACGAGAGGAGGAAGGGCAGAGTTGGTGGTGCCCAGGATGAAGCTGTGGTCGCGCTCATCGACGTTGGTGGTGATGAGGGTAGCAGCCTCGGAGTCGGTACGAGCAACGACGAGGTTCTCGACGCCCATAATGTCGTACTGGAGACGAATGGCGACCAGACGATTGATGTGCTCAGAGATTGGCACCAACACCTTTCCGGCCATGTGACCGCACTTTTTCGTGCCTGGAGCTTGATCCTCAATGTGGATTCCTGCTGCACCCTTTTCGACAAAGAGCTTCGTCAGCTTCATCACGGCAGTCAGACCACCGTGCCCAGTGTCGGCATCAGCGACAATAGGGCGCAGATAGTCGACGTAAGGAACCTTGGCGCGATCAGCAGGAGCGAGACCTGCACGGCTCTCGCGCTGCTTGCGATCGTGAAAGAGCTGAGCCTGGAACAGATGCTCGACCTTGAGAGGCACAGTGTTGTAGGGGTAGTCTATCAAGAGCGCAACGAGATGTCAGGCGGATCATGTGCACCCCAGGAAATGCGCCCACCCCTCTCCCCGCTCGGACGAGCCTTGCAACTCACCAGCCAGATCAGGACCGGGCTCGTTGGTGGAGCTGGCGGTGGAGCTGCTCTGCCAGCCAGATACGTAGACAGTCTCGAGGTACTTTGCCATCTGCGTGACCTGGACAGGGTCCAGCGCACCATAAGTGTGGCTGGGCGTTCCCTTTGCCGCGTGACCTTCCAGCACCTTCCACAGCTTCTTGCCCTGGTCATTGGAAGGGTACTGAATGGGAAGAGTACCGCGCTTGGACACTACCTGCTCAGCGGTGTAAGGGCGCTTCGTGCGCGAGAAGCGGGGAGACTGTAGACGGGAGAAGGGGGGGGGGGGGGGGGCAATGCGATGGGGATCAAGTCAGCCATCGACTATGCGTACGATTGGACAGGACCTCGCAGCGCCCGCTCACCTTCCACCATTGCTTGACGGCCTCGACCTCGGCCTGGAAAGCCTTCTCTTCGGTGCTGGCGTCGAAGCCCATGATCTTCTTGACAAGGGAGGTGATCTTGACTTTGGGTGTGGGTGTGTGTGTGTTTGTAGATGCGCGTGCAAGGTCTGTGTGAACGGGATCGTACGACGAGCTCGTGAGCAGAATGTCGAGCTTATGATGATGAGGATGCGGTCGTGAGGGTCGCGAAAAGACGAGAAGAAGGGCAGGGGGGCCGCTTTATGTAGATACCGGACGAAGCGGGGAAAAGCAGGGAGGAGCTTGGTTCGGGTGAGCAGGGAGGCGTGTATGCACCCTCCCCTGCCCGCATACACGTTTGGCGTGTGATTCCGATTGGAAGGCGCGCGCCCGCCAGGCTGCCTAGCTGCCATGCCATGCCCGCATCAAGCAGGTGCAGCACGCACGCCTGCACGTCTGCGCGCCTGCTCTCCTGCTCATCCATCCTCCACTCCGAGCCGGCTCAGAGGGGGCCCTGCTGACCGCTGACCGCTGACCGCTGACCGCTGACCCCTCGCGTGACACACTGCAGCCAAACATCTCTCTCCCCCAAGGGGCTGGCTGGCTGGCTTGTCCACTCCCAATCCCGCCTGCTATACTGCCCATCTCACGAAAGTCGCTCTTGGCATGACTCACCACTCGTTACTCTTGATTGTTCAGTTGGAACCGTAAGACTCGCGTACGACCGCTCATCTTGGCCATGCGCGCGAGACCACATATGTCTCGTCAATCGTAAATTCATTCGACTCGCGATGACTCTTCAGACTGCCGATGCCGATGCCGATGCCTCACCGCAGACAAGCACAAGCACAAAGCGAGCCTCACCGCGTCTCGTCGTGATTCGTGATTTCAGGGAGACGCCATGCACACCCGCATCATCAGCGCGGCCGCTCTCTCACGCGCTCACGAAACATGTCGCGGCACAAGCGGATCAGGACGATGCGGGTGTTTCGTGGGTGGTGAGTAAAGGGGTAAAGCCACGTGCGCGGGGAGGTGAGTCGCGTGAAGCTCGAGAACCTTCTGACTAGGCCTGTCTCGAGATTTATCACGTGCTGGTTGGCCTTCTCTCACAGCCACACGGCTCTGCGTACGTACATGGGGTCAGCCAGCTTCCACCCCCGCGGTCCGCGGTCAGATCACACGGCGCAAGCGATGGAGTCCCTCGCTGAGATTTCGGCGTCACGAACCACGTATACGTACTCATCAGACTCACGACTCCCCGCGACTGACCCTTCAATCTTGGCGATTGACTCTGACTCTTTGACTCACGGCGGACCGTGCCGTAGCCCACGCACACGCGGTCTCATATCCTGCGAGCCGTCTCTCTCATCTTTGGCGCAATCCAATTAGCAGGTCAAACCGATTCGCTTTGGCACCAGAGTCATTCCCTAGCATCCTTCCAAAATAGCGCTCATCGCCACCCTCGCGCGCGCGCGCACAAGGAGCGAGCTCGACGGCATTCAAAGGTGCACGACAGTTAAGGCAGATCGTCACTCGAGATCAAGAGGAATCACGCGAGTCACCAGCAGTGCGCAGGTAGTCTGAGCACACTGGAGCGCGAGTCAGGTATCGGATCCTAGCAGAGTCGGCTCCAAATCGCTAATTGTTCTCTGCACTCCTGACTCTCACCACAACCAACATGTTGTTGCCGGCACGACGATCAAGCCGCCAAAGTCCTCGCTCAGCCACATTTACATGGCTGCTGCTATGCTTGACGACGCTGTGCCTGCTCAGCCACCTGGGTGGAGTCGCAGCATACCAGGTCAAATTGGATTCGTTGGATCCGCTGCTTCAAACATGCTCCGGCATGTGGCCAGGCAGCAATACCAGCGTGGAGCTTCAGTTGAACGCTACCAGCAACATGGGAACCGTCGCCACCATCGTCTATGATTACAAGGATTTCGATAGGCTCGGCAAGACAAGCGAGGGAAAGGATGCCTTTGGTACGAGGGTGAGTGTAGCGCGTGCGCTCCCCAGCCAGGCTCCTGCTTCCATCTCCTCTGTCGTCTCGGCTGACTGAGCCTTCCCCCCCAGATGCGCACGTATGTTTGTACTGCGCCTGCAGTCAATGCCGGTCTCTGCTCCTTGGAGGAGCAAGGAAACTTTTTGGTGGATGGCGACATCAATGGAACTTCAATCGTTCGCAATCGCGTCGACTTGGAGCAGGGCAAAGTCAAGAGCGTCGTGAGTTGGGAGCGCACCAGACCTTTGCGTGCGAGCATGCACTCACACCACTCTTCTTTGGGCACCTTTAGGTGTACCCCGTCACAAAGATGGGCTACTATTGCGTTGGTGCGGGTGAGGCTGCGGAGCTCGCGTAAGCAGAGGACGGTTTTGAAGGCTAAAGTCGTGGTCCACGTCTCTGCTGTAGCTGCCGTGCCCCTCTCCTCAACCACGCCGGATGGAAGTCGAGAGGATGCCAAATTTGCAGGCAGGATCTTCTTCCACAACTCTTTCGAGGGCAATCTGCCAGCGGGCGAGTGGCCCAAGCTTCAGGTGCGTGTCGAGGAAATAGTCGCAGCTGCACTGAGCGTGCAATCTGACAGTCATCGCGCTCGCTGCTGCCCACGCAGTTCTACTTTGCCCTTACATGCGCATACATCCTGCTTGGTGCCTACTGGGGCTACCTCTGCGTCAAGCATAGGGACGAGTGAGAAGCCGCAATCATTCGCACTCGTTGCGCTTGGGTCGTTGACGCTTTGCACCTTCCATTGCAGCTTGTTGATGGTGCAGTACTTTATCTCTGGTCTGTTGGGCCTGATGGTCGTGTCGACAGCAGCCACGTGGGGCTATCAGCGGTTCTTGAACACGCACCTCATAGACTTTTGGAGCATCAGCAGTCTGGAGGGAAAGAGCAGCGTGACTGGCACTGTGAGTGTAGGAGGCGATGCTTGACCGTCTTTCCGAGCTGATCACTCGGCGTGCAACTCCCTACTAGGCGCGCTTCTTGCTCGTACTCACATCCGTGCTGGACGCTACAAAGACTTCGGCTTCATTGGCCATTCTGCTCTGCGTCAGCATGGGACTGAGCGTCGTCAGACCGTCCATCGGTCCAGTCATGCGGCGCGTTCAAATTTTGACGGGCATACACTTTGTCTGCGGCGTGCTCTACAGCGTGGGCATTGTCCTGTGAGCCGTGATACGGTGCGCAAAGATGGCGCAGCGAGCAATGGTGCTGATTTGCCATCCATCCGAACAGCATCCTCATCGACTCGGGAGGCGCATTCATTTTCCTCTTCATCTTTCCGCTGGCTTTCACGCTCAGCACATTCATGATGTGGACACTGCACGCGCTCAACGGCACCATTGAGCACTTGACGGCGCGCAAACAGAGTGAGCTGCAGACGTCGCAAGGAACGCGTGGCTCAGGACTGATTCATTCTGCCCACGCGGCGCGCGGCAGCTTTCAAAAAGAACATGTTCACCAAGCTGTATCGCATCTTGCTGGGCGCCGTTGTTGCCATTGGCATCTTGTAAGTATCAGCGAGGAAGCAAAAAGTAGCGCGCTCGATGGCTGACCACGGCAAGGGACGACAGCTTTGTAATGTCCTCTGTAGCCTTTGCTCGCGTGGGCGGCGAGTCGGCAGCAGAAGCGTGGCCTTACAGGTGGCTGCTCATGGACGGTTGGCTCGGCTCGCTCTACTTTGTCGTCTTTTCTGCGATTGCGTACGTTTGGAGGCCGACCGGGTCCAATGCGCGTCTCAGCATGAGCGACGAGTTGGCGCAGGATGATGACTTGGAAGCAGAGGTGAGTGGGTGGGGGCCAGAGAGTCGGAGCGAATGGCTTTCAAGACGAGAATGCCCATCCGATGCCTCGTCTTTCTGCAGGGCTACGAAGTGTCCGAATTTGGTCCGCACCACGAAGATGAGGAGGAGGAAGGGTCTGCCAAGCCAGCTCGACAGCAAGTCAGATCTGGACCGGGCGGAGGGGGAGGCGCGGGCGGCGTGCAAGAGTCGTCGACCATGTTTGCGGTGACGAATTCGGACGATGAGGAAGAGGATGGAGGAGCTACGCCGAGAGGCGATCGGAGGTCCACCTCAGTCAGCGCACGCGGAGAGAGGGAAGGTCTGATGAGCGGGGATGCGGCGGAGGAGGAGGAGGAGGAGGATAATAAAAGGCGGTCATGAGAAAGTGATGAAAGCGAATGTGATTAGAGGAGAGGAGAGGGTGGCGTGATACGAGTCAAGGGGCGCGGCGGCGCGGCTGTCAGCACGACGAACCGCTCTCGCGAATCGAGAGCACACTTGCACGCTCGTAGAAATCCACCGACCGCAACGTTAATATTTATCATGCGTGCAAAGAAGAGGCAACACTGGCTAAGCGAGCCGCATTGCAATGCAACATGTCGACACGATGGCACGCTCGGCGCCCTCATCGGCGGGGCCAATCGCAGTCGACCAAGCCCGATTTGATCGCTGCAGGCAGTAGGATCGCGACTCGCACACGCGCGCGCGCGCGCAACACATTCGAGGACGAGGCGTGGGCGGATGACTAGGTGTTATTTGCGTCGTGTCGCTTTTGCGATCGCAGAGTAGGGAGGTGTGTGTGTGTGTGTTGTGTGTGGAACAAAGAAAAGAACAAGAGCTAGGCGCTGTGCAGAACAGCGCGCTAATCGACGAGGGGGGGGGGCAATCTTTATTGCCATTAGAAAGGTAAATGGTTGGACGAGCGCGAGGACAAGTCTTGTATAGAAAGCGAAATTGGATGCGGGAAAAAAAAAAAGGCAGGCAGGAAGGCAGGCGGTGGTGATGATGGTATGAGCGAGACGATGTCGCGCGCGCGCATATACAAGAAGTTCCAAATCCCAATGGCGCCCGGGGCTCTTCTTTTGGAAGGCCGAGCAAGGTGAAAGAATGGTCCATGACGTTTTGTGTGTATAGATGAATGCTGCTTTTCGAAAGGAAGAAAAAGGTTCCCAACAAGTTGCCTGCGCGAGAGCCTCGCGCCTTTTAGTTGTTGGAAAGGCGTGGGGCAGGGTCGTCGGTGAAGATCTTCATCTGGGGACGGTAAGTGTCGCCCATGATGGAAGGGATACCGTTCATGACCATCTGCACCTTGTTGTTCTTGGTGTACTGAGGCCAGTTCAGGTTGCCGAAAGCGTTGGGGTTCATCTTGTTCACAAAGGCGACCATGCTCTTGGAAGCTTGGTACGACACTGCGGATGCGGGCAGGTAAGGAAGGTTGGGCGCAAAGTTGTAGGCAGCGAACCATGCTGGAGGGTCGGAACCGTGGGTGATGCCCACCCAGTCTTGAGGGTTGGGAATGTTGAACGTCTCGTTGAAAAAGTAGGACCAGACTGGAGACTTCATTCCCTTCATGCCATCGTCACCGACGTAAGCGTTGAGCATGAAGCGACGCTTGCTGACGAAAGCAAAGTCACCCAGAATGGCGGCGAGACGCTCGAATTGGTTGCCGTTGCCGAAGCGAGAAGTCTTGGACGTGTAGCCGGGCCAGTAAGGAGCACCTTGCGAAGGGTCGTCGGGGTAAGCCGCAATGATCTTGTTCACCAAGTCATCGACGCCCGCCTGGGTAGGGTCGGTGAAGCCGATGGTCTTGAGGTTGCCAGCCAGCCCGGCGGCATCCATGCTGTGCGAGACAAAGATGGTGCCCTCGTCACGAACGTTACCGGTGAGGAGAGGCACATCTGGCCACTCGCCACGGCGGATCTGAGCGATGGCACCGTCACGGTGGTACACGCCATCCTGAGTAGGCTGGAAAGGCTGGTTACCGGCGTAGTAGCGAGGTCCTTGGATCCATCCGATCGAAGGGTTGGGCGTGGTGCTTGGCCAGAAGGCGGCCTCGCCGAGCTTGATGGCGTCGACGCCTCGGAGCTGGTCGATGGTGCAGTCGTACTGCTCGTTGCTGATTCGGTTTCCGAGCTGAAGAGCAGCGCACACACGCTTGTAGTTCTCCTCGGCAAAGGCGCTGTCGGACTTGGGTGCAGGCTCGGTGGCGGGGGATCCGGAGAGCATGATGGCAGCACGGTAGATGGGCTTGGCGCCAGCGTTCTTTCCGTCCTTGAGCATCTGAGCACCGACGTTGAAGGCACCGGAAGACTGACCAGCCAGGGTGATCTTGTTGGGGTCACCACCGAAAGCAGCAATGTTGTCGCGCGTCCACTCGAGAGCAGCAGTGACGTCTTGCAGACCGGCGTTGAGCACGGCGCCACCTTCACCCCTCGAGACACGTTCGCCTGCGAGGAAGCCGAACGAGTTGCCGCGGTAGTTGGGCGTGACGACGATCATGGGTTGCAGTTGAAGGATGGATTGCAGAACGAGGGCGCTAGAGTTGTATGCGTTGGCCCAGTTACCAATCTCACCGCCACCGTACAGCCAGAACAGCACGGGCAGCTTGCCCAGGTTGCCAGAGCTTGCACCGACGGGCGACCAGATGTTGAGGTTCAGGCAGTCCTCGGAGCGAGTGTTGGCCGGGTTGCCAAAGTCGACGAGGTAGCCGTTGGGCTGAGGGCAGGCGGGAGGAGGGGTGGTGGCGTTGAAGGATGCGCTGCTGGCTGCCAGTTTCATGGGAGACTTGAAACGGTTGGTGCCAGTGGGCGGCTGTGCAAAGGGGATGCCAAAGAACCACTCTTGTTGGAAGATGGGGTTGGATCGCAGACCAGTGTAGCTTCCTTGCGCCAGCTTGACCGTGGGTGCCTGACCAAAGCTCTGCAACCACTTGCCAATGCCATCCAAAGCGTTGGACAGCGTTGGCAGACCAGTGTCCTTGTTGACCGTGGGAATGTCGAGCAAAGAGGGCCTGATCACTGGGTCTCTGCCGCCATTGGCCTTCTTGGCGTCGTTGAAGTTTGCCCTGACCTGGCTCAGGGGGATTTCTGCCAGCTGCTTGGCAGCGCCCATCAGGGAGTTGATGGCGTTGGAGATCCAGTCGTTGGGAGAGCTGGCCTTGTTGTTGAACGAAGGCCACAAGGGCTCGGGCGCGGGGTGAGGGTTGCGCTTGGCATTGGAGTATCGCTTCTCCATACGGTTCGATGGGTGAGGACCTGTCTGCGAGGCCTCGACTGCCACTGCAGCCACGGCCACAGCCGCAATGATGAAAGTGACGCGCATCGTGTCAGAGGGGGGCGAGTGCGCGTTAGGGGAAGGGGAAGGAGGAGCCGTTTGAGTGATGGGCAGGCTAGACCGGTGGATCGAGAGCAGAGGAGCGAGAGGAAGAGTGACGGTGTGGTGGGGGAAAGAGACCGCTCAAAGAAGTCGAAAAAGGATGGCTATTTGAATGTGCGAGAAGACGCACCGCCAAGAAAGTGAGTGAGTGAGTGTGTGTGTGTGTGTGTGTGTGTGAGAGAGAGAATATGCGTAAAGGGGAGCAATCGGGGACGCGGATGGTGGGAACCGCGGTGGCGGAAGGGGTTGGAGAGCTTGGCTTGAGGGAAGGAGAGGAGGAGGAGGAGGAGGAGGAGGCAGAGTTTGGGAAATGAAGCCGCGAGTTTGAGTCAAGTCGCCAGACCGAGACCGGATCGGATGGTTTTACATTCGGCGGGGGCCTTTTGGTTGCCCGCGACTGAGACAAGTCGCGCAAGCTGCGAGCAAATGAAGCGAACTGGGCGTGAGATGTGTGTGTGTGTGTGTGTGAGTGTGTGTGAGTGACTGGTGCAGTGCGGTGCGGCGGGGTGAGGTGAGGTGCGGTGAGGTAAGGTGCAGTTGGAGTGCAGTCATGTTCACGGGTGCAGTGCTGGATGGCGCGGGGATTAGGGCCTCAACTCGGACGCGACCGTCCGCACATCATGCAGCTGCAGCGACCGCACGAGCACAGCAGCAGAGCAACGCATCCGTTTGACCCGTCCGCACCATGCACCGCCCACGATCGTGAAACACTTGCTGCAGGCTCGTACAAAGGCGATGATGATGTTCTTGCGCAAGAGCAGCTGCAGCGCACATGTAGGCAGGAACGGCATCAGGGAGCACGCGCACGCGCACGCGCACGCGCACACACCGTAACTATAGTCATCGATCGCATTGCCTCACGAGATGCCCAGGCATGGAGCTGGTGTTGTGTGTCACGACCCACGACTCCTACGCTTCCCTCGAGCCCTTCTCCCCTGCAGCAGCATCATGCAGAACGCTCGTTCTCTGCATGCGCCTTGACGAGGGCTTTTAAGCATCCACAAATCATGCAGAGATGGCAATTTCGCCGATCTGCATGCGCAGCTATAGCTGACCACAGCTAGAGCGTAGCACGCTCGACGCTCACTCGCAGATTGTACACGGGCAAGAGATGTCCTCTGTGGGTCATGGCATCAACGAGTATCCCTCCCTGCCCGCACGTTGCCGTTCATGCAACGGTCGCGGTCGTTGCGTGGTGTTCACAGGCGGACGGACGCATCTTGAACGGTTCATGATCGAGTCGCGCGCGTCAAAGTGCCATGCCATCGCCGAAAGCGCTGTACACACTACTGCTGTGCTGTGGCGCGGTGCTCAGGTTGTATCGACGCTAAACTTGCGATTCCGCCGTCTGCGTAACACGCTGTGCTGGCGCCCTCTACCGTTTGTCTCGCCAAGAGTCGCGAGGGGCATCTAGCTTCGGCATCGCGCGCGTTCGTGCGGCAAGACTGACCAGCCTAGCTGCTGCACGCATGCATACAGTAGGCTCGACTCGCGCGTGTCTCGCATGCATCATCGCCCGCGCGGCAGTCGAGTTCGAGCCTTTCGACTGCGCTGAATCTTGGGTAAGTGAGGTGAGTCAACACCCGTTCTTGTCTCACCGCGGATGAGTGCTCCCAACTCGCTCGTAGCGCATGCATCAACGCGCGAAGGTCTGCATCGCTGTATGAAGCCACTCATCATTCGTGCCTGTCTCAGGTCCTACCCAGAAGCCCGATTCGAGACATGCCTGCTTGCAAAAAAAAGTCTCTCGGAAACATCAACGATGCTGAATGATTCGCGGCACGGTCTTGGCAAACTCGCGTTGATTCGATCTCGAACGGAATGGTCTGGGCGGGCAAAGTGTTTGAGCGAGTAAACATCCCAGGCGGCGGCATGGGCGTGAGTGAGTCGTTCATCGGATCGATCTGCCCGCAATCCAGCTACACGCACGCTGCTTCGATTGTCTCGATTTGCGGGGGGAGAGAAACTCTCGAGAAGCCCCTGTAATCGAAGATGAAGGTCGTCCGCCGTTCTTGCCTGATCCTGTACCTGTCCTAGTCGCTCGCCTTTTTCCCCCTCACATCTCATCAGATCGACGCGCCCGAGCCTTCGACGGAAGAGATGTGCGTGTGGTACTCACAACTCCGCTACGGTAGGGGTCGTTTTTAGAACTCCGCTGCATCTTTTTGTTTTCTGACACACTCCGGCGCGTTGGCTGTCTGCCTGGCTGCTCGTCAGCCGAGCAAGCGCTTGGGTCTCGCGGAGAGGGATGAGGGGGACGGTGACGGTGCGCGTATTCACTGGTGTCACGAGAGCGCATAAAAGATCCCGCATGCAATCGCAGTCGTGAGTCGTGAGTGTTTGGTACATATATCCGCCACCCTTTCACTGGCGGCAAGGAAAACCTTCTTTCCTTCTCAGAGAGCTGCATGATCCGGCGCTTTAGGTCCGCATGCGTCTTGGCCCCGGCTTCGCCTTTGGATCTTTACGCTCGCTCGCTGATGGCGCTGCTCGATCGCATCTTGGTTTTGAGCCTTCGCCGACGTCGGCACTCCTTGACGGAAGATTTGCGACTTGGGGAATTCGAGCCTGCAAGTGCGCAGCGAGTGCGTACTGGATGTACTCCCTCATGGCTTTGGGTCTCGACGCTGCTGAGGTCGGGGATCACTGGCTGACGGCAATCTTCTTAGTTGTAACGCACGCATTTGCCAGTCGTGAGTTCCGTGTGGCTTCGAACGGGACCAGTCCGCCCATGCAGCATCGCATGACAGCGAACACAACTACGGAAATTTGCAGCAGCTAGTCTGAGTTCGTCTACAGTAACTGGGTACGCTTGAGAACGGAGGTGTAGACAATCAGTTCTCGTGCACAGCAACCACACGGGCCCGCCATACCCGCCCAGGTCGCAAGCGTATTCTCGATCGCGTCTCTTCGGAGTGGGACGCCAACCACTGCAACGTAATCGCGTATCGGATCGGAAGCGGCGGCTTTTGCCATCACCATTCGTCCACACGGACGTTCCAGGCCGGCTTTCATGAGCATCCATTCCCTGCGGCGTCTCGTTAGCGCGACGCACAGAGTGCACGGTGCGGCCGTACAAGTACATAGACGAGGGTCCGGACGGTTGCAGCACGATCAGCTCGAACAGGAGGCGGGTGCCGCACGCAATGTGATGCGACGTGCTGCTGCAAAAAGTCGCACCGGCCTCGTTCGCGGTGCGTGTGTGCGCCGCCGGATGTTGATGCTGCTGCACGCACGCGCGCTACTGCACCTATCAAAGAATTCAACAAGCCAGACAGGGAAATCAAAGGCTTGACTTTTGGCGATGTGCGCAAATCGAACCCTGAAAGCTGGCCCCTATCGCTCTCCTCGGGCCAAGGTCGCATGCAATTCGGCATCAGGTACCAAGTCTGGATGAGTAGGGAGTGCGCATGTTCAGCGCGTCATGTGTATGGTACGTCAAGCATCCACGTGCTGAACCGTGCGAGGTCGAACAGCAAAGGGAAGCAAAGGCGGAAGGAAGGGCATGGCGTGTCGAGGGGCGGTGTAGCGAATTCATTCGCAACGAGTGAATCGAGACTGCGGGTGCGCGTGCGCCTTGGCCAAAACGACGCATCTTTGGAGTCTCTGGCGAGAGCGATGTTCACCGCTTGTGATGTAGCTCCCCGTGAAATGCGGTACAGAAACCCCCTCATCGCAACCATGGAAGATTGCGCATTCGGCTTGGACCAGCTGATGCGTGATGGCGTCTGATTTATGCCAGGAACGAAAAGCTGACGAAATGTAAATCTGGTGGGAGGCGCACGGTACGGCATTACGAGAATGCAGCAGGAAGGTGGACGTGTGGGGTCGCCAATCAAGGTGCGCGTGCGCTAGACTAGACCTGTCTGATTGCGGTGCGCTGGCTATACGCCTCCCACGAGCAAGAGCAAGAGCAAGAATTTCGTTGCGCAAGGAAAGAACGAGCTGAGTGCTGGGGGACCCCCCTTACGGTCCTTCTTGCCAGCAGGGTCAGCAGCGGCCGGCGGCTCGACTACCGACGCGCAGGTCCAAGGGAAAGAAAAGAAAACGCAGGAACGCGGCTCAGCACTTTCTTGGCGAGACAAAAGTCGAGTCGGAAGGCGGGTGTGGATGTGTCATGTAAGCTCTTCTCAGGCAGCATCACCATCGAGGTCACGCCAGGAATGGAGCGGCCGCGAGGAGCGCATGCAAACACGGGCGCAGGCGCCGCCGCCGCACAACAGCACCTCCGGTGCTGTCATTCTTGCAAGGCGACCACCGCATGTCTGACAGGTGGACCATCGCGCGCGACGATTGCGGTACTTGCTTGCTTGCTGGGCAGCTCATAGAGGATATCAGAATCGGATGCGAGGATTGAGCAGGAACTCGACGCTAAATGAGAACGTCGATGTGACATGACATGCACCATCAGCAAACGAGCTCCGCGCGCGACACGTTGGGCGACGCGGCGGGGGAATGTTCGCGCGCGCTGAGCATGCTTGTCCCGCCGCGCTTCTCACCAAGAGACTCGTGAGTCGTGACTTTGTGGGCAGAGGAATCGCGCTAGAACGTGCTCAACGACTTGACTCCGGCATGGCCAGCCTCGACATCGACACAAAGGCGTGCGAAAGGGTGCACAAGTGGGACGTGTCCACGGATCACGCATAGGGCACCGATCCATGGACATGATCTTCACGTGACCCCATGCCCAGCCGCATGCCAGAGATCAAAGAGTCACGAATCGTGAATGAAGAATTTGAACGTGAATTCAAGATTGTCGATTTCAATATTGAATGCGCGCCGCCGTGCTGGCTACGCCGAGCGTTGCAGGAGAAGAGATGCCGGCCGAGAGGTGAGCCGTGTGTCACGTGCTTAGCATCACGTCAGATGCCACGTGTCGTCACACCTCCGCCACCCGCTGCGGGCAGGATTGCAGGGCTCGTGTGGGTGTGGTGTGTGCGTGCCGTTCCTCCAAAACAGGGCGAGTAGCGCAGCGTCAGCATTCTTTCACTCACACCAACTCATCTTCTCACCCCCCCAAGTGATCGTAAGTATTCGTGTTTGCTTGACGAGGGCTACTCGTAACATCAGTGAAGGTTTTGCTGACCACTCTCCTTGTGCACCCATTCCATCTCTCTCTTCGTTCGACCTGCCTGCTCGTCCACCGGGAATCAACTTTCTCACAAGCAGAAGATGAGAGCAAAGTGGCGCAAGAAGCGCATGCGCAGACTTCGTCGTAAGCGTAGAAAGGTGAGGCTGGGGCTTTGCTGTTGCAGATGTGATCGGACGTCGCTGACTCTGCTCGCCGTGCCTTCGCTGCAGATGCGCGCGCGTTCCAAGTAATCGGATCGCACACGAAGCAAGGCTACTCATTGAGAGGTGAGCAGTAGTGAGGGCAGGAGCGGTGGACGAGATGATCAGCGGGGCAGAAGTAGTCCGCCATCGCAGAGCGCAGTTGCATTGCGGCGTCGATGTGGTGGGGGACGGGCTGCTGCTTCGTGCGTCCGGTTTGCGAGCAACTTTGGCTCATCCCCGCCACTCCTCGACACGTGCCTCTACTCAGCACCTTGGCGACCAGCATTCATGCATCAAAATCCTACCTGCACACATGAAAGTCGAACATCAACTTTGACAGAATCTAAACAACAAGTGCTGTTGGCACCAGCGATGACTCTCGTGGGCAACTCGACGCCGGATAGGTGGCTGCGGCTATCTCATGGTACCATCGAATTGCGACGTTCAGCACAGCATGGTCCGACAGTTCACCTCGGACCGAGCCGATCTCTTCCCTATCATTCGGGAGTAGATGCCAAGTTGCTGAATACATGAGTGATTTACATTCTGCCATGTCCCTTGCGTGCGTTGGGGGCGTCGAGTAGTTGGTGTTAACGATTGTTGTCGTTCCATGCCTGTCGTCGTTGTTGGCGGGTTCTGTGGAGTGTGGGGGGACGTTGAAGGATGAGGCGCGTGCGGCGCGTGGCGCGTGATCGCCGCCGCGATTTGCCGTGCTGCGAGATGGATTAGCTGCTCTTGACGCTCGCGGCGGGTGATGGTGCCTGTGCATCGTGTCGCACCGAGCACAGTAGTACGAATTCACGGGGCCCAAGTTCAAGTCTTGAATGTTGAGCCGGAGCGAGGGAGGATGGAGATGGAAGAAAGATGTCGTTCCCGCGCGTCACGGCGCGGCTCGGCTCGGCTCGGCTATTGCTAGTGACCGACGCGATCAGGATGCAGGTCGGGGAGATGGATGAGTTGGGGATGGGATGGGATGGACGCAGGTGGAGAATCACGAATGTTTGTATGCGCTCAGGACATCCATCATGCCTTGCTGCACCTGGACCACGGCTCCAGTCACAAGTCTCTCCCACTCCCACCCGCAGTCACGCTGAAGAGCGTCCGCCCGCTGTTCCTCCTCGGCAAGCATCGATCAGCCTGCAATGTCGTTTGCGCCTCTGCTTAGACGCAGCGCTTCCACTGTCGGGACTTGCGTCTGCAACCGGCACGCTGCTGCTGCTGCTGCTGCTGCTGCTGGATCGAGTCGATCGATGACGACAGCGACAGCGACAGCGATCAGCAACGCCGTCACTTTGAAGTGCTCCCCCAAGCTCGCAAGCAGTAGTGCCTGCTGCTCCTCTCGCACTTTTTCCAGCTCCACCGCGCATCGCACAGCAGCAGCAGCGGATGCCACCATCACCGCGTCGTTTCCCCCGGCCAACTCGGCAGAGCACACAGAGTTGTTGCAGCGTGCCAAAGCTAGACTTGTACACCTTGGCTTTCATCACCAAGAGTCGTTTTGGGAACAGAGGATATGCTGGGGCGATCACGACTGCGTGAGTATCGCATCGGCCGCGCGTCAGACGAGGCATGAGGCTCACGCCGCACACGCGCGCGCGCGCGCGCGCGCACACCAGTTTCAGCACGGTGAGTTATCGAGCGTAACGTCTTGAGCGCCCGTTGTGACAACCTGCACTCCAAAACTCACACGGCGCTGTGTGCGCTGCGTGCCTCCATCTCTTCTGCAGTGAACAATGTGCACTACGTTCGATTTGTAGAGTCTGCTCGCATGCGCTACGGAGAAGTGTTGGCCTCCAGATTGACGTCGCAGAGGGCACAAGACATCGTCAAGGGAACAGGCAAAGGGATGATCTTGGCAAAGATTTCAGTCAAGTACATTCGACCCGTCACTTATCCCGACACTGTGAGCGGGAGAGCGGGCGGGCGGGCGAGCGGGCGAGGTGTGGATGAATGAAGCTCGCCGCGCGTCGCTCATTCTCCATTTGCTTCCCCCACCCCTCCCCCCCCCCTTCCCACAGCTGTTGATCGGCACTCGTCCAGTATTGCCGCTGCAAGGCTCGGACAGGTTCACGCTGCAAGCCAACATCGTCAGCTTGAAGCAGCAAGCGCTCGTAGCTACGGCCGATCAGCTGTGCGTCAGCTACGATTACCCTGCGCTCACCAAGTGCGACTTGCCTCGAGATCTCAAGGACGAGATCGAGAAGAGCGGCGCGGGCGCGGGCGCGGGCGCGGCACCGTGAAGCAGCTGGCTGTGGGATGCAGGCTATGCATTCGTCCCATAGTCACGTGATCTTTTTGAGAAGAATGTTTTCGCCCTCGTGTCCACGCGCGCGCCCGCCCGAGCACGATCCGCGGCGGCGATATGATGGCGATGGCACCACAGCCAGCGCCCCGGCCCCCACCCCCCACCCCGCACTTTTTGTCAGCTTTCATCGTACGGGCCGCGCCCGCCTGCATCCCATTCCAAGCAACGCGCGCATATAAAAGTCATTCGAATGATCCTCGGACTGATGGCCTTGATCTGTGAGAGGCGCTCGCGCGTCGCTTTGATGGCCAGGCGAGGCGAGGCGAGGCGAATGGATCCGATCAGGCAGAATGTGTTGAAAGTGAGGCCGTCCGTAGAGCGTCGATATCGCTGCGGGTGTGTGTGTGTGTGTCACAAATCGCGAGTCGATATCGTGTGCCGGCTTGTGCTCGACTCTGCGCTGCACAGAGTCAAGGATGCGCCATCGTGATGGTGCAAGTGATTCCCTGGACCGCAACCGCGAATCGTGAAACGTCGCGCTCTGCAGCACAGCCCCCCCCCCCGCTAGCGCACGCGGTGCACCTTTGGGTGCTCATGCTACATACATTCAGATTCGCCCATCTGCATCCTTGCGCACACCATGACCCGCGCAAAAAGACATCGCAAGAGTCTTGAATGAGCGCAGATGCCGAGATGCAAGATGGCAAGGAGATGACGACGTTGGCGGAGCAAGGGCAAGGGCAAGCAAAAGAGCGAGAGCGAGGGCAAGGGCGAGCATCCCCTACATCCGCATCCGCATCCGCATCCGCATCCGCATCCGCATCCGCATCCGCATCCGCATCCGCAACGATGCCTACGCCGCAGTCGAGCTGCTGGAGCGAGCAAGAGGAGCGCAGACTGAAATGGAAGATTGACGCGCAGGTGTTGCCCTTGACCCTGCTGCTCTACACGCTCAGCTTTTTGGATCGCACAAACATTGGTCAAGCCAGGCTGATCGGATTGCAGGAACAGCTATCCCTCAGCTTTCACGACTACCAAGTCGCCCTCACCGTCTTGTATGCCCCGTACATTGCCTTCGAGTGGGTGCACGGTGCCGCGGGTGCATCTGATCGCCGCGCCTCGTCGCGCTTACCCGTGCTCTCTCCCTCACTGCGCCACGCACACACACAGAATCCCTTCCAATCTGCTCATCAAAAAGATAGGCCCAGCCAGATTGATTCCCTTTCTCGTCACGGCTTGGGGCATCGTCTCTACACTGCAAGGCATCGTCACCACCCGCACCGGCCTCTTCATCAACCGAGCATTCCTGGGCTTTGCAGAGACAGGTGGGTTTGAGCGCGAGCGCGCGAGTGCGACTTTTTTTTTTTTTTTGATGACGCTCAGCGTGCCGCTGACTCGTCGACGACGACGTGACTCCGACCCCTTGACTCCGTGACCCCATGACTCGAGCAGGGATTCTTCCCGGCTTGGCCCTATACCTCACCTTTTTCTACAAGGCTTCGGAAATTCAGCTGCGACAAGCCATCTACTTTAGCGGAGCATCCTTGGCAGGCGCGTTCAATGGCGTGCTCAGCACAGCCATCAATCTCCTCAGCGGCAGAGCTGGACTCTTGGGATGGTCTTGGCTATTCATCCTCGAAGGCATCTTTACCGTCCTCGTCGGCATAGCCTGCTTCTGGATCCTCCCCAACGATGCTTCCAAGCTGTGGTGGTGCAGCGAGCGCGAGAAGCAGATTGCAGAGGAGCGAGTAGAGCAAAGCAGGTTCACCATGCGAGTCACCAAGGACGTGCAGAAGAGCAACGAGACGCTGAATGCGCCACCACGCGCGCGCACGGCGGGTGAGCCATTCTCGTGGAGCGAAGTCGGAAGAGCTTTCACGGATCCGTTGGTGCTGCTTGTCTGGGTAGCAGGGCTGTGCGACGCATCGGGAGTGTACGGTCTCGCCTTTTTCGCTCCGACCATCATCAAAGGTCTGCCATTGGGTCTGACCACCGTTCAAGCCCAGCTGCTCTCCTCGCCACCCTTTGCCGCGGCGTTTGTTACCAGCATCATCCTAGCCCTCGTCTCTGACCGCCTGCGATGGAGGTACCTCACCGGCTTAATAGGTTTCTTGCTCGCCATCGTAGGCTTGGCCATGGCTTACGCCAGCACAAATGCCAAAGTGCAGTACGGCGGTCTCATAGTCATGTCGATGGGTCTCTATACCCTGCCCAGCTCCCTCATCACTTGGGTCCTCAGCTCTACGGGAGGCTACTACAAGAGAGCAACGGCTATAGCTCTACTCATCGTCGGCACAAACAGCGGTGGAATCGTCGGCACCTGGCTTTTCGATCCCACCGAAGCCCCACGCTTTCGACGAGGCTTCATCACGCTGCTGGTCCTGCAGTGCGTCGGCCTGCTCTCCATCTCCATCTTGGAGGCCTATCTCCTCTGGGAGAGAAGGACTCGCAAGCAACGACATGCGGACTGGATCTCTGACTTGAAAGCCCAGGGCTGCTCCGAAGCGAGCATCAGGCAGGTTTTGGGTGATCGACATCCCGATTTTGTCAGAGAGCTGTAGGCGCGCGCGACGTCGCACACACACAGCATGTCGCGCACACAAGCCAGCATGTCGCGCACACAAGCCAGCATGTCGCGCACACAAGCCAGCATGTCGCGCACACAAGCCAGCATGTCGCGCACACAAGCCAGCATGTATTCACAACGTCTCGTCAATCGACCCACGGCACGTCTGGTGCGAGACCAAAGGTGCTCCAAAAGTCCGTGCCATCGAGAGCGTGCCCCAATTGCTCTGTTCGAAGGAAAAGAAAGAAAGCGCGCAGCTTCAGTGTGTGGGGGGCAAAAGTGTGACCTGTAAACGCAGCGAGCGCGCAACTCACCCACGCTTCGGGGCAAGCTGCGAATCGTTCCATCGACGTCGGGACGCCGCGGCTTCTTCTTGCTTTGTTCGTCGAGTGACGGTGCGCCACGCGATTCTCGAATCAATTCTTGTATCCACTGCACCTGGGGGCCGCGAGGTGGATGATCTCTGCCCTCCTCGCCTGCATTGCCCCATTGCGAGATGAGATCCCACATGTCGCTAAGAGAGAGAGAGGGGGGGGGGGGGGGGGGGGGGGGGGGGGATGTGAGAGTGAGAACTGCGCGCGCGCGCGTGAGAGAGAATCAGGGCACTCACTAGACGCGCTCGTTGGTGAGCAACCACCTTTCGCCGTTGGCCTTGGCCCACTGGCCGTACATGGCCAGCACGGCTCTTGCGACATCTCTGCCATGCACAAAGTGCACACTGGTCAAGCTCCGAAGACTCTCCTTGGAGGGCGCCAGGCGTCCGATGAACCTCCTTGGACTCCTGCCGTGTCCCCACAGACCGCTCAGGTTGAGTACGGATGTGGGAATGGGGTGAGGACGAATGTCGTTTGGACCGTGCGAGAGGGACAATAGGTAGTCCTCCGCTTTGGCTCGCGGCACGCCCACATGAGGTGAGTGTCGGTCTTGCCACGGCGACGAGCTGAGCTTGGGCTTTTCGAGGCAGCGAGCGAGCGAAGGGTGGGATGAGGGAGACAGGGGCGCGAACTGCGCTTGGGCTGTCGGACCATACTGCGAGCATAGCGGGGGAACGTCAGTGCGAGTGCGGGCGGGCGTGCGTGCGGGCGGGCGGATCACGACTTGCTGACTCACATCCCAAATGCCGGTGCTGCCGAGCGCGATGAATTTGGTGGTGGTCATCTTTTCAGGCTCATCTGCGTCTGCGTCTGCGTCGCCGTCGCGGCTATCCAGATAACCCCTGACCAATCTCTTGACGGCAATCTCTTCGTAAAAGGGAAAGACGACGAGGACGGTGTTGGCATTTGGCAACACCCTGAACGCCTCCACGTCATCCGAGGCGGCATCAAAGTCGAATGCGATGGAGCCCGATGCACCTGCTCGAGTGGTGTATGCCACGCGAAGAGAAGCTTCTAGAGCTTGAGGTACCAAGAACGAGCCCGTCCAGCCGGATCCCAGCAGCAGCAGGTCCACTGCCCCATTCGCGCTGCTGCTGCTGCTGCTGCTGCTGCTGCTGCTGGATGGCCCAAGCAGGAGGTCGGTCAGTGAAAAGGGTAAGCAGGACATTTCGGCAGCGAGCGCGTTATGGTGAGGGAATCGCGAGTGGCGAGTGGTGTGGACGCGATACGTGACCCGTGACTGTATGTGTATGTAGGTTGAGGATGCCTGCTTAGACATCAGCGCTCATTCGAATGCCATGCCATGCCTGCAGGGCCGCTTTGCAAGCGTTTACCGCGGGGTGGAGGAACCAGAACCGCTGATCACGTGCCGCGATTGCTCGACTCTGCATAGACTCAAGACTCGTGACTGCTGATGTGACTCAACTGCCGTGACTCATGTCAGACTCAAACTCATGACTGCGTGACTGCTGCCGGCAACTCGATCGGAAGCTTTTCCCCGCAAAAGCGATCGCTTTTAGCGCGTACGCAGGCGCGCGCTTATGATGGCCCCGCGCACTGTAGGCGCACAAACCATCACCGCGCGCGCGACGTCGCATTGCCGCGGCGGTTTGATATGCTGTGCAGCGCTCGCGCTCGCGCTCGCGCCCGCGCCCGCGCCCGCGCTCTCCCACCATCCTCAAAAGGTCAAGGGCAAGATCGAGGACAAGGACAAGCTCGCTGGTTTGCAGCGCCCCATGTTCACTGCGCACATCCAAACACACCACCCTCTGCGAGCGCGATCGACCGACCAGGATGGCGCCCTCTGATCCACCTCGCAAACCCGGCTATGCTTCCGTCCCCCCTCCAGCGCCCAGCCCAGAGGTGGGCAACGACTCGGAAGCGCGCACGCGGGAGCAGCTCGGAAAGCGCAACCTAACAGCCAGCACACGAGGTCTCCATTCGCCGCATCACCCGTCCACCTCTGCAGCAGCCGAGTCTTCCGTCACCACATCGCCCTTTGCTCCTGCAGTCTCTCCCATTCACGCCCCAGCAGCTGCTGCATCCTCCTCCTCCTCCTCTTCGCCCGGCGCTACCATCACCGTGGATAGGCACGACAAGGCGGCAGAATCTGCTTGGCAGCACAAGATGGAGACGACGGGAGGTCAGAACCTCAACGTGGTGCAGACCTACAAGGCTCACTTTCGCGAAGATCCTTGGACTTGGTTCGGTCAAATGTATCAGTACGGGCAGGGAACGGGATGGAGAGCTTGTGCGTGTGTCCGCTTGCGTGCCAAAGGGCTTTGTTGCTTCGCTCGAGATGTGCACGCTCGCACGGCTGTTGCTTCGCTCGAGATGTGCACGCTC